GCTGGACAAGAAGGGCCATCTGCCTGATCCAGCATGCTCTTCTTATGCTCTTATGACAGGGGGGTTGTAATGAAGTATCCAGGTTCAATTTAAAGTGCTTGTTTCAACTTTAAGGTTCTGAAGGACTTGGGACCAGGATTTCTGAAAGACTTACTTTCCCCCACTCCCATGTGTACTCACGGAATCATAAGATTCCCTTCAGTGGCCATGCTAAGTGTCCCTGACAAATGAAGTGAAATAGATGGCTATCAGAGAAAGGGCCTTTTAGGCAGTGGCACCCTGCTTATGGAGAAGCCTTCTCAATGAGTTTTACCTGGTACCATTTTTGTGATAACTTTGATGGCAGCCTATACAAAATAAAAATCTATAAAGACTTTTCTGTTTAGCAAGGCCTTATAAATAACTTGCATAGTTTGGTTTTCAAAACTCTTATTTAACTTTGGGGGTGTGGCGAGTTTTGTCTTTGCTGTATTTATGTTGCTTCTGAGTTTATGGAGTTAGGTCTTGCTTTGTATTCAGTTGTATTCTTATTTATTATAAGCCGCCCAGATAACTTTATGTCATGGGGCGGCATACAAATGTCGCAAATAAGCCAGTCTCCATAACCATTCGGGAATTAAAGGATCCATATACTTTCCCCACCTGGAGTCTGTCTACTAAAGCATTATGAAATATTTGTCTCCTTCAGTGAGAAACCAGAGTTCTGGTTTAAGCCCAAAGTTTACTACTGTTAAGAAGGTTGGTTGTATTGTGCCCCATTACAGCCTTCTTCCTTTCCCTCTCCCCCCACAGTACTTCCATCAGAATGCCATTATACTGCCTAGTGGGAACAAATGCTTTTTTTTAATCTTTAGGTGTCAGCTGGCTCAGGATAATGCACAGGTTCTCATCTGAATCAGAGTGAATGAATTAACAAATTCATGTTGCTATCAAGTGCCAAAAGCAAGTGAGTGGCAAATGTGGCTGCGTGTCTCTGCTGAGAAATGCAGGCATCCAGGGCATGGCTAGATATCATATATGGTTGTTTTTTAAATGCATTTTGAAGCTTGGAAAGCAATGGCTTCCTAGATAGAAACTATACTTTTTGCTTTTTAGATTCCAAAGAAACACTGAGCTTCTTGTCACCAAAGAGCAACAGTTCTCTTCCTAAATTAGATATATAGTGGGTGATATGAAGAACCAAAAATTTGTATTCTACTGTTCACAGCCCATTCCAACACAGAGTGAAATGTTCTTAAGCTCATGGAAAGCCCATTGTGTTAGATTCTGGCCATTGTATTTATTCTACCCCCCACAAAATAATTCTTACAAAGTACTTTCATTAAGGCCCTTCTTAGCAGTGATATATAAACTAGCTATGGCATTAATACAACAACACCCAGCTGTCTTGGTGAATTCAAAGTTAGCTGGGCAACAATAAAGTGCTTAGGGGTGCATGGTGTGATTATTTATTTAGCTGCCAGTAGATGGCACTGTTACTTAAATCTGTTATTATAGAGAACATTGTTTTTAACAGGTGGCCTTGCTGAACATACCTGGAATGGCACATGTGAGAGTGTAAAGCAGTTGCCAAGATACACTTTATTGTTATTCTGGATTGCTGTTTGACAGTAGGATTCCAGATTCAGCTCTTAGGCAGAGATTCCCCCCCACCCCCCAGATCTCTTATAAGGAAAGCCACACATCAAACTTATGTGACTTATGCAAAAACACTTTTGTTAGCAAAACAATAAGATTTTTTGTAACAGATCAAGCATATGAATCAAAGAAAATACCAAGCTATTGAGAGGATTCTGTCAGCTATCTAGAAAACTATTTAGTGTTCTAACAAAATGTGGCACGCTATTTATAGTCCTGGGAATCTTAGTTTCTATTTAAATTTTTTTAAAAAATGCATATCTAGATCTCATGGTTGTAGATCCAACCATGAAAACATGTGAGCGATGCCTGGTAAATGTTAGACCAGCAGGAACTATGTAGGAATTCCAGTAGTAATTTTTTTGTCTCATCTCATGTTCACAAGCGTGGTTTCTTAAATTTATTTATTCAGAACATTTATTTCCCACATCATGGAATTCCTAGGCAATCTCTCACTCAGGTACTGAGAAGACACTCATTTCAGTCAGGTGGCTGTATCACATGCTCTCGCACCAAGTCCTAGGATTGATCTATCTTATGACACACTTGTGTTAGTGTACTAGGGAAAGAAGAAGCAAAGATCACCAGTGTCAAAGCAATGATTCTTCAAAATCAACTTCGTCTGGTCATGTTGTTCAGATGCCTGATTATCGTCTTCCAAAGCAACTACCCTATTCCAAACCTAAAAATGGAAAGCATAATGCTAGCTGTCAACAAAAGAGGTTTAAAGACTCACTCAAGGCAAATCTAAAAAAAAGTAGTATAAACACCAACAATTAGGAAACACTGGCCTGCGAGCACTCCAATTGGAGAACAGCCTTTACCAAAGGTTTTACGGACTTTGAAGACACTCTAACTCAGGACAAAAAGGAGAAACGTGCTAAGAGGAAGGCACATCTGGCAAACCTTCACCGTGTTCAGCTCCAGCCTAGAAACCCATGTCCCCACTGTGGTAGGACATGTGGATCCAGAATTGGCCTCCACAGTTACTTAAAGACTCACTGTTAAGACCATGGTTATGGAAGACAATCTTACTGGGCTATGAGTGATCGCCAAAGATTCTACACAAAGATTCTATCAACACAGGAATGTTGTGTTGCATGAAGTTGTTTTGAGGAAAACTTTGGAAAATGTAAACAAAACAAAAAAACAAAACTCATTTCCTGAGCAGTTTATATAATTTAAGCATAAAACAAAAGGCAGCAGCTGGATATACCAGAAAATCAGGAGCTTCATCAGAGAAGCTAGAAAACAAAAAGATCCTTTATATTCTGCAATGTCCCCTGTCCCCTGAAGATTCTTTCCTTTACTATATGTAGGGGTTTACTATATCTGAAGAATGGGTGAGGTGTTAGACTATATAATTTCAGTTCAAATCTGATCATCTCCTGTGCTCATGGATAACTTTCAACTAAACTTTACTTTTAGCTCAGAAACAAACAAGATGTGTTTGTGTTTCCAAATCAAATCTTATTATTAATTTACTTGGCTGAATATTTGAACACACAACCAATTAGAAAATTGGATATTTTACTGTGACTCACTTTCACCTCCTCCACTAATATAAAATGAATGGATAGCAATATAAATTTATTTTTTAAAAGAAGTATATGTCAGTTATTTTAAAAACTGTATGCAATTCTAAATAAGATTTGATTCAGCACAGGAGATGAACTTTAATTTTCACAATACAAAATATCACATCCTTGGAAACAGGTGCAAAATTTTAAAATGTCAGTTGAAAACCTTACTTTTTGGCTAAACAATGATTTAGTAAAATTTTCTGGGTGAAATCAATTTTGAATGTACAAAGCTTTTACTTCAAAAGTTGAATGGAGACCTTTGATCTATAGTCGATAAAAGTAAACTATAGTTTGCTTTTAGTTTGGTTCATATGATTTCTTTCAACTTAGGTTATTCGTTTTGCTTCCAAGAATCCACCTTCAACAATGTTAGTATTAAAAGGATAGCATTAAATTTGCATTATGGAAGGCTAATTACTGCAAGACAAGAAGCAGCCCTTATTTTTTAGATGGGCGCTAGTACTGAATTGCTTTCGCCCTCTGTTCCACATTGACTTCTCATTCGCATTCATTCAAAATGGCACCTGTATATTTCATCTTACATTATAGTTGTAGCACCTATTGAAAACAGCGCGAAGTATGCACATTTTCCATGCCACCACAAATCCGGTTTGCTGCAGTGATTCCTGTGAACGAATTTCCAAACTGTTTTTATTTATGTATTATTATCTGCCACTATTCAAGGTATAATTAAACACACCACAAGATTATTTCCATATTTCGATATGGAAATCATTCTTTCCACATTTCGATTATCTTTTCCCAGTTGTTTTCTCCAAATCCAAATTGCGAAACTGATAACTGGGAAAAGGCACCCGTTGCTGCCCAAGTTTGTACAACAAACTGCAAAGTCTCCGATCAGCCCACCTGCCTGCCTACGCGGCGATTCGTTCTTTTTTTTAAAAAAAAAGAGAAGAAGAAGAGGTGTGAATTCGGATTTGAATAACCCTCTAAGGAACTGGGATGATTTCATTGGTGAACTGGGCGAGGGAACCGTCGCCGTGACTTGTATAAGACGCGCCGCGCTCGCCTCGCCTCTATTCGCGCGGTCAAACCAAGGCAACGAAAGGCTTCCCAGGCGTCGGCTCCTCTCGTTGCGCCTTCCCTTCTCCTCCGCTCCCCGCGGCCTCCACCCCACTTCTCACGCCAGGGCTGCAGCCTTCTGAGCCTGCTGACCGTGTTCCAGGAAAATGCCCCCGCAGCGCTCGCCCGCCCGGCCGCCCTCCTGTCAGCACTCCGCGGGGCTCCCTCCTTCCCGCCCTTTCTCCTCTCACCCGGGGCGCGCGCGCAAGGGCCCTGCTCTCGGACAGGGCAGCCAAACCCCTTTCCGCTCTGCCTCAGAGTCGCCTCTTGGGTGCTGGGGGGTCTCCCACCCACCTGTCACATCCAGAGCTTCTTCAAGCGGCCGCGGCGGGTTCCCCCTTCTGACCCCTCCAGAGCGACACCCAACAAACTGCCCTCCGTTGCTGGCAGCCGTGCGGGCGTCTTACCTGCCGCTTAGGCTCTAGCTCTGCGCGCAGCTGCCCGCGCGCCCCAGGCCGCCCTCCCTCTCCCCCCCCCCCGCGACGGGTCTTCCCCCTCCTCCTCCTCCTCTCTGTCTCCTCACCTCCCCCGCCCCCCCCCCATATTTGGCTTTTTGGAATTCCTAATCGCGGCTGGTCCCTGTGATTGGCTGCTGGGCTCTGACCCCGCTCGGGCTCCAGGCTGGGCGTATAAAAGGGGCCTGAGGCGGGGGCTCCCGAGCATTCCCCGGAGCGGGCACCAGGGACCAGTCGCAGCATGACGGGCAAAGCGGGCGACGCGCTCGCCCACAGCCTGCCCGCCAAACTCAAAGCCCCCGACGGCGCGCCGCCTGCTCCTCCTCCGCCGCCGCCGCCCACAGCCTCGGGCCCCCCAGGGGCGGCAGGGGCCCCGGTGGGCTCCGTAGCCGCGGGGGCCAAGCCCGTCTCGGGCCCCGCGGCGCCTCGCTGCACCGGCTTCGGCATCCAGGAGATCCTGGGCTTGAACAAGGAGCCGCCTTCGCACCCTCGCGCGGCCCTGGACTCGTTGCCCGCCGGCCACCTGCTGGCGGCCCGCTCCGTGCTCAGCCCCGCCGGGGTGGGCGGCATGGGCATGGGCTTGCTCGGCGCCGGCAGCCTGCCCGGCTTCTACGCGCAGCCCACCTTCCTGGAGGTGCTGGCCGACCCGCCCGGCGTCCACCTGCAGCCGCTGGGCCGAGGCCCCGCGCAGCTCGACACCAGCCAGACGGCCAGCTCAGGTAGAGGCAGAGCCGTGGGGCGAGCGAGGAAGGGGGCAGCCGGGAGAGAGAGAGAGAGATCCAGCCTCAGGAAAGCGGGAGGCCGCGGCTGCAACCCCGGGAGGGAGCCCTCCAGGCTGGGCAGCCCCGCACAGCCGACCCAGGAGGGAGACTCCCAGGTCTGAAGGGGTGGTCGTCGTCCCCCCCGCCACCTTCGGGCCAGCACAGGCTCTTCTTGCCTTCCCATCGCCAGCGATCTCCGCTTCTTCCAGATCGCGGCTTTTTGAGAAAGTGACCCAGCAGCTGCTTCCCCAGACTGCGGTCATTATAAAAGCATAACGAAATATAATCGACGGGGGCCAAGGAGAAGGGGGCGGGGGCCTCCGGAGGCAGGGAGAGGGGGCGACTTTCGAACACAGGACCGGGCGCTGGTTTCCATCCTTTTGAAGGGATGAGATCGAAACGCGGGGACCGGCGCTGTTGCAGGTAGCGCGGTCGGGGCTCAAGGTCCCGATTTGTTACCATAAGCGCCAAGGGAATAAAAGGAAATAATATGAAAAGCAATGGCCGGTTTCCAAACGAATAATAGTAATAATAATACAGAATAATTTTAAACGGGTAAAAATTAGGAGAAACGGCAAAAGTTGTTATTGTAGAGTGTCTAATATATAAATACCCTTCCTTGTGTTCCAGCTCCCCGGTTCAAAGTCCATTTTTTCCTTGCTCTGTCTTTTAAATATAGGAGCGATAAGATTTAGTAGGATCCCCAAAATTGCAAGCTTTGGGGCGATGCGCCATCGACTTTTTAAATTCATAAATACTTTTTTTCTTTTTTAAAAAAATGACATTTCGAAGGGGGAGAAATGTCGCGTAAGGCTTGGAAACGAAACTGGCCTTCGAGTTTGGAAGGGAGAAAAGAGGAGCCAAGAGCGCGCAGAGAGCGAGGCGTCCTCGGGATGCAAAGCGCTGCCAGGGGGAACCCGGCCAGGGAACGAAACCTGAGTCGATCGCACGAGACCAGCGCCCCGATCCCCCGATCCGGGGAAATCCGAAGCGAGGTCTGAGTGCGAGACTCCCTCGCCTCGCACCCCGGAGCGTCTCGGGGAGCCGGGAGGGGAGACTCACCCGAACACACACACCCTCCAGGAGCTCTGGTCCCCATCGCTGCCGCCTTTCTGTGTCCCCAGATTCCGAGGATGTTTCGTCCAGCGACAGAAAGATGTCCAAATCCTCGTTAAGCCAGAGCAAGAAGCGGAAGAAGAGGCGGCACAGGTAAGGCGGACGCTGCTCGGGAGCCCTGCGAGGCGGAGAGGGAGGATCTCCCCACCCCCACCCCAATTGCCTGGCCTGCCCTCCCAGTCTCTACCTTTGGGCCTCAGGATCCAGGGAGTCAGGATCGAGCCCCCCATCACCTTGTGCACGCGGGTGGGTATGGGGCTGGGGGAACGACGACAGAGAAGGGAGCTGCAGAGATGCGCCAAGGAGAGTTGCGCCCTTCTCTGGGTCCTCCATCCCAACGGAGTCCTCTGTCTCCTCCACCGGCATCTCTTCGGATGGACCCGAGGCGCAGCTCAAGGAGGAGGCCGCGCTTCTCAAGGCATTTGTTCTGCCTTTGGGTGCTGTTTTGTCTTGAAACCTCCGACCCAAGAGAGGCCAGGGGGGTCGCCCTGGCTGATCCGACCGGCTGCACGGTGGCACTTTCCCTTCTCCCCGTGAGCCGCAGTTCTCCTTCCCCCTATGTTGTAATCCGTCTTCCTTGCCTAGTGGTCCATTGTCATAAAAGACGCAGCAACGGGGTGGGGTGGGGAAGCTGTCCTCGGAGACCTCTCTCTGCATTCCTCATTCTCCAGGGATCTCTTGGGCTGTTTCTTTCTCTCTTTTAAAAAACGAAATAAATTAGGGAATTTTTTTTGCATGTGTTGGGACCCTTTAAAAAGCAGTGCTTTGACCCAACCGGAATCTCCTGGTGGTTGTGTATGTGTGTGTGTGTGTGAGAGAGAGATGTTATTATGAAATGCATCCTATAAAATGATATGGCTGGCATCTGCTCAGGAAAACAACAACAACACGGGAGATCAAGGGTGGTTTGTGCGATGAATTTATATTCCTCCTCCCTCAGCAAAGAATGCTGCTGCAATTTCCGTGACTAGCAATAAAGTATTCGAAATGTTCCGCAAGCTGACAGGACAGTGCAAACAGGAGATGTGGGAGAGAGGAAAGGAAAGTGAAGAGGTCTTTTGTGGAAGTCTAACCTCCCTTCCCAGATCTGTCACAGTCTCAAGAGGGGCAACTTGTCATTTTGCCCCCAGGAAAGGGGGACGCGGTCCTCTTTCCAGAAGTAGCTGCGTTCGTCTCTGGTAGGACTGCAGGGGTGGCCAGGAAAATATTCCCAAGCGAGCCAGTGGCAATCCTGTTATTCCTGAAATTCAGGACAATGGGACAGCAATGCATCTGTTCGGACCCGGTTTGGGGAAATAATTAGATCAATTTTGCTAAGCGGCGAAGTGCCTGTGGATCACGAGAACTTTCCCGTGAAAGGTTGGCTAGAATGAGGAAAAGGGCAAATTAAGGGTTCAATATTTCCTTAAGCAGTGCAATTGCCGTGGCAAAGCGGATGCTTCCGTTTGACTGATGAGGTCAAAGCAGATGGGGGACAAGAACTTCCCAGATGAACTGGACTGATACAAGCGAGTGGGTTGGTTCGCCGTTTAGATCCAGGTTAAAATCGAAGCACGTTTCCTTTCTGGATCCAGAAAAGAGCTGGAATCAAGTGTTGAATTTCTTAGTGATTTCAGGAGTGGCTTTTTCTTCTTCCAATAGGTGTACAGTATTTACCTTGTCCAGTATATTTTGTTTTTTAAAAAAACAACAACAATTAATTCACCTATAATTAAATACTTCTCCAACAAGTAGTTGCAAAACGGAGAGACACTAGAAATGTCTCTGTTACTGAGGTTTGTTGGTACAAAGTGGACTAAGGTGACTTTTGAAAAAAACGAAATTTAAGTATGCATTTCAGAAAGACGCATTCTGCCATTTATTTTTGACAGGAAAACTATCCTGCAAGAAAAGTGGGAGAGTTGTGTTGTCTCCCCCCTCCCTCCCCCAGCAATTTCCCCAAAGAAATAGTCTTCAAATTGCCTGGAGAGAAGGATATCGAATGGTTAAACGAGTTTGCTGTATTCGTATTGGCTGTGATTCCGTTTGGGGGGGGGACACCCCAAACTCTACCAGTTAAAGAACTAATACAAACGCTTGATCGTAGAATATGTCCTTTGTATTAACAAGGTCTTTTTGTTAACACTGTTACTGATCCGATACAGTGCGTTAGATTTAAAATGCTTGGAGGTGATTTGAGAGCATTGGAAATTCGAAGACTACATTTTCTTTTATTTTTACTGACTTGGATTTCTTTCTCCTCTGGATGCTATATTTCTTCAGGGGTGCAGGTGTTTATTTCATATTTCTTTGGGCTTGCTTGCAGCCGTGTGTACACACACACACACACACACACAGAGAGAGAGAGAGAGAGAGAGAGAGAGAGAGAGAGAGATGAACTACAATATTGTAATGCAGACTGCTTCCTTGGTAGATTAATCACAGAACCAGAGGACTGCCATGCATCAGAAATTGGTGCGGATAGCCTAATGCTCATTCAGATTTGCGGCACAACAGGAGCATGAAAGGAACCTGTCTGCTCTGCAGGCATCTTTCTTCAACTCCAGTTGTGCTTCCGTTTGTTTCCAGTCCCAGACAATCGTTTTGGGAGTGTGCCTGTCTGTGAGGAGGACTTTGGAATAGATAAACGTGGGAGAAGTGTGTCCTTGGTATGAAATTCGTTGTTTTGAAGAGGTGGAAGTCCTACTTACTATGCTGTTCACAGCACAGCACAGCTGAACTGCTGACGGCACTGGTGGTACTTACTTAGGTTGTAAAGTGTTAGGGAATCTATATGGTGCTCAGGTCATTTATTAAAAAAAGGAAGACTGGCAGATGTGAGAAAGGCTGGGCACTTTCAACATTATAAAAGAGGGGACGGTGTTGTTACCCATCAATTTAAATGCCAAACATAGCATGCTGTGCACTAGTGTTGAAATAATATTTGCACCTGAAAATGCTGATATGAATGCTGCATTGCAAAAAAGAAATAAAGAAAAGCAAATAATGGTTTTTATTCTTTAAAACTTGCATTTTGCCAGAAAATCCAACCTTCCACATGAAGCCACTCCCTATAGGTATTGACAAGCAAAACAAAGTCTTTTCAACTTAAAGCATGTCTTCTGACACTGAAAACTACATCTTACAGAATTAAGAGTCACCATCTGGATTCACACTGTTGGGTTTGAATGTAGTGAATTTGCCAGATTTTGTTAGGGTTCTGCTTTAGTGTTACATTTCACAGAAGTACTGCTAATAATAATATGGAAGTAATTTTTTTAAAAGATCCATAACTCTTATCAGTTTAGTTGTTATTGTAATAGCAACTAACCAAATCAGCAAGCCAGCATCCTTATTGTTATTTTGCTAACATATAACAAAAGATTACCTTTATTTTTATTTTTATTTAAAAAAGAAAGGCAAAATGATAGTCTGAAGAACATAACAACAAGTAGTTTAATTCTTAACATGTGTGATTACCAATAGAGATGTACATATATTTCGACACTCTATAGTTAAGATATATATGTGAGAAACTGAATCCAGTCTAAAACACATTTATTTGATAGCAAGCACTACTGACTGCAAATGAGCTTACATCCTAGTGAGGGTGGTTAGGCTCATAACCCAGAGAAGCAAAGACTGATTCTATCTGCAATAGCATTCTATTTACAATAAAAAAACCATAGCATATATACAGTGGGATGGTATAGATGATAAACATGTATGCCACTCTGAATTATTGGTGGGGATACTGATATGAAAAATAAATTTATAGGGACTCCACATTTTTTGGCTGTAGAAGCTGAGCTGGTGTTTGGGGGTGCTACTTCTTGTCCCCCCCCCTCCTGTGACTTTCTATGAGGTGGTTCTTTCCCCTAATTTAAATCTTTTGAGTAGCTTCTGCTACAAATGGGTTTGTTTTTGTGACGTCTTTCTTGACAATGAACAGAAGCAGGAATCTAAGACTACCCATTTACCGTATCAAAGTTTTTTAAAAAAAATCAAGTGCCACACTTATTTTTGTTTAAGTACCCTCACCCTTTGCCTCCTTCTGAATAATAGCCCCATTCTCCATGTGTTGAGAGATTTGCTTTTGTCTCCCACTTTGATTTGTTAATATACTTTATGGATAGGCCTTCGCTTTCAATTCAGCTGGAGGGCTTTGGAGACATAGTTAATTCTTCCATTTCAATAAATTGGACTTGAAGCTAGCCATTTTATGCACACTTACTTGAGAGTACCCCACTGAGTGAAGAGGGATGCAGCAGACAAAATGTGGGTAGGATTCGACAGCAAAGTGCTTACCTTTGCTTATCATAACCATGGTGAACTTTCTCTCTCTATGTACCTTTACTTCCTATGGCTTTTGGCTATCCATCTGTAGATACATATAGGAGGCAACATGGTGTAGTAGTTAGAGTGTTGGGACCCAACCTGGGGAACCAAGGTTTAAGACCCGACTTGACCATGTAGCTCACTGGGTACATGGTCCCAGAGTTGTTGTGGGAGAGGGAGAACAAGTTTGCCACCTTGAGCTAGTTGGAGGAACAAGATGGGATGTAAATGCAATAAATCAATAATCAAATATATTTTACCCACTCTCTAAGCTTTCCCTTTGGTCCTTCACCCGTTTAGGTTAGTCCAACATTTAGTTTCATTTTTACTTTTTCATCAGTTAGTTTTGTTTCCTTCAGGACAATTTTCACATCCTATCAACTGGAGGAACTGGAAAAAGCATTCAATGAGGCCCATTATCCTGATGTCTATGCGAGGGAGATGCTGGCAATGAAAACAGAACTTCCTGAAGACAGGATACAGGTAATTGTACTGCTATGAGACCCCCATGATACTAATTTTCCTTTTCATGTTCTTTAGTTTCTTCAGAAAGGACAATGTATCTTTTTAGACAGAAATAGAGTGTCAACCCTAAACAGTTTTCTTGCAACCCAGATCCTCAAGAGCTAATTATCAACTGTGCATGAGAAAATAACCCTCAGTTGGTATGGTTTTTTTGTGTCTCAGGTTGCATTGTTTGCTCCCGAGTTTATAGTAAGATGTATTATACAGGGAGACATGTAAGCTAGAAAAATCCTGAGAAGGGAAGTGTAGTGTGGGAAGAAGGCTAAAAGTATCCTTGTTGAAGTGGCATGAGTACTCAGGATCTATGAGGGCTCAGGATCTATCTGTGAGGAAGGAAATGGTTAAAAAAAGGAACCCAAGCACAATTGTGTCCCAAGCAAAGGATTGCTGGAAACCTGGTAAGTGGAAGCTCACGTGAGTGAATGCTTCTCCATACAATAAAATAAAATTCCCGTAGATTTTTTTTAAGAAATGCACTGTTGTGGAGAAGGCTAGGGTAGAACTCGTTTCCCGACATTCTTTTTTAAAGTAGAAAGTCTCTGTTTTGTATATTAAGAAACAATCTTAATATAACAAAGCCCAACATAAATTTACCATCTAACAGAAAACTGTACCTGAACTGAACATGCCACGTATTTATTATTTGGAAAATAATTTTATGAGTTAGATTCATTTCTAGTAAAATCAAGAAGTGTTTTATTATTCACTGTAATGGTGTGTAGATTGTGTCCTAAGGCTGAGGATTTCTCCCTAAAGCTGAACCAAATAATGGTTTATTAGCAAAAGTCACTATTAGTGACTGCCAACCGCAGTAGCCTTAAGGAAGCTAAAATTTGTAACACTGTGAGAACTGCCCACTATCGGTTTTGGAGTGGGGTTTTTGTTTGTTTGTTTGTTTCTGCTAACAAATCTATTGCCTGATTGTACTGATTTCTTTAAGTTGTGCATTCTGCTAGTGCTTAACTGTGGACCTACCCTTCTAAAAATTGCAGCCTTAAAGCTTAATCCTATATGAGCCCCTCTGCTGGCAAATCATTGCAAAGTCATGACCTGTGCTGTGCCGCTGACTGCCTCAGCTGATCCTGGGTGTTATGCCAGTACAGTGTGGTGTGTGGCAGAGTGGTCCTGCACTGAGATGTCATGTGACGCACAACTCTTACATGGCAAGAGTGGGGCAGCTAATGTTTGCTGCAAGCTAACAAGCATTTCAGTTGCTCAGTCACCTTTCATGGGTACACTGCTCTATGCTAGAGATATGGTGGAAGGGCTTTCGGTGAGGTTGCGACTGATGTAGGCAGCAAAACAGAATGCATCTGTGCTACTTCCCTGGCACAGGATACGGTTGTACCAATGACAGTATACAGCACTTCATGTCTTACCACAGATCAGAGGACTCAAGCATCAATAGCGCTGAAACATAGGAAACTGCCTTATAGCAGGCCAAGCAGTTTGTCCATCTAGCCCAGTGTTGTCTGCCTGTCTCAGGTAGAGGCCTTTTCCTCTTACCTGCTCCCCGATCTGCTTTTTAACTGGAAATGCAAGAGACTGAGCCTGTGACCTGTGTGCAATGTATGTGTGCCACTACTGAACTTTGGCCGCTTCTCACTTGTTCACTTGCAAATGAGTGGTGACAGCATCAAGAAATTATGAACTAATATGGCATTCATAAAACATGGTGCGGGTTAATAATCTGAGCCAAAGCTGGCAGAATCCTGTTGAGAGTTCCTGCTGGAAACCACTCATTATTTCATGAGTCGTCCCCCCCCCCCTTGGATACTAGCACAGCATCAGCCCTTACCTACCATCTTTTAATATTTTGTCACATTAATTGCGATTTCATTGGGTTTCCTTGCTTTGGATATTTGCATACTCTTCTCCTAACCCTCCCCCCCCCCAACATCCCTTGGGCTTTCACCTTCCTATAGCACCCCCTCCCTCGCTGACGCTATAAAACTGTTTACTTAAATTATGCACCATAAATCACCTTCTCTCCAGCTCCTTAATCATTTGGTTGCTCTCTGCTGAACTCTTTCCAATTTGTCAATCTTTGTGGTAACAAGACATAAAGTGTGTATGATTGCAGTGTGCCAGGTTGGTTCTTCTCGTGGCTTTAAATGGGACTGGAGACTCCTGTCCTTGAGGGTCATAGGCGACATTCAACTAATATTGGCTTATATCGGAGATCACATTGTGCCTTGTGCACTTCCTTTACTCAGGGATATTGCTTAAATTTCTAAAACTTATTGTCGTCCCCCTGCCCAATTGCTAACCTGTGACTGTAACTCAGAAGACCATGTGAAAAATTCTGCACGCACAGCCACATTTCCAAGAGTCTTTCCACTGCATGTTTTACTTACTGCTAAGAGTGCCTTGCAGTTTTTCATTTGTTGTTCTTTCACCTAGCACAGTTACTGGGGAGAAACTGCTTGCTCCTAGTTTTAAAATGGGGAAATTGTGTTGCTGGGGAAAGCACATTATACCCCAGCTAGCACTTCCAGTGTTCTTTAGAACTCCTTCCTTATGTATACTGGTTTGACATCCACATGGGGTGACATGCACCCCTACTTGCTGATCAAAAGACAACTGGCTGCCTGGGAAACATGGTCAGGCCTTCTTGGTGGTGGCACCCTCTCCTCCATTGGGAAACCTGTCTATGACCAACTTTCCTGAGGCTTGAGATGACAGGTGAAGATCTTTTTAATGAGACTGGGTCAGTTTGGAAGCTGAAAATGCTAAATACTATTTTAATTGACTTATTGATATATAAATGCTAAATAATATTTTGACTTACTGAGTTTTATATACTTTCTTTTAAATATTGCAGTACTATGGTTGATGTTAGCTGTTTGGGTGTTGTATGGCTGGAATGTCAGTTGAGATAGTAAAATGAACAACCAAACAAGCAAATAAGCTAGAGATATAGACAGATATGTACCTCTGAGACTGTGGTTATAGGAATATCATAGGGGCCCATTGACTAGTGCTTCCATGAGATTGCAGGTAGCCTGTATTGGCCATCACTCCTGTCCCTTACTACCGACCATACCATTTTGTAAGCTTTTAAAAAAGTATTAATTGAATTTTATTACTTTTCTTTTGCAAAGATGTTTTTGCTGCCTGCACACAAGCATGACCACCACATGTGCTCATGCATAAAAAAGCATGGCAGCCCGAATTAGGCATCCATCTTATGCTGAGTCCAACCACTGGTCCATTGAGCACAGTGCCAGAGATGGATCCTTTCTATCCCTCTTGACATAGTTGGACTCCAACTCCCATCAGCCCCAGCCAGCATGACCAAGGGTCAGAGATGATGGAAATGGTAGCCCAACATGGGACCACAAGTTCTCTTTCCTTGGTCTACAATGACTGGGAGACCTCTTCAGAATTTCATGTGGGGACTTCACCATTTCTACCTGGAGATGCCTTGGTGTTGAACTTGTGTGTGCATCTATAGCAGATGCTATACCACTGAGTTAGCAAGGAATCTGAGAAGAAGGGCAGGTTCTAGGATAACAGCAGGTATCATATTGGAGGCAGGAGATTCCAGTTTAACTGGGTGACCAGACAAATGCACGCAAGCTTAAGCAAAAGTATGCGAATAGGCATCATTTTAATTGCAACGCATTATTGTGTTACATTTCCCGCTGCTTCTGCTCCATAGAGCTCAGAGCAGTTCATGCGGCTCCTGCAGGGTGGACTGTTCATGTGGTTCTGCCCAGCATTGTGGTCCTTTACGGCTGCACTGTGGGAACAATGTTCTCACACAGATAGTCATCAGAATACTCCAAGCAATGAAGCTGTATTGGTGCCCGTGTGCCAGAACTTAGTGTTGTGGCCAACAGGGAGCCCCCTTTCTGAGCCCTACATACTGTACTTACCTCATGACTCTTGCATAGGAGACAATGGTACCCACCATGGAATAAGAGCCAACATGTGGTACCCTCATATTGCAGAGGAGTGAAGGAGAGATACTTCGTGGCTATGGAACTTTTAAAAGTCAGAAGATATGGTTGGAATGTATTATCCGAGATTCACACACTTGAAACTAATATAGCCAGTGTCTTTTATAGCATGGTCAGGATCCAGGGAATGAGCCAAAGAAAAGGAGACTGAGAAGACACAATCAATGTGGTAATGGCTTATCCAATGAGAACGAATGCATTGTGAAATATATGATGCTGTATTCAAATTTAATTTTCTGTTTCAACTTCATGCATTCTGTCACACACACCCGCCCCACCAAAAAAAGGCAAGTTTGAGAGTGGTTAGTTATTTATGTCTGCAGTTTATGTCACTTCCAAATAAGTTTGTTTTACACTGAGAATCAGTTCAGGGAATTAATTGTAAATCAAGCCTCATTAATTCTCCTTGTAGTGGGGAAAAGAATAAATTAAGGATTCTGGAAGACCGGGGTGGGTGGACATTGGCAAAGGAGTTGCAAGCATCTTTCCCATCATTTCACCTTCAGTTCAATTAACGTGAGTCTCTTTATTGGCAAGAGAGGATGCTGACCCTTCCCCATCTCTTGCAACCCAGTGCTTTGTGATACTCTATCACTGACTGATGATGAGGAGAAAACAATCTCCTATTTGTCAGAAGCATTTTGCTTCCCTAGATCTCACCTTAGACCACATCAGAGGAAGGGATGAGAGTAGATTCTCGAGACATTGTCTTCATTAGCTATATCCTCTTTAATGGTCCTGGCCAAAAATATGAATGTAGAGCTATAAAGTGATGTTGGCTGGAGACACTCTGAAAACATTTCCAAGCAAAATTATAGTTATCTCCCCTGTTCTATGTAACACAGATGTCTAACATCCGATCATGGTACTTTCTTGTGAATGTTAATTATTTCATTGTTTCTCAGAATATGAACAGGAGGAAAAATATAGGTAGAGGTGGGGAAAGAATTGCAGCAGGAAAAACAGAATGAAAGTGAGAGTTAGGAGAGGAAAGAAATGCAACTCTTAACAGCAAGTTTTTAAATGAACTGAATTCTCTCAGTGAATTACACTGGCTGTATTGTAAAGGCACTGAACAAATGGTTGATAACGTAAGGTTTATAAAATAGGTGTAAAGAACATAAGTAGGAAGATGCCCAATGTGGCAGAAGGAAGGATGATTCCAGGAAATGCAAACATAGTGCCATGTTCCTTAGAAGTTATCTAGCATATGGTTGTACAGCACAGAAAAGTCTCTCTTCTTATGATACTTCTCATGATACCTATTTCATGTGATCATAGTATGCATTCTCCATATATTAAATAAAGCAGTTGATGGCCGCTCCATTTCCATGCAAATATGTTCTTGTGAATCCTTTGTCAGGTATCCAATGGCTATTTGCAGTTCAATATATAATATATAAACCCCACATTTTGCTTTCAGCGTTTCCTTTTTTTCCTTTTTATTAACATTTAATATTTGTTTTCCCACCAAAAGCCCTTCAAAGCGGTTTGCAATTTAAAAACCAATAAAATACAAAACAACAACAACAACAACAGTGAAGCAATTAAATAAAACTAACAGGCACAAGACCTGTCAAAATAAAACAGTATTTGCAGCTCCCCTAAAACTTGTAGTGTTTGAGCCACATGAGTCTCCAGACATTCTATTCCATCTTGATAAAGGTACTGTTTCGTACTTGATATTAAGTATTTGACATCCTGTGTATTTTAATAGTTGATACACATGATTGGATAATGCATACTGAATGTGCAGAAGATGCAGTGATTTTTTTTAAAAAAGATAATTATTGCACATGTTTTTGGATGGACTCACCTCAGTGAAAATGATTCCGCTCTGTGAAAACAGCATGAGCGTCTGGAGACCCCCGCATTGTGAGTGATGGCCATGCTTCCCAGCCTATCACTGATAGGACCATGCAGTCTTCTCCTGCTAGGTCTCATCTTAGCAAAACTCACAGAATGGCCAGCTCAGCACTGCATCATGGAACCGTTTCTTGCTTTCCCAGAATTCTGAATACAGTTGTACCTCAGGTTAAGTACTTACCGGTAATTCATTCTGGAGGTCCGTTCTTAACCTGAAACTGTTCTTAACCTGAAGCACCACTTTAGCTATTGGGGCCTCCTGCTGCCGCCGCACCGCCGGAGCACGATTTCTGTTCTCATCCTGAAGCAAAGTTCTTAACCTGAAGCACTATTTCTGGGTTAGTGGAGTCTGTAACCTGAAGTGTATGTAACCTGAGGTACCACTGTAATCAGTTGGTCAAGCCTCCTTTTCATGCTGTCAAGCTAGCAGCTTCAATTATTTGGAGTGGAAAGTGGAGAAATCTATCTGCCACTATACTCCAATGATATGAGAGAAGGGACTGAGGAAACAGCTTCTCTTTCCCCACACGAATGGTGTTTGAGATCTCAGGATACTAGTGAGGCCTGGCGTCTCCACCATGCTCTACCCCAGTGGTTCAAATTCACAGTACTCTCTGGATGGTTTGGTAGCAACATCACTGTAGTCCGCCTAACTGAGTAGGCTACTCTTTACTGTTGCCCAGAGTTTTCCCATTTGCATACCGAAAGTATTATACCTTTTCCTTCATACTCAATGCTCTCATTCCCAGAACGGTTTGCTCTAGGAACTGAGTACAGATTGTACAGATAACAGATTTTGCCATACTGGCTTATCACAACTTCCCCAGTTTTAAGTCTCCAAGGAAGAGATTTGGGTTCTCTTGACCACAGTTTTTCAGCAAACAGAGTTACCTTCAACTATTACAGCAGAGACTACTAGTTTTGGGGGAAATGTCTGGACATGTGCAGGCACGACTCTGTTTTATCTGTTTTGCAGCCTTTTCATCATGCATCTGTTGCTTTTCAACTATTTGTCTGCATGTTATTACTCATTGAATACTATTACTATTTTCCTCAACAGTTAAGAATTAAAAATCCACCTTCATGTTAGGAAGAAAGCCACATTTTCCTGCATTATAGCCATAAACGGCTCCCCACCCCCCTTCTAGATAATCTTAATTGATCTGAGCAAAGTTGCTGAGAGTGAGTTTGAGCCGCAGTAAAAAAGATCCCCCCCCCCCCACAACAGCAAGGGCAGATGGATTAAAAATCTGTACACAGGATATAAAATAAATGTGTGATCTTGTTTTTATGTTAATAATAAATATGATAATTTTTGTACCTGTTGAGACTATTAAGATCGTAATGACTAATATCAATAATATAAGCACCCACACAGTCGTTGCTCAACTAACCATACACTTTAAACATTAAACTTGCATGTGTTACATAACACAATGCATATCACAAAACAGCTTTGTTGCATTTGTACAATGTTCCCTTAAGAAAACATGTAAATGCAACTGCGCATAATAGGATGAGACAGCATTGCCTTACTGTCAAAGCGCAGAAGTGAATGTTTGTATAGAGTCAGACATGCTTGATTCATGGCACAAGTTCGCAAGCCATTATTCAGACTTGTGGATGCATTGAACATGAAATATATACATATATATATATATATTGTTCAGAATTACAAAAAACATATGCAGATAGTCAGGCTCAGGGGCCCCCTTCCAGACTGCTGGGGCCCAGTAATTCGTACCAGCCTCCCCTTGTTGGCCCTGGGTCTAAGGCTAATATGAATACCATTATTTCCCATCCAGGTTTTTAAATGATGGCAAAGGAAGGCAGCAATACATAGTACTGTGTTTTACAGAAAAACCTGGAATATTGTTGTTTTTAAACATTCTGATGCCCTCATATATGTGTCACATTGATATGATCAATTCTGTTTGTGTGATATGTCAGCTAGAAGTGGAACAGGGCAGATTTAGGTGTATCTAGCCTACAGCAGTGGTATCAATAAGTATTTTCCGAAAGAAGTTAACAGATAGCTTAGCAATTAGCAAGGCCACTGGCAAGAAAAGTCCCCATACATTGCAGAACAATCCTCTTTCCTTGTAGTAGCATTCCTCTGCAAGTTTCTGGCAGGCAACAGGGGCAATGCCAGCTATCCATCTTGTGATCAGGTATGCAAGGTGTGTGTCACCTTTACTGTGCTCATTTAACTTCATATCCCTTTTAATAGAGTCATAGAAAGTGATGCCGCCATAAACAGTGCCAATAATCTCGACATTGCATTTGAATAGGTAGCCATAAAATAGTTCCTGGTTTATAAGAGCATAGCAGCTTTCTGCAACAAAACTTAGAACTGGAAATTTCTAAACCAGTTCAGGTCTGTGCTCATAGGAAGGTTTAGGAACCACCTACCTATCTGAAGACAAAAGTCCAAGCTGAGCTCATATTTTTCCCGTAACTGACAGAAGAAAATAGTTCTTCATGTCTTGCATTGAAGTGCTCAGAGTCATCTCAAGCAACTTAGTTCCAGATAGGTTGAGCAACAGGCTGCTGCAGCCTCTTATGCTTCAAATTAACTTCAACACGTACAGTTTCCTGTAATGTGTAAAATCTATTTTTGACATTTATATTCCACAATAAAAAGCCAGTACAGGATTCACAAAGAAACTTATTTAGAGGCTTTGCAGGGTCTTATGCTGGGACTCTATCATAGCTGTCAACTTTTCCCTTTTCTTGTGAGGAATCCTATTCAGAATAAGGGAATTTTCCTTTAAAAAAAAGGAAACGTTGACAGCTATGGACTCAATATAAGCAGTCTCTCTCAACCTGCCAGACCAGGGCAGATCATGGAGCAACCAAGTTTCAGATGCTGCAGCCTAGCCTATTCTGAGCACGCTTCCAACACCCTTTGAGGGGTTCCCACCTGAACAGAAGACATTCACTTGTGTATTAACGCTCCAGCAGTCCCTCTGACTCTGGATTCAGCTCTGGCTCAGGTTTGATTTAAAGTCTTCCCACCTTTACTATTCCTGCTTGCTGGTGGCATTACCAGGGATTCCTTCAACGGAGCAGGATCCAACCTGGATCAAGATCAAGCTACTTTTGCTACAGTCACCGCCACCAAAACCAGCATGCCCAAGCGGAGGCCTGGAGCATCTACATACCTGCTAGGCTCCACAGAAGACCTGCTGTTCAGAACTGAAAGAGAAGCCAGGCTTCATGAGCAGACAGCAGAGGTGAACAAGGCATCCTGCACGAGGAGCGAGCAGCTCCCACCCTGATCCTACAAGAATCCAATGTACTCTTGTAAAGTGCTCTTTGGAGGGTCTGATCATCACTTGGCTGGTGAGAGTGGAGTGGCCTGGTAAGGATAACAAGCACCCCTGCTACTCTCCCAAAGGTAATGTGCTGAAAGGCTATGCCTATCCAGTGTTTGAAAAGGGGACGTCTGTGAATGCTCTGCTCCAGTATTGCTCCTGTGTTGTGTCGAGTCCTGTGGGCTGAGTGAGCACTGTATCAAGATGTCCAGCCACATGATGCGCTGCAAAGAAGTGCAGGTGACAAAACGGTCCTCATACTAGCTGTTGTTAGGATCATCCTACTCACATGTAGGACTCTGGCAGAGACACATGCCCGACTGGCATTTCTCTCCCTCCTGGTCATTTGTTGAGGAGCTTCAAAAGTTTTCTCCAGCCCGAACATGACAGCGACTGATACCAAGAGGCATCAGCACACTTAGGAACCTGCAGAGTATTGGTGGTTTGCGTCACAGACTCAATAGCTCAACATCTTGGCTAATCTACGTTTATTTACAGATAATACACTCGGAGCATTCTGACTTAGCTCCTTCCTCTTTCTCATCAGACAGCAAAGAGAAAGAACAAAGGACAATAGTCCCACTTCACGGAACACAGTAACCCAAACATCCTGTCTCCGTCACTTCCCACTTTGTGGAATGAAAACATACACCGTCATGTGATAGACAACAATCCCATGACTGCAAGCATGGAGCAAGAATCCTAACAGTTGAGTGCCAAGGCTTGTCTTCAGTGGCCTGTTCAGTGGTGTGGTACATGCAGGTCGACAAGCACAAGTACCATATTGGATCTGTCTGTGTCCTTCAACAACCAACCAGCCATCTGAAAGCAGTGAGTGCTGGGTTTGTGGAGATCAAAACAACCATGTTTCCAGTACAAGTTCCAGCTACTCCATACGTGGAAGATGCCAGGGTGTGTCAGGTCTGAAGTCTTAATCAAGTCCCTTCTTCTACAGAGGCCAGCTCTGCTTCAAGCACTTCTGTTGCTCTTATGGGCATTGGAAACATTCCATGGAGATCGTTTATCACTACCGCCCACTGATGAACAACCAGAAGAATAGAGACTCTATCTAAAGCAGTGGTGGGGGCACCAGGAACTGCTGCAGTTCTTGCAGAAGGAAGTCCTCCTGTTTACCTACCACTAGGAGATGCCTACTGGTGCCACACTCAGGCTGGGGGTGCCCATCTGAAGGACTTAATGGGGAATCTTGCCTTCATGTTTGCACTTAATGGTCTTTATTTGTTTCTGCACAGTGATTTGGGGTGTGTGTGTTTGGGGGCTGTTCAGACTGGAGGGCTCCTCAAACAATTTTGCAATTCCCAGATTTTGGTTTCTTCTTGCTGGTGAGAAAATGTGTTGAATGAAGATGCCTTCACCTTGGTTTATTTATCAAGGGTCTGTTTTTACCTGCCTTGCAGTACCGATGGCAATAATGCAGGTGTAATTGTGGGGTGTTGTTGTTGTTGTTTTGCAGTTGTCTTATAGTGTGTTTCCATTCATTTAACCCTCTATGGAATGAACTGATTGTTCAGCAAGTGTTCTTCATGTAAACAAAATCAGATTTCACATTTTACTCTCCAGGATTTTTGCTAGTTCAGGGGTCTGCAACCTTTAAGACAAAAAGAGCCACTTGGACCCGTTTCCGAAGGAAAAAAAACTGGGAGCCGCAAAACCCATCATTATAAAAATAACTTTTTTGTCACTTTTTAATTATTTCTTTGTTTGACCCCTCAGAATTACTCCTCCTCATAGAAATAAACGTTAAATTAACAAGTTACTTTTTTTATGTGTGTTCTTCACTCTCCTTCAAAACAGTGACCAGCGTAAACGCCCCCTTTCAATGCAGTGACCAGCGTACATGCCCCTTACAATGTAGCGGGCGGGCGGGTGGGAAGGTGACGTCGGGACGGTGCGTGACTAACGCACGCACCGCCCCCATGCGACGTCACAGCCAGTACAGCGCCCGCCACAGTGGGGAGTGTCGGGGCGCACAATGCGCCTCCTCCCCTCGCTAGTATCCACCCCGGAGCCACGGCAAAGGTGTAAAAGAGCCACATGCGGCTCCGGAGCCGCGGGTTGCAGACCCCTGTACTAGTTCCTCTTGCAATAGTTTTAAAGTTGCTTGAGATGAGATATTTTTTCTTTCTTTCCAAGCAGCTTTTAACATAATTGTGAATGGTGCTGGGAGGTGTAAAAACAAACAAACAAAACCCAAAGTTTCCCAGTTGCAAATGGCAGAATTTGCAACCCCAGAAGAATAGACTTTTTGGATTTTGAAAATAGACCAGATCTTGGAACTGCTATAGTTTTTGCACTTTAAAGTTGTACTGAAGAAGGGCTTGATCTTTGATGAGGCAGGTAAAGATTCTCTAAAGTCCTGTTCTGCGGGGAGGGAGAGAGAAACAGATTCTGAGAGCCTTTAAAGAATCTAGTAAGCCAGCAGCTCAGTCCAAAATAGATTGTACAGGGAGTTGAAGTTCTGATTCTGTTTTATTTTTCTTCCTCTTTTGGAAGCTGTGTGCCGAAGGATGAGTGTTCTAAGTTATCCCCTTCTTCCTACTGAGTTGATGTTGCATATTCCAGCTGTTGTTTATGAAGCAGCAACCTCTTTCCTGTATGACTTTGTGCACATGTGGCCCTCTAGTGGACATTTTACAGCTGAAAGGCAAGCATACATCAGTTGTCCAATGAAGTTTGTTGTTTGTTACAACTTTTCAGCAGATAATTCCTAACAGAATAATCTAACGGAAACTTGCTGCTTGTAAGCCACTAAAGTAAGTCCCATGGAACTCACTGGTATTACTTCTGAGTAGATGTGAACAGGATTGTGTTGTTGGTCACAATCAAGGAACGGGTCAGGGGAAGTGATGTGTCTATATAAAGTCCATTTTGGATTGGGAAGGAGGCGCATGGTAGTATTGAACTGAATTTTATTCAGATCAGATCTGAAATCAATGGACTTAACATGGTCATAAATTTCAATGGGGCTACTCTGAGTAAAACTCTGTTGAATAAGCATCTTATTTATTGAACACTCCACCCGGTTTTCCTTGCATAATGCTTATGCAGAGGTTAGATTATATCCAGACTTTTTGAGCATTTGCTCTGATTTGTTTGTAGGGAGGTTATACAAGTAGTCCATCCCGCATCCATGCCAATATCCTTGTACAATGCTTAAACATCTTCTTGTTAGTCATTTGTTCACTCCACACTTTTCAGTGTATTTCTCCATCACTTTCCAAGATGCACAAAACTCCTGCTTTTTAAAGTGCATTTGTTGTTATAGGGTGACAGAGTCCTTTCACAGCAAAAAATATAAAGTTCAGGTATGTGCTGAAAGTCTGGAGATGAGTTATTTCTTGCTTTCTGATTGCAGCACAACTGTAGTCTAGATCATGTTGCTCTGTAGCAACCTATTATGTGTGGGTGGTATTTGAAACCAGATTATAATCCCCAGTTTATTTTCACACACTCTGAGAGTCTCAGGGATGGGGGGGGGGAGACCGTACATAAATAGGTTTATTTCCCTTCACACAGTGTAAGCCAGATGTGAGCGACCTTTGGCCCTCCAGCTGTTCCTGAACTACAACTCCCATCTTCCCTGATCATTGGCCATACTTGCTGGGGCTGATGGGAGTTGGATGTCAGCAACATCTGGAGGGCCAGATGTTCACCATGCCTCTCAGATAAATGGTAACTTTCAAATAGGAAATGGCCTCAAAACAGCGAATCTGAAAATCTGTAGTCCTTATTGCTATAGAGGCAGCAGACACTACGATACGATACCATGCAATACAATAATCTTTATTGTCATTGTCCCATACAGAACGAAATTGAAAATCTACATCAGACATTCAGAAACCAACAAGCCTGCTATCCCAGCCTGGTTAGCCCCCTAAAAACTCTGATACCCCATAATTAAATATAATATACTCCCACAGAGACTACCTTACACTGGGTTTAAAACCAAAATCGCATTTGAATAGAAACTGTCTCTCAGGCGGCTAGTCCTAGTCTTTATCTTTGTCTACCCAAAATTAAGTATCATGGCATATCTGGCCCATTCTGTCAACGTACCATTTGTTGTCTGCAAAGAGAGAGAGTTGCTGTGGTCTGGATTTGTACATCAAAGGACATGGGAAGGAAGTATAATAGACAGTGTGAAATCTCATTGCACAAGAGCCATCTGGTGGACAAGGAAATAAATTACATGGAAGGCAAGATAAAATGAGTAGAAGCAGCAAGACTGCTAAGGGAGGGCTGGATGAGGAGGCATTTTCACACGTTAAAGCATCTTTGCCCTGTTTTTCAGAAATGCCTATCTATTCTACATTAACTTTGACCACACATTCCCATTGTACTGTAGAGATTTAATGGAGTTTCTTCTTCTTTGGCGATGACTCGTAGCCGAGTAAGATTGTCTTCCATAAACACGGTTTTAACAATGAGTCCGTAAATGACTGTGGAGGCCAATTCTGGATCCACAAGTCCTTCCACAGTGGGGACATTGGTTGCCGGGTGGGAGCTGATCACAGTGTGGATTTGCCAAGCGTGCCTTCTCCTAGCACGTTTCTCCCTTGCGTCCTGAGTTCGAGTGTCTTCAAAGCCCATGGAAAGCGTAATGCTGGTGGTCAACAAAAGAGGTGGAGTTTAAGGCCTCATGGCTACAATCCCTCTCTAGTCACATGCAACAACTAGTGGTGTTGGATAGGCATTCCCAACTGCACCCCAAAGACACATCCATCCAATTCAGTGGGAGGCATCAAAATTTGGGTGCAAATGTACCCCCAAATGAACATCTGTACTGTGGCTGTGATCATGGAAGCCTCCTTACACACTCAGACTTCCCTCATTGGAACAGGACACTTATATAAAAATTACTGTGTATGTCCCTAAATTCTGTGTACAAGGCTGCAAATGACATTTGCTAAATGAAAATTTAGTTATGCATGTAACCCCTTGATAAGATGGTCTACTGTTAACATCTTGGCAACCTGTAAGGTGGATGTTCCCTGATTTTCTAGATTTTTGGCTAAGTGCCGATATATGATTCTAAAAAAATCTTCACCACTTGGCAGGCAACTGATTTACCACCATGAAATTATAAGCAGACACTGGTACATTACCTCCTGATAAACGATAATATTGCTGTGTTAGTACCTAGGAGTGAAAATATTCTCTGAGCGTGGAAGAGGAGAATGAAATGGGCAGACAAGACTAGGTAGGGCTGAAGACAGATCACTCCCCTTCGCCCCCACCTCCCCCATGGCAGTTTGAAAGAGGGGCACTGCTCAAAGTGTGTATGCCTCCTTTGCAGCATTCCTCTGACTGCTATTATAATTAAGACAAAGTAAGTGTAATTAAAGTACTGTAACCACAGTATTCTACCCATGCCTCCATTTCCCACTTCCTCTGTTATTTTCCTGTGCCTACTTTAGATTGTAAGCCCCTTGATGTAGGGATCTGTTATACCAGTTCTTTGTAAAGTGCAATGTAGAGAGATGCTGCAACAACAACAACAACAACAACAACAACAACAACAACAACATGCATGTCCACATTTGCCTCTGCTAAACCCATTTTGGAGGGTTTTGCATTGTTCTCCAAACCTGCAAAACCTTCTGTTTGAGTGTATCTGAAGAAGTGTGCATGCACACGAAAGCTCATACCACTGACAAACTTAGTTGGTCTCTAAGGTGCTACTGGAAGGAATTTTTTTCTTTTGTTTCGACTACGGCAGACCAATACTGCTACCTACCTGTAACTGCAAAACCTGTTTGACAAGAGGTGAGAACGGAGCAAAAGAAGTATGTCTCAAACCAGTTTCAACTCTCTGAAAAACGGTTGCCTGAGATCCTGTACTCTCTCCAGCAGTTCCTTTGATGGCTGCTTAGACCTTCCTAGAAAGCCTTACCAGTTTAAGGTTCGATTAGACTTTAATGGATATGCCTTTCCAAAGACGAAATAAAAAAATAAAACAACTGCCGCAGCAGCAATCCCTGAAAGCAAGCACCAACGGCATAGATCAGAGAAGCTTTAAATAAGTGACATCTTCCTCCACACCAGAGAGGCTCCACTTTATAAAACAGATCCACCATGGCAAACCCCTGTCAGTTTCCCACCTCAGACAGGAGGAGGGCACCCCACCATTAAACTGAATGAGGCAGTTCACCTCTCTGCTGCCACATTTTTGGATGTTATTAAGGGGCAGCAAATTGCCGGTTGATTAATAAAGTTTTTCCTCCATGGCCACCTCCAAGTTCAAGCTGCCTCTGCGCATGATCTAAGAGTTGCACCCAAGTGTCCTGGGGTTCACCTCTCCATCGGAATCCTTTAAATAGCTGTACCCCAAGTGCCTGCTTCCTCGACTACCTGTGCAGTCCACTGATTTCTAAGGCTGGTTTCATAAGTATTAGGGAGAAAGTCCCATTGAATTCAGCGGGAGTTACTTCTGGATCGCATCGTGCTTGTCCTATATTAACATAAAGCAGGTCCAGACTCCAGAGCACAACTGCATTACTACGGGCGAGAAAGCATTACATAGAAAAAAATACTGGGTGTGGGATGATGATGATGAAGAAGAAGATGAAGAAGAAGAAGAGCTTTGGATTTGATGGGGGTTTTAACTCCCAAGTACAAAACGTGCTTGGGACTGCAGCCTTATTAATTCCCAGTTTATGATGCAGTTAAAATTTGTATATGAAAAATGTCTTTTCTGCAACTAATCATAGGGGGTCCACCAATGGAGGAGGGGGGAGGTATTTGTTGGCAGCAGCCGTCACGCAGCTCCCCATCTCTCCGCTTATAAAGCCCCTCTGGCACCATCCCCTTCCTGACAGGGGATCTTCTGGAGCCAACCCCCCCCCCCCAAATAATAATAAATAAAACTGGTCCCAATATGAATGGTAGTGGAGAGACCTCCGCTGCTCTGTTCTGGCTGGTTTCTACTGTCCGCCCAGCGGAGTCATCAGAGGGTTAAGCTGTCAGCTCTATAATGTTAAACAGGTGTCAAAAGGCGCCTCCATATATCTGCAGATTGAAATCAAATTCTTTGCCGTATAAAAAGATAAATTACCCAGGCGATTCCCGCCTCGTCCCACTCATCAGGCCAGCGCCAGACGGCGAGCAATTTTTTTTTTAATGTGCTAACGACCTAATCAAGCAATCAAGTCGGAGAAGATTGCGGAGTGACCCCCGAGCATCCATCTGCCAGCGAGCGCCCCCCCATCCTCCATTCATTTCCATTCCGCCGGGGGCAGAATTTGCTTTCCCTGGAAAGGGAAAGGGGAGGGAGGCAAGGGAAAGAGAGAAAAGAAGAGCTATTGGGGAGGGGGGGAGTAAAAAAAAAAAAAAGAGAGAGAGAAAGATTCCTAAACAAATTAACACCCAATTTTCCAGCCTAATTAGTTAAATGAGAAAAAGCTGGTGGCGTGAGGGCGCGCAGGGCTGTGCCACTGCAGGGAGGGGGCGCCTGCGCCGCGGAGAAGCGAGCGGGAACTTCACCGCCACGGCATTAATTAGCGCGGGTCAATGGCGCCGATCCCCGGGGAGCAGCCGCTTTAATTTCCCGTGATATTTCAGTGCCTGAAGCCCATCGATTCAAACTGAAATTAACTTATTTTTCAATCAGGCCCGGGCTGCCCCTGGGGCTGACTCTTCCTTTGCCTCCTCCTGAATAGACCGCGAGCAATTTTTCATCTCGAAGCTGATGCTTCTCTTCTCTCTCTCTCTCTCTCTCTGTGGCGGGAAAGGAGGGGAAGAGAAGAGGAATGAGAAATGGGAGACGCCAGCGAGCGAGCAAGCAAGCAAGCGCTAATAGATTTCTGCCACCAGCCTCACGGGTCACGCCGCGGCGAGGATACACTCTCGGCTGCCAATTTCGGGGCCTGCTTGTGCGCCTCGGACTGGGAATTCAAGGCGGGCTACGCCCATTAGTCTCTCTATAGCGCCCTCCCTCTCTCTCTCTCTCCCTCTCCCTCTCTCTCTCTCTCTCTCTCTCTCTCACACACACACACACACACACACACACACACACACAACTCTCTCTCTCTCTCTCTCTCTCTCTTCCCGTGGTGCCCCTTAAATAATGAAAACCCCAGGCACGACAGTGAAAAGCCAATATCACAGAAAGAGAATAATGGGGAATCAATTACAGCCCTGCTCCTGAGCCATCAGGCACTGGTTTCTGCCACTGCCGAGAAAAAGTGAAAGTGCAGGCCCAGCCAGAAGGAGAAAAAGGATGTGCAGCCTTATCCACTCTGCCTGGGCCTGGGGTGATGTTTGGGAGTGGGTGTGTGGAGGGGAGGCCATTCTAATGAGTGTGAACCGACTCCAGGACTGTAGCATCAAGTGATCACTATAATTTACAAGGCAGTAAAGGTAAAGGGACCCCTGACCATTAGGTCCAGTCGTGGCCGACTCTGGGGTTGCGGCGCTCATCTCGCTTTATTGGCCGAGGGAGCCGGCGTACAGCTTCCGGGTCATGTGGCCAGCATGACTAAGCTGCTTCTGGCGAACCAGAGCAGCGCATGGAAACACCGTTTACCTTCCCGCCGGAGCGGTACCTATTTAACTACTTGCACTTTGATGTGCTTTTGAATCCCCGTCGCAGGGATTCGAACCGCCAACCTTCTGATCGGCAAGTCCTAGGCTCTGTGGTTTAACCCACAGCGCCACCCGTGTCCCTTACGAGGCGGTAGTTGCTCACTAATGGCAAAGACAGTGCCATCATGTCAGGAGAAGTCGCAGCATGGGTGCCTAGGAGTTGAACTGAAGAGTATCGCGGGAAGCAGCAGGTAGAAGTATCTCTGGGCCCGTTCTTTTGTCTAATTTGGGGAGCAGTTGTTCTGAGACTTTGTATGTGGTTGAGGATGACCCATGAAGTACAGCAAACAGGTTCCTAGGGATAACACACATCCCTGCGTGCAGGGTCACAGAGGTGCGTTGTGATCATCTGGCTAAGCAGTCCAGTGTTTGCTGTAGTGGGCACATTGACCTCCCCACTCAAATGAGTGCCAGTTTTACTTTTTTCCATTCCCTCCTATCCCAGAAAATATGTGATTATGTTCAACGACACAGTGGAGGTAAGGAGCCTTGCCCCTACCTCTTAACACTGGGTTTGTGAAATGGCTATGGGAAGACGTTGGTCTGGTGCCCAGAAATAAAACCACTCCTCTTCTGGTCCTGCTGTTTGGTTCAGCATTATGCCCAAATCCAGGTAGTGTGCAGCAGCAGTGTGGCCAGGCAGCGGGGAACAAAGTGGCCACAATTTTCATTCCATGCAATTGCACATTCATGTGTTCTTACTTTGCTTCCTGTGTGCAAACTGGGCTATTTTGTGTGTGCGCATGCATGCTCTGGTCTGGGGAAGGGGAACATGCCCCCTTCTTGTTCTGCTGGCTACACCCATTAATAGCCAAATGGGCACAAACCTACATGGTGTACAGCCACACGAGGCCAATAGTAAAGATGTCTATATATTACCTCCAGGATCAGAGATGCCATGCCTCTGAATACTAGTAATGTATTTCACAGTGAGTAGGAAGAGAATACTATCCTCAGGTCCTGCTTATAGACTTCTCAAGAGGCATCAGGTTGGCCACTGTAGGAAGCAGGATACAACATGGGCCTTTGTTGGTTTGATCCAGCAGGGTTAATCTTATGGTGAGGACAGAGGTGGATTTAGGGGAGTGTGACCAGTTTGCCCGCACTGGCTGCTGAGCCAAGAGGGTGCCGCAACAATGACAAACAACAGAAGGGGAGAGGCAGGGGTATATGCCAAATTTTGGCATTGCTCAAGGGTGGAATCGACACACATACAAAAAAAGTTGTGAAAATGCTTTTATTATATATATATATATATGTTGTTATTGTTGTTTAGTCGTATCCGACTCTTCGTGACCCCATGGACCAGAGCACGCTAGGCTCTCTATTATATATATATATATATATATATATATATATATATATATATATATGGTAATTTGCCATTAGTGTCACATTTGTATAATAACGCACTTAAAATATCATATCTGCAGCTTTATAGCTGAATCTAAGGTGCTGCTTTAAAGCCCAAAGTCTGCCACTGATGAGGACTCCTCTTCCTGGCACATGTTCCTGATGTGAAAACAGTTAGTTAGTTGTACCAATAGGAAAGTTGTTCTCATCATGGCCCAGTTTAGGCCTGACATTTTACACTAGCCGGATTAGCTGATCTTAAGGGTCGGAGTGACAGGCATTGCAGGCAAAAGGTGCCTGTTACTGCCAGAGCAACAGCATGTTAAAGGAGTTGGACCCACACGCACCACCTCTGTCCTTGCAATGCCAGCAGCAGCTCAGCTGATTTCTGTCTTGGCTTAGCTTTGGCATGTATGTTGCAACTCCTTCACTCCTGCTTCGTTTCCATTGGTTGCAATGGGGGCATCTGCAATACAAGACAGCAAGTAGTGAGTGGAGAGTCAGGAGAGAATACAGGAGGGGCAGGTCTGAGGAAGCAGACAGGCCTCTAGTTATTCATACAAGTCTGCCAATCTCTTGGTCATGCTTAAATGTGTAACTAAGACACAGGGCTTTTATATGTAATAACTCAGGTTTCCTAACATTGTATAAGGTTGCTCTTAGCTTGGTGTCTGATTTTTGAGTGGCACAGATATACTGTGTTTTTCCGTGTATAAGATGACCCCCGTGTATAAGACAACCCCCTATTTTGGACGAAAGAAGCAGCAGCAGCAAAAAACATAGTCTTATACACAGAAAAATATGGTACTCGGGCTGCTTCCATACTAGGTGTTTTTTTTTTTTGTAAGGGTAAAATTGCCTCACCTTGTTCACTCAAATTTTACAAAACGGATGTGTCTCTGTGATGTCGTCCACAATTTGTAAACCTCCTGCGTTTCCCCCAGAGCATCTTCCATTTGTTTTATTATTGCAGACAGTCTGTGTGCAGAAGAGCAATGCATTCTCCAAAGATATAGATACCATTAGTGTTGCTCTTCCATCTTTTCCTTTTTCTAAGATGGAAGAGTAGCATTAATTGCCCGCTTGGTGTGGGAAGGTAAAACCCTATCACAGCTCAGCATACCTTTGTGGTGGACACAATTTTATAAAACAGTTAACATTTTAATTGGTCTTTTAATTACCCCTACATCACTTTTCTATATGGATTGTTCAAAACAATACTAAAATATTTGCAAAGTACTGGGTAAATGAAATAGCACAATTATGATAATGTACAAAAGAAAAAGGCTTTATGGTCACTGGCATTTTAGCAATGTGTTCCTCCCCCATTAATTTTTTCCATTGTATACTCCTGATTCGAAATAAACATTATGCTTTGTTTTGTGGTATTTAATGGGTATATATATATATATATATATCCCACAATTAAAAGCGTGGTGTCCAAACTTTTTTCAAAGAGGGCCAGATCTGATGACGTGAAGGGCCATGAGGGACGACTGAAGGGACAACCAAGGTTGTTGACCTTTTTTTTAGGATTTAAGTTGTTGAGCTTTTCTTAGGGTTGAAGTTGTTCAGCTTTTTTTAGGATTTAAGTTGTCAAGGTTTTTTTAGAAATTTACCCCAGGAAATAAACTGCCACAGGGGCTGGACTTTGGACATGCCTGGAGTAGGGGCTTAGTGCTAAATAATTAAATAATTTTAGTTTATTGTTTTTAAAGGATCACTTGGAATCTCCTCCCCTCCAATAGTAACTCAAGTGATTTGAACCTTCACCCATTCTGCATCATACTGCTAGTGTAGATGGAGCATAGCGGGGTGAGCATTTGGGGAAAGTGCAGGAGCTCCAGTAGTGTGGAAAGTTGATTGCAGTTCTGTAAGCTACAGTGGAAGAGCAAAGATTAATTAATATTATGTGTGCTTCAAAAAAAAAGTTGTGGGATCAGTACTTCTTGTGCGTGCACTTTTTAAAAACAGCATCCACATGATGTCGTTGGCAGCAAAATGCCAGCCCATTCCTCCTCCTCCTCCTCCTCTCCATTTAATCTGGGTCTACCCTTTTTTTGGGAAATCCAATAAGTCAAAAACAAACAAACAGATAACTATGCTATCCTAATAACACCTTGCAAATTAACCCCTATCTGGAAGCACACTAGGAGCTATCTATCTGGAAGTAAAAAAATTCTCACACTAACACGTGTTTATATTTGTATGTGAAGGTAAATATTCTATATTGCATTTGCAGTATTCTGAAACTAGGCCAACAGAGCAATTCAAACCCCACTTAGGGCTTATCAGCCATCAGTGGCCCACAATGGCCCAATAATCTTGCCCTTCCTACTTTTGGCTGCGGAAGTGGCAGTGGTTCTGCTACTCCATCGAGCTCTGGCATAGGCAGTGCCAAGAGTGGTTTGTGCCTTAAGGCTGCAGTCCTGTACATACTGGGAGTTTGTCTTCTAAGTACCCATGTCTAGGATTGCACTGTAGTCCCTATACACACTTACCTGGGAGTCATCTCCACTGAAAATAAAAAAAAGTTTTTAACTTAAAAACTCTCCTCTTTGCAGGTTTGGTTTCAGAACCGAAGGGCCAAATGGCGGAAGAGGGAGAAATGCTGGGGCAGAAGCAGCGTAATGGCAGAATATGGGCTCTATGGTGCAATGGTACGTCACTCCATCCCACTGCCAGAATCCATCCTCAAATCGGCCAAGGATGGCATAATGGAATCCTGCGCTCCTTGGCTGTTGGGTAAGAGATGAACCTTGGGAATGGACCTATTTTGTCTAGCGTTTCTGGTAGGGTTCTGTCAGTGATGAAGGCAATAAAGCAGTTGGACCAGGGAAGTGTATAGGTAAACACAGAGATTACTGCTACGAGTATCAAGTTTGTCCAATACAGAGATGGAGAACTTGTTGCCAACAGATGTTGCTGGACTGCAGCTCTTATAATTCCTGACCATGGGCCATGCTGGCTGGAGCTGATGAGAGTTAAGAGTCCAACAACATCTGGAAACCACAAATTCCCCAACCTCCTGGCTGAAATTTGGTCATCTAGGGATTTGATCCCCAGGCTCTAAGTTGTGATTACCAATAGTGCATTATTTCCAAGGGGAAATTACGCTATTATACTTTATGAACTTCAAACCCCTTAATGCTTCTTATTCTTAGGCCTGGTGCTTATGCCTCACTCCAACAGCTATTTTGTGGTGAGTTCTCCTTGCCCATGCTGTGATGTCGTATCAGGCGTTTTCACGCCCCTCCCAGATGTTCATACTGGCATCTAGCTGAGGATGTAGACTTTTGATAGGATGGCAAAAATGGTTGTGGTTCCTTAAACAAAAACCCACAACTTTATTGTGGCATGAATCTTCATATGCAAGAGTCTGTTCTATCAGATGCATAAAGAAGAAGCATAGTGGGTAGTTGCCTATAGCAGATCATACAATAATAAATAGAGCAAAGGGGTTGTATATATGCAGATATTAAGAGCTCTGCTGGATCAGACCAAAGACATGTCTAGTTTAACATTCTGTCCTATAGTAGTTGCTTCTAGAAAGTTTGCAAACAGGCCTTGAAGTCAATAGCCCTTCTCGCTGCCTAATTTATGATATTCAGAGATAAAATGCATTTGAAGATGTCCTTGATATTTGTCTAATATGTTTTGGAAACTATCTAAACTAGTAGCCCTCACAGTGGGTTTAGCAAATTTCCTCTTGCACTCCTGTTCCTTGCTTGGCTCTTCTCTTCTGCTTTTTCAAACTAAGGCTACAAATAAAGTTAACTTATGGTTTCTTACAAATATGCTGCTTCGTACTTCTGGCTACTATGTGAAACCCAGAGTGGAAAGAGGGAGAGAGAGGGAAAAGGGCTGCAAAGGATGTGTGAGAAGAAATCAGTAGCGTACTTCTCAGCCCTGTAGGCGATAGCATAACCAGAGTCCCCCCACCAGGGCCTTCTTCACATACAGAGTTATTGCGAGAAGCACATTGCCACCATTTTATCTCTGTTAGCAGAGAATTACCCAGTCTAATAGAGTTAGGTGGCCCTGTATCTCTGGGTTCTTCCTTGCCCACCCACTAGGCTGGAGTGGACAGCTCCTGCCACTTTGATATCCTAGAATGTGTCTTCTGTATTAACAGCATTTTGTGCATTTCTCAATAAGTGCAACTTCCTTTCCCAACTCTGCTGCTGTCCCTGCTTGTGGACAACTTGTCCCAAACAGGATGCCCCATCCCATCAAAAATGCACAGACTTGGCATTATGATTACGACTCAGGTGTAGTCATGGCTCATTGCAGCACTGGCCCCAGTTTCTTACCTAGTTTTGGCCTGTCTCTGCCAGAGAACTGGCCTGAGCTCCCCCTCATGCAGGGCCCAGAGCAATGAGCTCTCTGTGTGACTGCTGTTTGAAGCAAGGCTTTCTGCTTTTCCTTAATTCTGGCCTCTCTTTATCTTTACTGTTTTCAGTTCAAGATGGCTTTCCCATGCCCAGGCGCTTTTCTAAACCCGAATACCAACAATTCTTTTTAGGGATGCACAAAAAATCTCTGGAAGCAGCGGCTGAGGCAGGAAGGAAGCCAGAGGTGGAACGCCAGGCTCTGCCCAAGCTTGACAAGAGTGACAAGGAAGAAAGGGGGCCTGACTCCAAAACCACCATTTCCCAGGAGGAACTGAGAGAGAACAGCATTGCTGCCCTCAGGGCCAAAGCTCAGGAGCACAGCACCAAAGTCCTGGGGACCATCCCTGGAGATCCTCCTACGTCAATCAGGAAGCCAGAGAAAGAGGAAGAGGCAGCCACGGCGGAGGATGAACGGCAAATGGAAAAGTCAGATTTATCACAAGAGGAAGATAAGCTGATTTAGAAGGAAGGGGATGATAGGAATCAGCCATCCTCTCTAAGATTGACTCCTCTAGGAGCTACAACCTCCTCTCAGACTAACAGGGCCCCTCCTGCAGCCCCTACACACATGGAGGTAGGCCCCACTTGGTCTCTGTACATTCCAGGAAGCCACGGCTAAGGCCACGTTCCGTCAGGTGTGTCTATAGAGACTGCTTTCCCTCGGGAGCATATTGCCCCTGCAGTCCCTGTCCTCAGGAGCGCTCTCGCTCTATGTCCCCACATTTCAAGGAAAAGGGAGGTGGGAATCATGTACCGTCTTAGTCGGAGAGGTAAATCAAGCTAGGATTTTTTCCCTCAACACCAGCCGTTAAACCAACGTTGGGTCTTTCCCCGCTTTCCCCCTTATTCAACCTCTGTTGTCCCATTCTCATCCTCATCCTAAAAAGAAGTATTTCTGTCATTTCACCGTATATATGACAGGCAGTCTCTTTATCCTTGTCTCAGTCAGGTTGTTAGCTTTTTCAGAAGAAGAATTACCTTTTCTTTTTATATGTTAATGTATACATGTTTTGAACTGCCCATCGCTTAGCATTGAGGCCAAGGTTTTTTTAAAAAATAAAGGAAGCCAGCCACTCCTTTCTCCAAAAGTCAGGCCAAATTTAAAACTGGCAAGGTGGCAACCCTACCTCAGATCAAGTCTCTTTCTCACTGCGGTATCAACATTGTAGTTGATTGAAGAGGTCCTGGCACCCTTCCAGTGCAATGTGAATTTTCCGTGGAGAATATACACCCCTGTTGTGACTTGTTTATGGCACCCAGACTGCAACATTCCAAAATCCTGACCTGCTCTCCTCAGGTGGCTATGCCGTTTTCCGTTTTAGCCCGATTGTTCAAGGAAAATTCTGTTAAAACTATTACATATGGCATTGAGTGTATTCTTACAGTAGTTTGACTCTTCCATAAAAGTCTTTCCTAAAGGAGGCCTCGTTTGTTCTGAAATGGAAAAGGAGCAATTAATTACTGAAAAGAGAGGTATACTATGGTTGCTCGGGTATTTTATATTGTCTGAGGTGGAAGCCTTGCCTCCTCATTCCAATTTGGGATGTAAGATCTGACAGGGTTAGGCGATGGTGAGAAAAATGCACTCTGAATACACTCGTGTCACATAACATATTCTAGGAGTTACATGTAGCATTTAAAACCATCCAGGGCTTTGCCCTTGTGAACCTTAGCTCAGTTTAAGTCAGGGCTGGAGTCTAAACAGTTGGTTCATGTTTCTCCAGCAGAAGTCAATAATAAATGGAGAATCACAGCCATCCTACCAGTAGCCAAATTTATAGGGGAGGTTTTACTGGTAAGTTTTTCACCTGCGTTTTAGAATACTAAGAGTCCGAGAGATGTGCTTAGGTCAGCGCTTGGCTCTCAGATAAAAGTGAGAACTGACTTTATTGGTGATCGCTCATTCACACATGCACGTCATTGCTTGATGCTGCAGTCATCAAATGATGTGTGAAATAGCCTATCTGAGGCAGACTGCTTGGGTGAACTTCCCCAATGCTACTCATGTGCAGCAAAAATATTAGCTGAACAATTTGTCCGATGTAAGTAGCATAAAATAAAGCACTAATGGACATCTTGGTGTCCCAAAAAAATAAAATTCACATATCCCGTTACCTTCATAGGCAATTGACTCAGACACTGAGATGAAGTCATGTACACAATGCCATAAGAAACTGCCTCAATTCCATGACAACATTGCTCTCCTATCCTTTTTTCTGTGAAGGCCCCTGGACAGCAAGTGTCACGTTCCCTTTCCCTGTCCTTGTTTCCAGCAAGAGCTGCTTTTACCTGAAGTTGTTGTTTTGGTTATGATTGATCTTTCCTCCCCACATAACCCCATTCTGCCTATGTCCCAGTTCTTTGGCGTCTTAGATTATAGCACTCAGTATGTAAATAATGTATATATGGTGAGAAAAGTTGGTATTTGAGGTGTTTAAGATACAAAGTTGTAACAACTAGTCATTTGAAACCTGTGATTTTTTTTGTGCCATTTTCTGTAAAGATATAAATCAGAATAAAACCGAACTAAAGATGAGCAAAACTAATGTTGTTGTGCACATGTCCTGAGGGGTCTGCGGGATGCAGGTGGAACTGTGGTCTACACCACTGAGTCTCTTGGGCTTGCCGATTGGAAGGTTGGCAGTTCGAATCTCCACGACGGGGTGAGTTCCCGTTGCTCTGTCCCAGCTTCTGCCAACCTAGCAGTTTGAAAGCATGCCAGTGCAAGTAGATAAATAGGTACCACTGTGGCAGGATGGTAAATGGTGTTTCCATGCTCTGTGGCACTCATCACGGTGTCCTGTTGCACCAGAAGTGGTTTAGTCATGCTGGCCACATGACCCGGAAAGCTGTCTGGAAAAACGCCGGCTCCCTTGGCCTGAAAGCGAGATGAGTGCCGCACCCCATAGTCACCTTTGACTGGACTTAACTGTCCGGGGTTCTTTACCTTTACCTTTTACCTTAAGGGGTCTGCATGTAAAATGGATTTCCAAACTCTATTGACAAACATACACAATTGTAAACTGTTTAGAGACTAGATATTCTGATGTGGGGCTGCCTGCAAGCATAGCAGGAAAAACTGGAAAAACAAGCAGAGAAATATAATAAATATAAAAACACAAAGGTACTTTGTGCCAGAACCCCATAGTTGTTGTTGTTGTTTAGTCGTTTAGTCCTGTCCGACTCTTCGTGACCACATGGACCAGAGCACGCCAGGCACTCCTGTCTTCCACTGCCTCCCGCAGTTTGGTCAAACTCATAGTTACCCTTCACATTTACTTCATGTACATATTTTGTGCTACTGAGTGACCTTTCATTAGTATCAACAATGTAGAAGACATAAACAATATTCATATAGCTCTGTAGTAAACTAAGCATAATAGGCTATGGACCATTGTTAGTTCTGTTCGTTGTGGGCTGCGGCAGTGGAGATACAGAGAATTAACAAAGACCAAACAACTGAACACAGTTATTTGAAGTATCCTTTGCCTGGTGTTGTATTGGGACAAGTACTCAGACTATGGAGAACCATGAATCCTGCCTAACTTAGCTATACCTCCTCCTAAAAATATTGTTATGCCCTATACTAGAACCACGATAAATCAAGAAGCAGCATTACATGACTCAGTTTCCTTGGAATGAGAGAGTTGGTAAGCGCTGAAAATATATGAGTTCTTACATGTTATTTACAAATATATGAAGCAGGGTATATTAGGAACAACTAGATCCCTAAACCAGGCAGCATAACTACTAATCCTGCATCCGATCTCCAAAGATCAACTGTACCCAAGGATTCTTTATGTTCAGACAACTGCAACTAAAAGTTGCAGCAACCTATGTTCATACTTAAACTGCAGAACTGATAGTTTTTCCTGGTCTCAGACTGCACTCAACAGGTAGACTGCCCATTATGTTGCCCTGGACCCCCTAGGGGAGGAATAATAATAATAATAATAATTTATTATTTGTACCCCGCCCATCTGGCTGGGTTTCCCTAGCCACTCTGGGCGGCTTCCATAGAAACCAAAAATACAGTAAAATATCACAGATTAAAAACTTCCCTGAACAGGGCTGCCTTAAGATGTCTTCTAAATGTCAGGTAGTTATTTATCGCTTTGACATCTGATGGGAGGGCGTTCCACAGGGTGAGCGCCACTACCGAGAAGGCCCTCTGCCTGGTTCCCTGTAGCTTTGCTTCTCGCAATGAGGGAACCGCCAGAAGGCCCTCAGCGCTGGACCTCAGCGTCCGGGCAGAACGATGGGGGTGGAGACACTCCTTCAGGAAGTGGGGGCTATACATTCAATAAACAAATAAAATATTATAAATGAAATATAAATAAATATAAATAAATATTAAAAATATTTGTCCCCAGACAAAGGCTAAGGGGACAGATTGCTTCTTCACTTGACATCCCACAGAAGTATTCTCACTGCAGTGCTTAGCACCTTGAACATTCTGAAGTGGTCAAATACATTATCTCAGTAATCCTTGTAACATCTCTCTAAACTGGGTCTGGATGATTATTTTCCTATTGCAAAGGATAAGGACCAGGGGCTGGGAAGAGGGTAGCTTAATAAAGGCATCTTTTTGAGTGATTCATTGACGAAACAAAATCTGAGCAACAGACTTTCTGGTTCCTGAACTACTCCATTCTAACCCCTCCATCTTTCGTCTCCTTATTTTAACTTCTGTGTATATAACAGTCAAACATATATACAAACAGATTAACATTATAATTATAAATCAAAGATTGGTTAGAGGTGCAAATTCAGGTAAGTGAGAGCCAAATAAAGTACAAGAAAGAATGAAGACAGCACCAATTAACCTTCTGCTCTTCACTATTGATCTGAACTGCATGTCTGACCTGGCATCAAGTGTTCTTTTTAACGTCTCCTGCCTTGCATTTATTTAGAAGAATATGCACCTTCTTTTTATAAGATTTATATATCAAAAAGGACCAGGTTCGCCTTGCGCCTTCATGATACACCTTAAGTGCCAGGCAAAAATGTTCCTCTTTAACCAGGCCTCTTAACCAGGCTGATTGACATACAACGCCCTTTGAAAAATGTGTTGAGGAGGGGGGTTTATTGGGTTGTTTTTGTTTTTATTATGTATTTTGTGGTTTTATGTTTAAACGCCCTCAGACCTGTGGTTATAAGGCGGTATACACATTTAATAAGTGATAAAAATATCAAAGCTGCTAGCCACAATATCATTTTTTAATATATACTGCAGCATGAGGCTATGTTTTACCTCCACTGTTAGAGGCAGTGTGAGAGGAGGCTGCCTCAGAGACTCATGGCAGCAACAGGCCAGCTTCTCCTCTTGGAATGTAAACCCCAAACAAAAAAAAGCGTCCTTTCATGTGTCCACCAGAGGGCAACACTTTCTCTTGCATGAGTTCGCAAAGGGTTTTCAACCAAACGCTGCGATGGATGGCATGAAAAAAGGGTTGTTTATGTGCGAAAGTTGGAATTGCCTGCTTTGTTGTAGCCACTTGAGGTAACTTTTAGCAGAACAGAATTTGTTGTTGTTGTTGTTGTTGTTATTATTATTATTATTATTATTATTATTATTACATTGCTCTTAATCTAAAGATCACAGGGAGGTTTACATAATAACAAACACACACACACCCTCCCAGTTTAAAGGGTACTAAATTGTTTAATTAGCCAAAGGCCTGGGAGAAGAGGAATGTTTTTGCCAGTTGAGCCTCCCTGGGGAGCCACCACAGAAAAGGCCTGTTCTCTTGTTGCTGCCCTCTGGACCTCTTGTGAACGAGGCACATGAAGAAGGGCCTCTGATGATAATTGCAGGGTGCAGACTGGTTCATATGGAGAGAGGCAGTCCTTGAGGTATTGAGATATTGTGGTCCTGAGCTGTTTAAGGCTTTATAGGCCACCTGAGCCTCAAGAAATACCACAGGACCCACAAATTGCCCCCCCCCCCAGCTGTATACCCACTCCTTCAGAGGGAATGTAACCCCATCAAATGCAGGTAACCTCCTGTCCATCCAGTCTACGGAACCACCCACTAACAGTGCCTCAGTCTCATCTGGGTTGAGCTTCAGTTTATTGGCTCTCATCCAGTCCATTACCAAGGCATGACATCGGTCCAGCATATCCGCTGCCACACGTGCAGATGTAAAGGAAAAGCAGAGCTGTGTGTCATCAGCAAATTGCTGACAATGTACTCCCAAACTCTGGATGACCCCATTCAGTGGTTTCATGTAGATGTTAAACAGCATGCAGGATAAAATCGAACCCCAAGGACAGTGGCACCAAAATCTGGTGCCCCACAAAGAAATGTTTAACGGAAGTAATTTATCCTGTTCCTCAAGTCCTGTGAAGAACCTGCTTTCCAAACCTCAGTTTCTTGCATCAAGATTAAAGGTATGAACGCCCTTTTTACATCTGCTAAGGACTGGCCCGCCAATGAGGCAAAGTGAGGCGACTGCCTCAGGTGGCAGGATCCATAGGGGCAGCAGATCCTGATGTAAATAATAATAATAATAATAATAATAATAATAATAATAATTTATTTGTACCCCGCCCATCTGGCTGGGTTTCCCCAACCACTCTGGGTGGCTTCCATAGAAACCAAAAATACACTAAAATATAACACATTAAAAACTTCCCTGAACCTTAAGATGTCTTCTGAATGTCAGGTAGTTATTTATCGCTTTGACATCTGATGGGAGGGTGTTCCACAGGGCAGGCGCCACTACCGAGAAGGCCCTCTGCCTGGTTCCCTGTAGCTTTGCTTCTCGCAATGAGGGAACCGCCAGAAGGCCCTCGGCGCTGGACCTCAGCGTCCGGGCAGAACGATGGGGGTGGAGACGCTCCTTCAGGTATACTGGGCCGAGGCCGTTTAGGGCTTTAAAGGTCAACACCAGCACTTTGAATTGTGCTCGGAAACGTACTGGGAGCAATGTAGGTCTTTCAAGACCTGTGTTATGTGGTCTCGGATGTAAATCTTTATTCCCACCCCCTTGTTCCTGATGTAGATCTTCACTCCCTCCTTCTTCCCTGGTGGGGAGTGGGGTGCTCTTTGGTGGTTCACAACAGGTGCCAAAATGCATCTGCTAGATGTAAAATGTTATCCAGTGTTTATTCATTTGTCCTTGATTTGTTCTGCTGCAAGAAGGGGTTGTAACTTTGCAGAGCATACGTGACTGGTACAGTAGCAGAGGGAAACTGGTTTAGCTGGTTTGGCACTTGCAGAACAAATCGAAGCTGTGGAAAATAAGAAGCTGCCTAAGGCCATCTGGGAATTGGCAGCAGATGCTGGAGTTGGGATGTGACTGCAAGGCACCTTGTCTTGCGCTCAAAACTACTAAGTTTACATCCTTATAAGGCTGAGAATGTTGAAAACCATAATGTAAACCTATTATCTTGTTTTCATTTTAAAAAATAGCATTAAATTAAGCACAGAGGGATTGGAATAGAAAGTGAAGAGTCAGGGCCCCTAAGGTAGCTTCCAGAGCAAAAACACAAAAATCCAATAAGATAAGATACCGTATTTTTCGCTCTATAACACGCACCCGACCATAACACGCACGTAGTTTTTAGAGGACGAAAACAAGGGGAAAAAAATTCTATTCGAACCAGTGGATGTATGTTTTTTGTGGTTCATGCTGTGGCCACAGACATGTGATCTGACGGTGAGTTTGGAGTAGCCCAATGCAAAAATCCTGAGGATCCATGTGGATCCATGCTTTGTAACCATGTTTTTGCACCACTGCGGCCCCAGGCAACAGTGGGTGCGTGATTTTTTTGGTGCAAGCTGTAGCCATGGACATGCTATGTGATCTGATGCTGAATTTGGGGTGACCCAGTGCAAAAATCCTGAGGATCCATGTGGATCCGTGCTTTGTAACCACGTTTTAAGTGGGGAGGGAAGGAAAAGCACTCAAGGGACAAGGAGCACACGTGGGGTGTGTGGAGAAGGATGCTGCATAATGCAGAAGAGGGGTTTAAGGGGAGAAGCAGCACGCATGGGGTGGGTGGAGAAGGATGCTGCTAATAATGAAGAAGAGGGGTATAAGGGGAGAAGGCTCCTCTCCTCTCCCACTTTGCTCCTTTAAAGCAAGCAGGCTCTGCTTTTCTCCCTCCTCCCTGCTCATCCCCGGCTTAGCGAACTGAAAAACTTTGCTGCTATGAAGCGAGCTGAGTGAGGAGAAGAGAGGGACAGAGAGCCTGCTTGCTTTAAAGGAGACAACCAGACAACTCGTGTAAGCGGCTCCTCTCCTCTCCCGCTTTGCTCCTTTAAAGAAGCAGGCTCTCTGTCCCTCTCTCCTCCCCACTCAGCGGCTCTTCTCCCGCTTTGCTGTTTCAAAGCGAGCCACGGAGGAGGGAAGGAAGGGGAACCATGGATCCTCTGCTCAGGACTGCAGCAGATCCCCCCGCCATCCGTAGGCATTCGCTCCATAACACGCACAGACATTTCCCCTTACTTTCTAGGAGGAAAAAAGTGAGTGTTATGGTGCAAAAAATACGGTAATTTATTATGGTTAAAGACCAGCTCACATAGCATAACACAATAAAAACAGTGTTCATAAATATAAAATATACAGTCGGAGCAGATTGCAGCAATAGCTCATTAGTTAAAATTGAGATATATACATACACCTGTACAACTGAGGTTTGGGCTACCATATAATATTGACCCTGAGGCGCCCCAAAGGGCGACTTCAGCATTTCCCTAGTTAGCTATTTTATTCTAGAGGATGACCTGTGCCTACAAATCTGGGCGCAGAATCTGGCTACCAGCCAGGTTCTCTTGTGATCTTTGCCTAAGAGGAGAAAATTAAGTTTAGACTTGTCTGAAAGATCGGTGAACCTCTTCAGCAAAGGATCAATGGTGTCTCTACGAATCTCAACATAAAAAGGACATCTAAAATATATACCGTATTTTTCGCCCCATAGGGCGCACGAGCCCATAGGACACACCTAGGGTTTTTTTTTGGGGGGGGGAAATAAAGAAAAAAATTTATTTCCCCCCCAGGCGCGGGGCTGGGGCGGGGGAAGCCCGAGCTTCCCCCAACCCCAGCCCCCAGAACAGGCAGCTCTCCGCAAGCCTTGGGAGACCGGCGCGACTTCCCACCGGGCTCCCACGGCTTGCGGATATCTGCCTGAAGCCCAAACCAGGTCCGGGGACAGCGGGATGGTGGTGCTCCGCCTCCCCGCTGTCCCCCGAGCTTCTGGGGCTGGCGGAGGGGAGAAGCTTGCTTCTCCCCACCGCCAGCCTCCAAACCAGGTCGGGAAATAGCGGGATGGCAGCGCTCCGCCTCCCCGCTGTCCCCTGAGCTTGTGGGGCTGCCCGATATCTGCACGAATCGGGATGCAGGCTGCTATCCGCAAGCCTGGGAAGCCCGACGGGAACTCCCGCAGAGCTCCCAAGGCTTGCAGATAGCTTCCTGAAGCCTGGAGAGCGAGAGGGGTCCGTGCACACCGACCCCTCTCGTTCTCCAGGCTTCAGCGAAAGCCTGCATTCGTCCCATAGGACGCACACACATTTCCCCTTCATTTTTGGAGGGGAAAAAGTGTGTCCTATAGGGCGAAAAATACGGTATTTTCGGGGCTTCCTATTTCCCCTAACGGGCAGGTGCAAAGTCTCTGTGCGTACGGGACTCTTCCATAGGAGCCTTCCAGAACTGGTGAAGGCAAGGCCGAGCTTCTAACAAGAGTAAAAGCCCTTCTTGCATTTCTGGATGTGAGGAAATAGAAATATGTTGCTGGAGTGGCTACGTATCTCCTGTTTTCTATGGTTTTATCATTGGGGACCCTTGTAGAGTCCTCTTGTCTCTCTATGTCCATGATTCTTTGCCTAACCACGGATTTAGGTTGGCCCAGGCCCATAGTTATGAGGATTTGGGGAGCAAAAAAATTCAATAAAAATAATGTGATTAAAAATAAATGCAATACATCAGTGTACAGCACAATCCTGTGCGTGACTATTCAGAAGAAAGCACAATTGAATTCAGTGGGACTTATTTGGCCTGGATAAGTGAGCAGAGAAGACTGCAGCAGAAATAATTGAAAGAACAGAAAGAGATGGCCTCTGTGGGAGGATTACACTTTGCAAAACCACATATTGGGGTAACCCATATGTGTCACTTTTTATTTATTTAACAGGGAGGTGTAGGGCAATATAAAAAGCCTTTAAAAACAATAGAGAACAATCAGTAGAATTGTTTTTAGGAGGCTTTCAAATATTTCTACTTCTTGTCAAAATTTATCATTCTATACGAGTGCCATTCGAAACAACGCAGCACACAAAGTTGCATGTATGCCCTCCTGGAAAATAACTCTAATATGCCTGCAGAATAACCCTAAAATTATCGGAAGTTCACTACAGGATATGGAGAAGGCAGAATGGGCAAAAGGACATGAGGAAAAAGAGTATGCACATCTGATTTAAGAGTGACCGCGCATGCGCGCATCACAGCGACCTGGAAGTGGCAGGGAAAGGGGGCATAATGGGGTAGAGGTGGAACGGGTGCAGGGTTCAGGAACATAACCTGAGTGTAATTCGGTTGTTGCCTGAACATGAGGAAAAAGAAGAAGCCTGTAGCAAAGATACAAATAGAACTGCTGGAATGGCAACAGTTAAGACCCGTGACTTTCATACTTTCTAGAGCCAGGGAACCCTTTTCTGCATCTGGCAAGGAATCCCTGCCCATCTTCTGTGGATCTCCTGCGCAAGGGATTGTGGGAACTGTCCAAGGTCACATGATTGTTCATATCGGAGCAGTGGGCCTGTTCACTGTTGTTCCACTTGCCCCAGAAAGAACAGCCAACAGATTGCAGGGGAAGTTGGGTGGTTGTAGGCAAACTATCATTCAGGGAAACATGCCTGCTGTTATTGGTCTTGTCATTGAGAAAACTGTGATAAATTTCCAAGAAACCCCTGGGTTTCCTGGAAAAACACAGCACCAAAGCTATTGCGGCAGGGGAACTACATCTGCCGGTGTCTTTAATGTGCTGGAAAAGCAAGTGCAGGAGTATAAGGAATAAACTGGACTAGGGGCCTCCTTTTCCTTTTATCATGAACTGGCACACTGCAATCTACATGTTACATACCCCAGTGCATGCTGTACTTCACAAGCAGATTATTTTTTCCCCGTAATCCTGTGACCCCGTATCTATTGCAGAGTAGTTACTAGAAGAGGAATGCAACACAGTGTGAGCCAACACAGTCGAGTCTGGATAAACTGTGGCTATGCATACAACTAACAGCCATAACTGGCTTCAGTACAGGAGGAGATTCAGTTTAGCATGAAGGTTATTCCAGTTGGACATTCCTAAACCCCACCCCCTACTCCTCCCTTCAAAGAGATTGAATTTCCTTTGCATATTTTCTTTGGAAGAGGAGCAGTAGATGTGTGGTTGGTTGTTTCTTTTTCAGGGAGAGAGTGGAACGCTCTGTTGAGCTCTCAACGTGGATTTACAGTTTGGTGACCGAGGAGCAAATGAGCCTACATCTCTCCGTGGGAGGGAAAAGACGCCACATTTTCCAAACTAGGATTTATGCTTAGATAAGAAGAAACTTGGCTTGGCTGAGGGACAGGGGGTTTCTCTTGTACCCCGGGATCATGGCCTGGCTGTTTGCTAGAAATTGTTTCGCAGAAATTGCCCCTGGAGGCAAATTGTCCTCTTACATATTCAGAGCGTGGAGCAAAGGGGCTCTAAGTGCATACATGCCAGAGGCCACCTCTTTTCCTGGACCAAAGGACCACCACGGGTTGTACCAGGTATCTGTGGAACAAACAGATGCATTCTGGGGAGCACTAGGGAGAAGCCGGCTTCTGTGGATCAATCCTTTTCATTCTGTCAGTAACTGTAACCTGCAGCAGGGCCACTTGACCTGGTTCCTCGGAGGGCAGCTGAATGTAGCAGGTAAGGAGAAAACATGCTGTTCTTTCCGCCCCCCTGCCTCTAGGGAGGAAATTCTAACTTCCATAGACTGGATCCTTTTTTTATTATCCAGTATAAACACGGTATAGATGCGGGTGGCACTGTGGGTTAAACCACAGAGCCTAGGACTTGCCGATCAGAAGGTCGGTGGTTCGAATCCCCGCGACGGGGTGAGTTCCCGTTGCTCGGTCCCAGCTCCTGCCAACTTAGCAGTTCAAAAGCACGTCAAAGTGCAAGTAGATAAATAGGTACCGCTCCAGCGGGAAGGTAAACAGCGTTTCCGTGTGCTGCTCTGGTTTGCCAGTCATGTTGGCCACATGACCCGGAAGCTGTCTGCGGACAAACGCTGGCTCCCTCGGCCTATAGAGCGAGATGAGTGCGCAACCCCAGAGTCGGTCACGACTGGACCTAACGGTCAGGGGTCCTTTTACCTTTACCTATAAACATTCCATTCAAGGTGGCAAAACACTTGAAGGAAGCTGGTGTGGGGCATTGCATGGAGCTGTGATGTGCATTCAAATCCCTCCTCAACCTTGAAGCTCACGCCGGGTAGCCATGGACTAGCTAACATTTCTCAGAGTGGCTTACCCCACAGGGTTGTTGTAAGAAGAGAATGGGGGAAGCTATCCATACTGTCCTGGCCTCTTTGGTGAAAGAATAGGATAAAAATATATGTGACAATAATAATATAATGTACAGAAAAACAATAACAGGCCTTAAGGTGAGATTCATTGCCTTGTTGTTTTCTTCCAGATCTGGGAATTATTTTATTTCTTATAGATTAGACCATAATCTATGGTCTTTGGGATAAAAGTTCTGTCCAAAACTTCTTGCAGTGTGCCTGGTTTTTGCACCCATGCTGGGTTCCGAACGTTCACATTCCAGTCACACCAAATTTGAGTCCAGGGGGCTCAGACTGACTAGAAGAGAACCACAATATAATCAAATAATGAGTGGAAGCATCATGCAAGCATGTGGAACACACCATGTAAAATGTGTGGTGGGAAATATCTGGTTTCCCAAAGCGCACTAATGCATAAAATTGTTCATTTGTTCAAGTATGTGGCTGTTCTGTTGCCTATTGTACACCAAATGTTTTCCATTTTAGCGTTCAAAGATTTAGGGTGCAACCATCGGCCACATCTTTGTTTAAGAATTCTTCTGGGACAAGATATTGTCCAATTCTTTTGAGTTGCCACACTATCTATTATTTATTTATTTCATTAAATTTATATACCGCTTAATTGTTGTTGTTTTTTAAAGAAAAAACCCCCTCAAAGCGGCTTACAAAAAGAGTCTAGCCTGGTGCCGTATCAAGTACCCAGGTGCGATTCTATATCCTGACTGACAATGGTCTCCCGGGTTCTAGTCCAACACTCTAAACGCTACACCACACTGACTCTGTTGAAGGGTAGAATATATATATATTTAAAATACAGTAACTAAGAAAAAGGAGATTGTAAAGTGGCAGAAATGGAGACTCGGTGAGCAGTAACCCACACCACGATTAACATAAACTGTTGAACGCTATCTATGATTTGCTGAGCGCCGAAGTGTCTCACATTGTACCAAACAGCTGATTATTCAGCTGTGTTCATTGCCTTAATAACTGCTGTAGAGAGACTGGGGATTAAGAAATGAATCTGAGTGTCTAGTAAACAGAAGCGTATTTGAAATGTAATGGGCTGGTGGCATTGAACCTTACTTTCCGCTACAATTTTAGATGGGCAAAATGAGCAACTGAAATAATACAAGCTGTGAAACGAAATAATACAAGCTGTACAGCTAATCTATTACAGGATGTACAATCTACAAAGGTTGTGCAACTGATGTGTTTTGGGCTGTGCAAATAATTAACTTGGGATGTACAGCTTTGACTTCTGCATATTGATAATAGGTTGTGCAATTGACCTTAGGCAGTGTTGTTGACACGGGGCAACTGCTACCTGCACAATCTACTGTACAATTTGTTACAAATCAGCTGCAAAATTGTCACTCAGCAATCTGATGATGGCCAGTCTCTTCTTGTACATTTATAGAATACTTAATATCGATAATTCCAGTACTTTTATGTGTTAATAATATTTATTATGCTTTTGTATATGCAGGAAACCACTCAGAGGGCCTGCAGCAATAATGACACTATTATTATTATTATTATTATTATTATTATTATTATTATTAACGTTCCACTTTCTCCATAACATTGGATAAACCGCAGACACCTGAGCCTGTCATAATGAGCATCTTCTCTTTTAGTCAACTGTTTGGATAGACATGTCCACAAAGCCCCCAATAAAGTTGCCCTGATCTGGGAGAAAGATGAGCCTGGGCAAGAGGAACGGATTACATACAGGTAATTACTTGCCTTTTTGCACACCCAGACAAGGGAGGGGGAGCTGCATTTAAAAACTATTCAGTTTTCTAATATGTGTGGACATTATTCGTCTGGAGAAAATGCCACAATGCAGTCAGTTTATAGTTCCCATTCCATAATGTTAAGCTCAGCCTGCAAGTTGCAATGATGTTCTTAATATTGCAATGCTGTGTCTTAATATCAGAACTCAAATTTCAGTATATAAAGTGATACTTTTTAGGGATGGGCAACCTGTGGCCCTCAGGGCCGTCTTAAGCATATCCGGTGCTGTGGTGCAAAGGTCCCTTCGGCGCCCCCCCTTTCCCAGAGTTGTCGACCTTTTCCCAAGCCTCTGCGGGGATCATTCTCTTTCCACAGAGGCTTGGGAGGCAAGCTGCCTGCCCGCCAGCCATATGGTTGACGGGGCACAGATGGCGAGCGTGCAGGGAAAGGGGAAGCCAATGGCAAAGGTGCACAGCTCCTTCACTCACTGGGGCGTCCCTGAGAGGCCAGCGCCCTGGCGCAACACGCCACTAAGCCCAATAGGAAAGACGGCTTTGGTGGCCCTCTAGATGTTGCTAGACTCCAGCTGCCATCAGAGCAGGGCTACTCCAGTGTGGTGTAGTGGTTAAGAGCAGTAGACTCATAATCTGGGGAACTGGGTTCGCTTCCCCGCTCCTCCACATGCAGCTGCTGGGTGACCTTGGGCCAGTCACACTTCTCTGAAGTCTCTCAGCCTCACTCACCTCACAGAGTGTTTGTTGTGGGGGAGGAAGGGAAAGGAGAATGTTAGCCGCTTTGAGACTCCTTCGGGTAGTGATAAAGCGGGATATCAAATCCAAACTACTACTACTACTACTACTACTACTCTTCTTCTTCTTCTTCTTCTTCTTCTTCTTCTTCTTCTTCTTCTTCTTCTTCTTCTTCTTCTTCTTCTTCTTCTTCTGTTTTATACCAAGGGGGAAAAAGTTCCCTCTAGCCCAGTATGACATTAGCCTTCCATATCTTCCTTATTCCTCTTACTTTTGATGGAAGATACAAGGGAGTCAGTGCTAAAGCTCATAAATGTGGTGCTCTGTAGTTATTGTCCTTAACATGATTCAGAAGAGACTGGTGGTTTTTTTTTAAAGAGGGTATCTAAACAACCAGGTGTTTTCTTTGGACAGAGAATTGCTAGAGATGACATGCCGCCTTGGGAACACCTTGAAGCGACATGGAGTGAAGAAAGGTGACCGAGTCACCATTTACATGCCCCCGTGTCCGATGGCTGTGGCAAGTATGTTAGCCTGTGCCCGAATTGGAGCAATACACACAGTGGTATTTGCTGGATTCAGTTCCGTTGCATTGGCTGACAGGATCCATGATGGTAAGAGCCTCCTTCACTGAGGACTGTACACGTCCTTTTCTTCATTTTTCTTTTACTAACTTTATATACAGTCTCAGGGACCAACTGAGTGTGCAGAAATAGTGATTTATATGCAAATATTTCTGCCGTCAATGTTCTCCTACCAAAAGTCCTTAGAGCACTCCATCCTCCAGTCTTGATGGAAAGAAAAGTATGGAAAGGGGTGTCTTTTTAAAAAACTAAAAAATCATTTTAATCATGATACTTTTTCCCTCCCTTCTCCTGCGTTGTAATCTTCCAACCCAAGCCTGATCCCAACAGCACTGTAGAGCTCATGGCAGGCTGTGGAATTACTTTATAACAAAGCACATTTGTGAAGGAATCCCTACCAGCATCAGGAAGGGATTTTCTAGAGGAAGGAATTCACCCCCTATATATAAAGTACTTGAGCTGTGAAGAAAGTGCAAAAAAGAAGAAGTAAAGGACCCCTGGACAGTTAAGTCCAGTCAAAGGCGACTATGAGGTTGTGGTGCTTATTTTACTTTGAGGCCGAGGGAGCCAGTGTTTGTCCACTGACAGCTTTCTGGGTCATGTGACCAGCATGACTAAACCACTTCCGGTGCAATGGAACACCATGATGGAAACTAGAGTCCGCAGAAATGCCATTTACCTTCCCACCAGAGCAGTACCTATTTATCTACTTGCACTGGCGTGCTTTCAAACTGCTAGATTGGCAGGAGCTGGGACAAAGCAACGGGAGCTCACCCTGTTGCAGGGATTCGAACCGCCTACCTTCTGATTGGCAAGCCCAAGAGGCCCCGTGGTTATACCACAGTGCCACCCATGTCCCATGCAGGGGAAAAGGGTACAGTATGTTGTATCTGTATTGTTTTCTTTCATCTTCTCCAGCTCAGTCTGAAACAGTGATCACAGTGAACCAAGGCTTGCGAGGGGGCAAGTTGGTTGAGTTAAAGCAGACAGTGGACGAGGCTCTCGAATTGTGTCCAAAGGTGAAGCGGGTTTTCGTTTCAAGGAGGACTGATAAGAAGGTGCCCATGTCAGGCCTGGATCTGCTGCTGGAGGAGGTGAGAACCAATACCCCACTCATGGGCTGTATTTGAACATCATTGGTGGCTCCATAAGCCGCAGTTTATGTATGCTATAAGCTATAGATAAGCACTGGGGCAGCCTGCTCCTCTCATGCCTCTCTTCTCCTCCTCCCTCCCGCCAGCACATAACAGCATGGCAGGAGTGGTCATTCACAGTGCTCACCTGCAATTTCATACATTCATTTATTTAAAATGTTTTAATGCTGCCCTGAAAATATTCTAAACCTTCTCAAAGCAGTTTACAAAAAATAAAATAAAAAGTAAGGTATATTTATAAGATTCAATTAGCTGAAACATCAACATTAAAATAAAATTTGAAATACATACGTATTAGGATATCAGTACAGTGGTACCTCGGGTTACAGATGCTTCAGGTTACAGACGCTTCAGGTTACTGACTCCGCTAACCCAGAAATAGTACCTCGGGTTAAGAACTTTGCTTCAGGATGAGAACAGAAATTGCACGGCGGCAGTAGGCCCCATTAGCTAAATTGGTACCTCAGGTTAAGAACAGTTTCAGGTTAAGAACAGACCTCCGGAATGAATTCAGTTCTTAACCTGAGGTACCACTTTAACAGTGAAAACTAAAATGGTAGAATATGTAATAGAAAACCAGCATAAATTGAAAGACTGAAATGTTTAAGGCCCATTTAAGAATAGTAAGGAAGGGAGCCAGGTAAACCTGCTATGGAAGAGCATTCCGTGAGGATGGGACCAGCACACAAAAGGCCCTGCCTCTCATGAGCTCATATATCCTACTGGCAGACATGTGAGCAGGGTCTCCATGATGGTTCCTATATATAATACATTTCTGAAGCTGCTGTCAAACATCTGGGGGGGGGGGAACCCACTATTTTAGCCTTCTTATATCCATTATTGAGATGTTATTGAGGAAGATGCAGAGGAATCTTTAGGAATCTGCATTAGGATCATCAACTTTTTTTTTTTTAAAAAGGTGCCAATAGCAGCTTCACCCTTTGGAGTGAGATTTTAGCAGTAGGGGAGGGGTATTTAATCCTGCTTGCACAGTTACCTGATTAAAATTCCCCGCCCCCCTAAAGAAAAGCTCCTTTTGTTTCTACAGAAACAGAACAATAAGGTCAAAATGGTGTGGTAGTGTCAGACTAGACAAGATGCTAAATAAGTAAGTTGCAATAACATCTGCTTTTAAAAAGCATATAGAAGACATGGGGTCTATTTTCATCATTTTTATGGGGATGGGCCATAGCTTAGCGGCAGAGCATCCGGACACTTAGTGTGTAGACAATGGCCCAATGGTCTGACTGCATAAGGCAGCTTTCTATGTTTCTACCCATATCAGTAGGAGCGATGGAGGCTATACTTGTGGAGCTAATATACTGTCAAGCTTCTTTCTTCAGCCATGAGAATTTGAGATATGCTTAAAAAAACCCCAAAAGCTTGGGGAAGTGGGGATGTGTGTGTGGAAAAGGTGGGCCCAGTCCCACTAAGCTTCCTTCTTAATTTGGCCCTTGGTGCAGGGGGAAGTGAAGGAGGCCTGGGGGCTGTGAAGAGAGCCTACTGAGAGAGCTTCTCTGCTTCCTGTGACAGGAGATGATGAAGGAGGATGTGACCTGTGAGCCTGCTGCCTTGGAGAGTGAAGATTTACTGTTCCTCCTCTACACTTCAGGAAGTACTGGGAAACCCAAAGGACTGGTGCATACCCAGGCAGGTTATTTGCTGTACGCTGCCATCACACACAAGGTAAGTCCACACAAGCGTACAGAGCAGAGATATCCCGTAACTTCACAGAGGACAATTAAACCCCTGCTAACCTGCCATGTCATATTTCCTTCTACGCATCTGCTATTGGAGAGCCGCGCAGGAGCTGCTGGCTATAATTTACTCCTCACTAAGGGAGAATCTGGCTGGTCACAGGCTCGACAGCAACTAAGGTGACAGCAGACCCGAAGCCAGGCATAGCGAGCAGCCTTAATCAAAACTGGTGTCTCACCATGATGAAAGCTGTGTAGACACTTTGGGGAACTTGTATTATTTGCCTTACAGAGCTCAAATCAATTTCCGTACAGATGCAGACTGGGAAAGAGCTATGCTTAAAAGGCTTCTTGGATGATGAAAGCCTTCAGTAGGTGCCAAAAACAGAGACATTACCAGTCTAATGTTTAAGGGGGTGGATTTCCGAAGGATCGGTGCCATAACACTAAAGACTCTGTTCTTATATGGTGTGGCGTGGACCTCCTAATAAGTTGGTATATATAAGCAGCCCTCACAATGATTGACTCAGGTATATAAGGACTGAGGCAACATTTCACATATCTGTATAGGACTTTATACACCAAAACCAAAACCTTGAACTGACAGTAGCCCGGTCAGCCAATGCATTTATTTCGACAGCAGGGTAACATGTTGGTGATATCCTGCCCAAAGAGCAGTTAAGCTCTTGCATTTCCCACCAGCTACAGCTTCTGGACCAACCTCAAGGGAGAGCCCCACAAGGAGCGCATTGCAGTAATCCTGCCTGGAGGTTACCAATGTCAGCGGTCAGGATTTCATGGTCCAGAAACAGCCATATCTGTTTTACCAGACAAAGCTGGTAAAAGGCACTCCTAGCCACTGAGGTCACCTGGGCCTCCAGTGACAAAGATGGAGCCAGGAGCATCCTTGGAGTACAAATGTGCTCTTTCAGGGGCAGTACAACCCCACCTAAAGCAAACAACTGAACAATTATCCCGACTGTAGAGTTACCTTTTCAGGGAAAATCTATTTAGTTTTTTAAAAGGTTGCCAATGACTTGTTTGCAATTAGAATCATAGCATCATAGAATTGTAGAGTTGGAAGGGATCCTGAGGATCATCTAGTCCAACCCCCTGGGATGCAGGAATATGGAGCTGTCCAAATTGGGGATCAAACCTGCAACCTTGGCATTATCAGCACCACACTAACCAACAGCCTGTTTGCAGTATTAAGCCCCCATTACAGATGCACTCTAAATCCCACTGCATTCAGTGGAGCCGACTGCCAGGTCAGTATGTAGAGAATTGCAAAAGTATAGATCAGTTCTAGATATGTCTTTCAAAAGTCATTCTCACTGTATTCAGCGGGGCCTATTCCCAAGTAACTGTGCATAGGAGTGTAGCCTTTCTCTGGAAGCCTGATCCCAGGTTTACACATTAATATAACTGATAATGGGATTTAATTCTGAGTAAAAATGGTCAATTCAGATTGAGAATCAAGTGAATTCATCATCATCAGAAATTACATTTTTAATACTTCTAGCTGCAATTCTTTGGCACAGAACATAGGAGAAGGCATCTGTGCAGTATGTTACTTTGAGGCTACTTTGAGAGCCAGTGTGGTGTAGTGGTTAAGAGCAATAGACTCGCAATCTGGGGAACCGGGTTCGCGTCTCCGCTCCTCCACATGCAGCTGCTGGGTGACCTTGGGCCAGTCACACTTCTTTGAAGTCTCTCAGCCCCACTCACCTCACAGAGTGTTTGTTGTGGGGGAGGAAGGGAAAGGAGATTGTTAGCCGCTTTGAGACTCCTTCGGGTAGTGATAAAGCGGGATATCAAATCCAAACTCTTCTTCTTCTTCTTCTACTCTGTGATTTGGTTCATCCATCTCCTAATGTATTATTTTTAAAAGGAAATGCAGACATTAGTGGCTATAAATTTGATTTCAGGAGCTGTGCTGGGGAAGGAATACTCAACCCTTTTTTTCATAGGCTACTATTGCAAATAAAATCCCCCCTCCCCAGCTGCTTCTGCCCTGGCAGGTTCTCATAAAATGGAGGGGAATAGTTTTGCTCAGAAAAATGGCTCATAGCGAAAGGGTTAAGCATTCATCCAGTGTTCAAACCTACATTTTCCTGGAAAGGAAAAACAAAAAAAAAGTTGGAATATTGGCCACAGAGCTTCCAAATGCCTTTGAAAACCACAAGATCAGATTGCAGTGGATTTCTGCTTTTTTCTCCCTGCTGAAAGCAGCACTCTTGGTGATGTCTTCATAACGAAGCAACCCAGAGAATGGCAAGTTTCCATTGCAAACATGCTGACCCACGCTCCTCTGGAATCCTCATCTGTCACCAGGAGGATGACATTGCTACAGCAACCCCAATAACAATAAGCTCAGAGAGTGGGGAGGGGAGAGGGCACGGGGTATTGTTTTTCATAACAGCTGCAGAAGCAACAGCCAGAAAACCTAGAGAGGATACTTTTGATAATGATCTGGTTTAAAAGAAGCAGGAAGTGAAACAAGAAATGGGCCCAATGAAAATAAGTTTTGCCAAGTGGATCATCAGCCATGCAGTCCAGTTGTTTCTGAATATGCTGTAACTCTATTTTGCTCCAGGACAGCATTAAAAAGCCAGCCACATTTATAGACAGGAGACTGAGCAACAGAAATTGCAACAAGCTCTGAAATGATGATTGTTGGTTACAGCAAGGAACAATCAGGAGCACGATGTTAAGGTTGCAGTAATCTCTCTGGATGCCCCATGCCTGTCACATATGATGGCAGGCGTGGGGCAGATGAGTGTGGTTTGGGGGAATCTCATGAACCAGGCCTAAGGTAAAGGTAAAGGGACCCCTGACCATTAGGTCCAGTCGTGACCGACTCTGGGGTTGCGGCGCTCATCTCGCTCTATAGGCCGAGGAGCCGGCGTTTGTCCGCAGACAGCTTTCGGGTCATGTGGCCAGCATGACTAAGCTGCTTCTGGCGAACCAGAGCAGCACACGGAAATGCCGTTTACCTTCCCTCCGGAGCGGTACCTATTTATCTACTTGCACTTTGATGTGCTTTCGAACTGCTAGGTGGCCAGGAGCAGGGACCGAGCAACGGGAGCTCACCCCGTCACGGGGATTCGAACCGCCGACCTTCTGATCAGCAAGTCCTAGGCTCTGTGGTTTAACCCACAGCGCCACCCGCGTCCCAGGCCTAATTAGGCTCAAAAACAGTGTTGTCCAACCCTGCTGTTGATAGAGCTGGTTTGCTGTGGCAAGCCATGCATACCCATCGTTTGTTCAGCAGAGGAAGCGAGAATGTCTCCTCCAGGCCTGGAGAGCATTTCTTGAATTTCTAATTGTAATTACAAGCTATGTAAAGGATGGAAGGACTCGGTCGGATCATTTTAAAGCAACAAGGGTGTTACAACTCTGGATAAAACAAGCATGGCCAGCAGGCCAAGCCACTTTTGCCACTACTGAGACCGATAATTGCTATGAACACCACTGCACCCAAACATTTGGTTTTTCCATTTTGTTGTTCTATGACATTGCTTCCCACTGGGCTTGTTCACACAATGCTTTTTAAAAAGAAGTATCTGTCTCTTGGCACCGTATTAGAAAAGTTTGTTTTACTCTAGACATGTCTGGCCAGAGATATTAAAGGGAAGAAAAACAGGAAGTATGAACGTTGGCAAGTTTTCCAGTACGGAAACAGTACCCCAACTATAGATAACTTTTACCCAACAGATGTTATGTAAACTTGTTGGGTGGGGAGGAAGTTGTTCTCATTTCTTACATCCCTTGCTTTTCTGCAGTATGTGTTTGACTACCATGATGGAGATGTCTTTGGCTGCATTGCAGACATTGGCTGGATCACAGGGCACAGCTATGTGGTATATGGCCCTTTGTGCAACGGAGGAACCACAGTCCTTTTTGAGAGCACTCCAGTGTACCCTAATCCAGGTAAAAAACAAAACAAAACAAAACAAAACAGTAGACACAATAAATGGCTGTAGACAAGGCTGTTAATGTATGGAAGGGATGGCCAGCTGTTGCCTTAAGGTAAAGTTGCCTTTGTAAAACCCCTTGCCAATAAATACATTAATCAAGGTGCTGTCAATTTTTTTGCTCCATTTCATTCGTAAGAAAAAGGAGCAGTGAGTCACTCTGCATACATATACTAGCAGAGGTTGCATCCCAGCTTCCTTCCCTCACCAACCTTGCTTGCCCTCCATGCCCTGCCAAGCCTCACCCCATTGCCAACGCTTCCTCCTCCCTTTACATTTGGACAATCTGCTCCCTTTACAACAACACGCCAAAAAAGCCCTCTGTGGCTCACCTGGGCCGCTTGCCTGGGCAACCCACCTGCATCTGTGTCCTCCTGTTCCCTCTTCTTCACCAGATTCCTCCTTGCCTCACCTGAGTAGCCTGTCCATGTGTCCACCCAACCATGGGAGTGCTCAAATTTAAAATTAAATGAATAAAAGCTTCTGTGGTGTTTTTTTAAGTTTTGTTTTTTTTAGGTGAGTCACAGTTGGAGCGGTCAGTAAAACAAAAATGGAACAATTTATTTATTTTAATTAATGGGGGGGCATGGAAGACCAAAAAAGCCCTTTGGTATCACAGTGAGGGACCTCGATAGGGAGAACTAGATGGTGGGGGGCCGGATGCAGCCCAAGGATCATGGATTAGATAAAGAAGAAGTTGTCAAGTTAAAGAGAGGCCAATTGGCCCGTTGAGAATTATGCTCATTCATGTCAAGTTGGGCTTCACGTGCTTGAAAAATACAACAAAGCTTCCTGTTTCCAGCAGTGGAAAATGGCTGATCCCACACAATCGGACTTCAGCCGTTCCGATAATTCAGGGCTGATATGGGGGTAATTAGCCCTGGCAGCCTCCCCAGGGCAGGGGAGGGCTGTCTCAACGACCTGCGGTCTGCCCCAGATTGCCGATGTGGCAGACAGCAGGGGCACTGGGTCACGGAACTAGGGACGGCTGACACTCCTGCGACGCCACCCCATAGCCGGACGCATCTGTTTGGGAAAATATAAAGATTTGGAAAACAAACAGACACGCTCTGAATTGAAGAAGCTGGAAAAACCTGCAGTATGTACAGTCTCTGGTGCAAAAGATCGAACTTCAAAGAGATCCTCATCATGACGTTTGGAATGTGGAGGGGCTTGGTATGTAAAAAAAACCATTCTTTTATCCTTAACATCAACAATCCGTAATGCATGCCAAGTCTCATTAAGAACTTAAATTGCTCTTCAAAAAGTGAGTTCAGATGGACTTTTATATATAATTGGGATCTACTCGCAGCCACTTCTCTTCTAAGACCGGAAATGTCTGTTAAAGACGAAAACAAAGGACAAAGGACAAAATGGCGTCTCCCACCACGTCGTTATTGAATATCTGAAATACCTCCCTGATTAAGAGAAACAGGAGCTAACGGATGGTTGGTTATAAAGACTGGAAACAATATTACATATACAACTGTTTGCAAAAAGATGTTTTTTTTGATTACGAGCGAGAGAGAGGGCTAAATGGATGTCTGGCAGCCCCCCTCTAGGGCCCGGAGGGGGGACTGGGAAGATTCCAAAGGCCAATTGCTAACTGTCTGATATATGGCTACATTGCAAACAGTCTGTTTAAGATAAATCAACAAGGAGGGTACAGAAGGAAATTTCTCTCTGTTTCTTTGATAACACCTGGACAGGAAAGATTAACGATCTGGGAGCTGCCAAAATAACAACTCTCAAAGAGCTGGACAGAACTTTGAAATTGGATGCAATTAAATGAAGCGGTGCGATGAAAAAACAGTGCGATGAAGGAGTACAATATACGGACAAATCTGCACTCCATAGAAAGAAAAAAAAGTATCGGTTTTCTGACATGAATGAGGATCGTAGAACCAGAGTCAAAATGTGGAAGGGAAAAATCGGACATGGAATTATGAATAACATTGAGGATGATGAGAGGCAGGACTATGATGTTGAATGCGCTTCGAAATTCAGACCGTGGGAAGTCAAAACAAAATTATTACAATTTGGAAGACAATTGGACCTTTTTTATTTTAGTTTTTTATTTTTATTGGATCTGATTTGATATGTTAATTGGATGTTTTTATTGGAAAATTAATAAACGCTTTAAAAAAAATAAAATACAACAAAGCATGGCTAATTCAAACACAGGGGATAATGACCACTTCCTGAGGTAACTGGTTTCATCTTTTTATTTCAGGACGTTACTGGGAAACGGTGGAGAGGTTAAAGATAAATCAGTTCTATGGAGCCCCTACAGCTATTCGCCTACTGCTTAGATACGGGGATGATTGGGTAAAGAAATATGACAGATCTTCCCTCAAAATCCTTGGATCAGGTAGCTATTGCACTGGATCTTTGCACTCCTATTCATGGCAAAGCCACATAAAATAATAACCAAGTTTACAAATTTGGTCCAATATTTCGCAGGAGGTGGATTGATGGAATCTGTGGTGCCCTCAGGTCAGGACTTTGGGGCAGAGGTCCAAGGCAGACTTGAGTAGGAGGGCCCCCAAACACATCGGAGCTGGCTTATCACACTTTGAAGTACCTGCAGTAATCCACATGGCCATCTAAAGAGCTCCTCACCCAAGACTATTCAAGTCCAGAGCCTAAAATTACACAACAGCTCTGCTGGGTGGAATGTGGAAATGATCAGACAGATCCAAATATATTTATATACTACAGTGGTATCTCGGGTTACAGACACTTCAGGTTACAGACTCCGCTAACTCAGAAATATTACCTCGGGTTAAGAACTTTGCTTCAGGATGAGAACAGAAATCATGCTGTGGCGCGGCGGCAGCGGGAGGCCCCGTTAGCTAAAGTGGTACCTCAGGTTAAGAACAGTTTCAGGTTAAGAACGGACCTCCAGAATGAATTAAGTTCTTAACCCGAGGTACCACTGTACTACTGCTTCACAGAGAATATATAAGGGAATGCAAAAAGAACTGGCTGACAAGAGATTTAATTTATTCCATTGGACAGGGTGTTGTGACGTCTAAAGCTTGCAGGCGCTTCTTTCTTACAAGCTTTTTGCTTCTTTTCTTCCTCTTGCAGTGGGAGAACCTATCAACACAGAAGCATGGGAGTGGTACTTCAAAGTGGTCGGAGATGGACGGTGCCCTGTAGTTGATACCTGGTGGCAGACAGGTAGGAAGACTATCATTTTACACAACTTGTTAAGTAGGATCTGAAGAGAACCCGTGCAGTTTTGGTTATTTGCACATAGGGATGTATTCAATCAATCAAGAAACCTGTCCCAGCAAAAGAAAAATGGATACAAAAACTTATGGAATATGCAGAAATGGCAAAACTTACTGGAAAAATAAGAAATCAAGATAGCAAACATTTTATAAAAGGATGGAAATGGTTTATTGAATATTTACAAACAAACTGTAAACAGATATGAACAGTGGCAGGATTATTGTAATAGCCTGCAGAGTATATATTTAAAGTAGATGAATAAATGAACAAATTAAGTTAATTTGGATATGCAGAAAATATTAAAAATAAATTTAAGGAACTACAGAAGGAGGGGGAAGGAAGTCAAGTTTTGAAATGTTAAAATAACTGTATAATTATTGAAATGTATAAACCTGAAAATCATTCATTCATTCATTCATTCATTCATTCATAAATGAATGAATGAATGAATGAATGAATAAATAAATAAATAAAACGAATGAATGAATGAATGAAACTTGTATTCTCCCCATGCTCCTTATGAAGACCAGTGGCTCAGGCCTTTCTTGACATTCTTAACACAGGAAAAGCATATTTGCCTTTTGCATACAAAGAACTGGAGATCATAGAAATGTTTTCTTGTTAGCATTCTCTTACTGACCAGATTTCAAGGGTGTTGAAGTTTTGTTTTGTTTTGTTTTGTTTTGCTTAGAAACTGGAGGCATCTGTATTGCTCCTCGACCTTCAAACCCAGGTGATGAGATTCTTCCAGCCATGGCCATGAGACCATTCTTTGGCATCAAACCTTCCCTTTTGGATGACAAAGTAAATTTCATTTCCATCTATCTATCTATCATCTATCTATCTATCTATCTATCTATCTATCATCTATCTATCTATCTATCTATCTATCTATCTATCTATCTATCATCTATCTATCTATCTCTCATCTATCTGTCTATCTATCATCTGTCATCATCCACTTTTATGTAAATTCTCGGTCATGTAAACAGCAATCAATATTAAAAACTAACAGACACACATGAGCAAGAATCTCAGTCTAATGTGGCTTGTAGGTCAAGATTTTTGGAAGGATCAAGCAGAATTTGAGATCAGGAATCTACCGAATCTACCGGAATGCTGAATTCCAAGCTACTTCCTTGGTTGCACAGCATGAGCTAGATGTGCAGAATACATTACATTGTAATTCATTCATTTATTTTTTAAGAGAACCCCATATTTCTTGTTTTCAAGGGAAAACTCTTAACACAGAATGATGTCTCTGGAGCACTTTGCATTTCTCAGGCATGGCCAGGCATGGCCAGGACCATATTCAATGACCACCAGAGGTTCGTGGAGACCTACCTGACGCCTTACCCAGGTACAGAATTGTAGAGAGGGAAAGGGAAAAGGAGAGCAGTGAAGGGTTATTGCCATGGGTTCAAAGAACGGGTTCTTTAGGGCATATGTATTCAAGAGGCTTGTGGAACCAGAGAAAACTGGGGTACAATTTCTTAGTCAAACTAAGGACACAACACCATCCACCTAATTGCCTGAACAAGTTTTTAGAAGTAAATAGCAGGTACTTGGGGCCTGATCTGGATCCTGGCAGGGGTAGAGGGCCTCTTGCTATCCCCTTGTGAAAGCGATGAGTAGAGAACATACTGAACATGTACCTGTAGCGGCACATTGCAACAGAAGATCTGTTATGAATAACAAGTGTCTTTCAGTGAAGCTCTTCTCCCCATGGAAGAACTCCAGGATCCCCCAAGCTAGTTTAAAATCTATTGCCTTCAGCATGTTAGAAGTGAAAATGATGTCTTGTTTTGATCCTCCTAGGCTATTTTTTCACTGGGGATGGAGCGTATCGGACAAGCAAGGGATACTACCAGTTGACAGGCCGTCTGGATGATGTCATCAACATCAGTGGGCACAGGCTGGGCACGGCTGAGATAGAAGACGTTGTGGTAAGAAATTGTGTCACATCTATAGTTTACTAGATCTCACAGTTGTCACAGTTGTCTCTGCCATGTCTTAGCAGCAGCCTAAGAAAATAGGCATGTGCTATGAGCTGGCAGCTGCCACTAGCTGCTGCAGGACTGACGTCTGCAAGTGGTATGATGACTTGCCAGTCCTTTTACTTCGCCAATGCTCCTCCAGCATTCATTCTGAGCAAGGCAGGGAGGGGATGACAGTAATTGAGAATGCAAAACAAATTTGATAACCAGAAGGATGTAAATGAATGTCTCCGTTTTTATTTATTTGGTAAACTAAACAGTGAATCCCAGTTGCAGAATTTGTGATTTCTACTCACAGAATTCAGCAGGTACTGGAATCTCAAATGGCTCAACTAATAATTTACTGAAGTCACCTCAGGGAGACTTTAGTGTTCTGCTAAAATGGGCTTAGAAGAAAAGGTCCTGAACTACAAGACTTCAGAAGAGGTGTCACAGCATTGTTAGTTACCAAAGTATACCTATGATTGCTTCTCTTCTCACAGTTGGACCACATTGATTTTCTGAAGATGTCATCTCACACAGTACATCATTCCCTGGTAGCATTCTTTGCTTGAAAGCATCTTCAGCTTAATATTCTGACTTACCCTATACTTTTGTCCTATAGCGTAAACATTCAGAGGTGGTACTTGGTCCCATTTTACAACTGGTGTATCTGATCTGTATTAACAGTGATAAATAGTAAAGTAGGGACTGGGCCTATCACAGCCTTTTACCCTGTCAGGAGCAAGGCCAGAGCTCAGGGATGATGGGAGTTGTAGTCCAACAACATCTGGGGACCCACAGGTTGAGAACTGCTGCTTTAAGTGAATCTTACCACAGACCTGCTTGTGTTTCAGAATAAGCACGGGGCAGTGGCAGAATCAGCTGTGATTGGATTTCCTCACAAGATCAAAGGAGAAGGTGAGCAATTCAAGTCTAGATGCTAATGCTTGCACCCCCTTGAGTGGCTCTCCAGTGGGATTTTTCTTTGCACGTTTACGGCATTATTGGGAAGAGTAAACAGAAGCAAAGAGAAGGATCTCACAGCATCCACATGGGAACTTCTAATGGTAGTTGGAGTGAGTCCCTGCTTATATCTATTCCTGGGGTTCCAAGACTGTGGGGACGGGGGAGGGGGGGACACCAGTGGTCTGTGAACATTCAAGCATGCTGTGGATTTGTGGTGGAAGATGGGCGACTGCACACCATTGTATTAAAAATTCATAGGCTCTTCAGTTGCAATTTATATTGCTGTTTTTATTTCTTATACAGTGGTACCTCGGGTTAAATACTTAATTTGTTCCGGAGGTCCGTTCTTAACCTGAAACTGTTCTTAACCTGAAGACCACTTTAGCTAATGGGGCCTCCTGCTGCTGCCGCCGGAGTACGATTTCTGTTCTCATCCTGAAGCAAAGTTCTTAACCTGAAGCACTATTTCTGGGTTAGCAGAGTCTGTAACTTGAAGCATATGTAACCTGAAGCGTATGTAACCTGAGGTACCACTGTACTGTATTTTACTGTACTGCAGCTTGAATTCTATATGGAATTCAAGTTGCAAAACAACACAACACATAATAAATAAAAGCAATTAAAAAATCACACAGCTTCTAGCACCGCACGTTACAATTGCTGCAACAGGCAGGAAAAAAAAGGGGGGGAGTGGTCTGCCAAGGCCCTACTTAATTTTCAAGTGGTCCGTGGGAAAAAAGGTTTGGGAACCACTGATCCAGTTTATTCAAGCCTTGACAGGGAGAAGTGACAGAGACCAGCTGTTGAAAAGACGTGCAGTGGGCTAGGGAAGGATGGCGAGAACAGAGGAAAAGAATGTACAGTAGCCAAAAGCTCCCAGACTTCCACCTGCATGTCTGCAGAGGCCTATTTTATTGTACGGAGCACATAAGGCTGTCGAATTGATCTTGTAACACAAGCCTGAACTTTTTTTTACAGCACAAAATAATATAAATAAATAAATAAGGAAGATAATTATACCCCACTCTTCTTTTTATTATTTATCTATGTATTCATTCATTTTTTATTTATATTATTTACAAGCAACTGCCCTCTTGCGCACGATCAGCGCCACGTGCTCCTGCTAACACACATGCCCAAAACGGCACTGAAAGGGGGTGGAATGGGGCAGGGTGGGAACAGGGCAGGAATCTCTGCTTGTGTGTGTCCTGGTGATGCGCACATGTGGCCTGGAACAGAAACCTTGCGCGGGTGGGAATTCCCCTGTATTAAATTTATAAACCGTCCTTCATCCGAAGATCTCAGCGTGGTTCACAAGACAAAATGTAAATGCATCACTCACAGTTGCACGCATATATATTTTAAATCGCATGGGACAAATCAACAAAAGAGACTGGGTCAGCAATTAAAACAAAGTCACAAAACCAAATAAAAGGGATTGCATATTGAAGCCTCCTTGCAGCATACTTCTTACTTTGGCATGGAAGTAATTGCTGAAGCTCCCGGCCACGTGAATCCACACTGAAACTTTCCCCCCTGGAAACTGGAGTGTGGCGTTTATGACATTACCTTTGCTACATGAGCAGCAGCTGCTTGGCAGGAGGTGCCGTGCCACAAAAAGTAACACCCGAAGGGGCTTTTCGCTTCCATTTTACTGACACCAAGAGATGGCAGAGGGTTATGACAGGAGTAGAAGCGGCAGTCTGCTTTGGCAGGCACTTCTACGCATGCTGATGGCGCATCCTTCTCCTGGCTTCCTCTTTCCACAGGTGCCTATGCCTTCATTGTGCTGAAGAAGGGCTCTAATCTCTCTCAAGAGAGCCTGGCCTCCGAGCTTCGAGGGCTCGTCTCAAAAGAAATTGCAAAGTATGCAGCACCGGAATATATTCAGGTAACAATCTGAGCGATTTTCCTCTTCCGCAAATTTCCATCACTTTGCGCTACATAGTGCTTAATGTTCAGGGAGGGATTTAAGGTGACTGTTCTATCAGCGCAGACATTTCAGCTTCCCAGGAGGAACAACCCCCCCACTTCTCAGCGCCCTGTGCAGAGTTTCTGGGGCTGCCTTGACCACCCAAGAGCCAATTTGGGTGTGCATGCGCAGTGGGGAGGTTGCACTAACGGAAGCCTTTGTGCAGGCTTCCACTAGCGGGACGAGTTAATTGAATCCAGTTAAGGGCAGGATCTAGGGTAAAAAGCATACAAACCAGCTGTGTAACCACTGCAGTAATATTTCTAAATATTTTTTAAAATGGGCTAAAGTATTCAGATCCTTCCATTCTCACTGCTGGTTTCCTCTAGAACAGCAGCAATGGCCACATTAAGGATCTTGTGGGTTCCAAGAGTGCCTTTAGGATGCATCAGTTCCCTTCCAACATGCCCTGCATACATTTCATGTTATGAGAGCAAATACATGTGTGTAGACTGCCTTGAGCAAGTTTTACTACATATACTTGAATTTATATCCCACCCTTCCTCCTAGGACCTTAGGGTGGCATGGATATTTATTGACTTCTCTCTCCCCTTTTTTAATTCTCACAACAACCTTGTGCTATGTTAAGGCTTGGAGATAGTGGCTGGCCAAGGATGGTTCATGGCCAAGTGGGGATTTGAATTTGGATCTTTCCAGTATTAAGTCTGGCACTGCACTAGTCTGGGCTCACTCTGACACATAGCATGATAGCTCCTAAAAGCCTAATTTGCCTCAGTTCCAAATACAGTTGTATCTTGGAAGTCGAACGGAATCCATTCTGGAAGTCTGTTCGACTTCCAAAATGTTAGAAAACTGAATTGTGGCTTCTGATTGGCTGCAGGAAGCTCCTGCAGCCAATCAGAAGCCATGGAAGCCCCATCAGACGTTCGGGTTCCAAAACAACATTCATAAACCACAACAATACTTCCAGGGTGTTCAGGATTCAAGTTACGACTGTACTGCCTTCTAAGAGCTGGCCAAATTGCTGTTGCTCTAAAAGCTAGGATTCCTTCCTAAGGGCAATGAGCAAGATGAGGGTTGAGGGATTGCCCTGAGGAACTAGTGGGAGGAGTATGGCTGCAGCAGAGTTCCAGATGCAAACGTGTGTGTGTGTGTGTGTGTGACTTCAAGTACATTTCACTTTCTCAGGTTAATGTCAGCAATGTACACTTCCCAGCCTTGCTCTAACCCTTGTTTTCTGGTTCAGGTTGCTCAACGTCTGCCCAAGACTCGCTCAGGGAAGATTATGAGGCGAGTTTTGAAGAAGATTGTAGAAAACAAAGCAGATGAGCTGGGAGATCTGACAACCTTGGATGATCATGAGGCACTGAAAGACATCATTGAGGGACACAAGCAGATTCAGAAGCAACAGCAGGGGCGGTAGCTCAAAAGCTCTCTCAACAGCCTAAAGGAAGCATCGCTCAGAGTATTTTGCAAGCAGCAGCTATTCCACACTTGTTATCCCTTTCAGAAGAGGGAGTTCATTCACTGTGAGTGAAAGAATTCCAAAGCAACCATCATTTTCCAAGACGGGGAAAGAATGTGCTTATTAAGGCTGGACACAAAGTCTCTTCCCTCCCTCCCTTGGACTCCCAGTTGTGTGTGGATTCCAAGGCTTATGTATTGTAGCAGAAAGCTGGGGTTTTGCTTTTTTTGCAGCCGAAGTCTGCAGTGAAGAATCTCCAAACCAAATAAACTTCAAGTTAAAAAGAAAATTCACACTGGAACAGATCTGCAAGTCTGTCTACTTTACTCCAGGTTCTGGGAGGGGGGGGGAAACAGTCGGTTTTCGCCACCTGAAGCATTCATTGGGCAGGTAGTTAAAAGGAGAGCGGAGGCGGCAGTACGGATGTATGAATAGAGAAAAGTATACAGAATGATTGGATGCTGTGCAGATCTGGGGCCTTACCATGACTTCTTCCAGATTCTGGACTTCAAAACAATATAGGACAAACACACACGTTTTCAAGCTTTGTCTTTCACGTCACTCTTCCCTTTTATTATTCTAATCCCATAAAAAAATACAAATTAGTCCAAAGAAAGTAGCCCTTGCAGTTGGCATTAGCCCACGGATTCTCTGCTAGACAGCATTTCCACCTGTCTCAATGAGACACTTCAGTGAGGTCCGTCTAGACACCTGCCTCAGCTGCAGATATGAATTACTGCATGCAATATTACTGAATATATTGCAGCCTTGTCAATCACATGCCTTCTAACTGCTCTGCTGGTTCAAATGCTGACCCTCCATGGAAACTAAAGATGTGGAGGAAGTACACCAGGCTTCCTCAACCTCAGGCCTCCAGATGTTTTGGGACTACAATTCCCATCATCCCTGACCACTGGTCTTGCTAGCTAGGGTTCATGGGAGTTGTAGGCCAGAAACATCTGGAGGGCCGAGGTTGAGGAAGCCTGAAGTACACTGTTGTGGTATGAAGGCCTGAGATCCTCAGCACTTTCAGGCTCTTTAATGAACGCTTATTTAAACAAAAATAGGTTCATCGGGTGAAGGGGAAATCTGTGTATAATATATGCTTCTGGTAAACTTCCAAAACAGATATGTATTTTCACACTTGTGGGCAACCAGGAGCAAGGCAGAGATAGAGATCTTCCCACATGGAGGCTCCTGGCTGTGGCAACGAGGCAGAAGCTCTAATACTGAAACAAATACATCCTTCTCAGTCTCAGATGAGAAGGATCCTGCTCCATTCACTGCCAGCACTGCTTCAATGTTATTCAAAGTTGTTTTCACTTAAAGAAGTTGCAAGGATGGAAGCAGCAAAGGCCTCTTCCTTCCTTCTGGGAGAGATCTTGAGTGGGAGACGCAGCAGTCAGAACAGTGGACTGGTAGCCATTTATACAGAAAGGCCAAGGGGGGGGGGAGGAGTTTAAATCCCCCTGCTCTTTCACAGTATAAGCTGGAGACCTTTGGGTCAAAGAAGCCTTAATGCACCTGCTGGCTTTGAAGTCCTGAAATATTTCAGATACATGCTTCCTGTAAAAGGTGTGTTCATTTCAAGGCACTTTGGTATGTGACCCAGCTGAGGCTTTAGTTGCATTCTTTTTTGCTGTTGTCCATGACAAGTCAGAGAGTGGCTCAGTCTTTCTTTACTCTGCTGAGCTCCCATTTACCTTCTCCGTACAGGTTCAGACGCCAACTGTGAAACTGAAAATAGAGAGTAAGTACAGAAACAGAGAGCTATGGCTTTAAGAGGGATTTTGCCATCCACACACACACACCACTGGCCCCTTGAAAATAAAACCTTATCTGTCCCAGCAGTTCTGCTCAGACAGATTGACTCCACACCACCCTACCTTTTCCAGGCTCTTGCGATGTCCCACGCTGACCAGAGTCATTCCCAGGTGTGCACAGATCCTGTACAGCTCATCCTCTGCATCCTCTGTGAGTGCGCTGGTAGCTTCATCCAGCACTGCAAGCAAAAAACAACAACACCCATACGGGAATCCTCTCAATATGGCACCATCCAAGTCTCTTCCTCTTGAATAAAGTGTGACAAATTTGCAAAGTGATAGCTGTTCACCAGTCGTTTTCCATTACAAAAGGCAACCTGAACACTCTCTACATACTGGGCTGGTACAATGGAGAGTTCTGACCCTCTAAACCAGCAAGAAAATATAAGCCAGTTACAAAGCTGAGGAAAAGAGGCAGATTGGGATGGTTAGATTAGAAGTTGTGGTGCCTGCCATCAGTAAAATCACAGGCAGTAGCCAACAGGTAGCCAATGGCCCCTGTGCTACCTTCTTCTGCACAACATTCCATCTCATAACGCTGGCTATTCAGGGATTGTCCGTGGTCAAGGTAAAAAGCAAAGCAGGGAGCCCCATAATTAAGGAACTCAGAAAGAAACACCTTCCTCACCTGCATACTGAGGCTGGAGATAGAAAAGTCGGGCAAAGGAGAGCCTCTGCATCTCCCCTGGAGACAGAATATCATACCTGCAGCAAAGGCAAAACAATCTGTGATTAGAACAACCTTGCAGCTCAAGACTTGCCCACAGCAAACAACAGGAGCCCCACTGTCACACTAAGCAGCCTTACCAGTTCCAGTCCACTGGCTGGTCCAAACCACCTGTCCTGGCTAGCAAATCAGACTGCATAAAAAAGAAGGTGAAAAACAAATTATTCCAGCCTTGGTCAAGAGGTGGACACAGCCATAAGGACATTTTCTGTCTTAATCCTGCCCACCCATTGCCAGCTGGTAATTAGTGTCATCTTGTCATTTTTGTTTTGCTCCCATGCCTTCTATATAATCATCATGGTCATCAGAACTTCTGTTGCTTTTGCTCATACGATGTACATAAACCAGGGCTTAATTTGAGCCAGAGCTCAGCTTTGGAAGCAGTTTTTAATATAGTTGCCCATGTTAGGGGACATTCGGCACAGAAACGTGTGTATACCTTTAAGAAGTTTCTGGGATTAATTGGCTGCAGCTGGCCGTGGCTATAAAGGGAAAAAGCTGAGTTTTGTGGCCTGCCTGCAGGAATAACACCCACCAGAGTTTGTGTTTATTGTTTAGTAATAAAGTCTTCGTTTTAGTTTGGGTTTTTACACCTATGTCTCCTGGAGTCACTCTGTCCTCTGCCACCAGCTGGAAATCCCCCTCCAACAGCCCAGGCTTTGGAATACAAGATAGCACATACTCAGAGCTACATTCATCTCAGAATTCATGGAGACCACATTACTCTTTGGACTGATCCAATCTTCCATGGTCAAACAGTGGGGCTTTCTGGCAATCCCAGCATCCTCCATTTTAGGAATGATCCAGACATTTACAGTGCGCCTTGCTGAGCTTTTATAGCCACTTTCTATCCCCAAATCGGGACAGAAATCAAAGCGCATCCTTTATTCCCTCGGTAACTCACCAACCCAGTCAGCTCCAGGAATCTCAGAATCCTTTCATCATCCGAAGACCCTATTGTGCAAGGAATTACATTCATGATAACAGGACTGTGGGGGGAAGGGTCACTCTGAAGATGGGTCATCAGGGGACAGGGACCTCTTTGCACTTGGTTTGGCTGCTTTGATCATGCTTTAGAAGATCTGAAAAGCTAATAGCTCAAACCTAAACATATCATGTGGAAGCCCATCCCAAGTTATCAATAGGATGTATCACCACATAATGTACATAACAATGGGAGGAAGCCAATTAACAGATGGACTTTCAGCTCAGGTGGACATCTTCTGATCTTACTCTAGAATTCTATCTCCTATGGGAAGAACTTTTAGGAATAGTACTTTCATCCTCCTCTTTCTTTCTGACACCAAGGAAGGCTTTTTCTGTCAGGTGACAGAAAGAAGGAGGTGGAGAAGAAATATTGTAGTTCTTTTGGTGGGAAGCTGTAGATGTGAGATATGGGGGAGGGGGGAAGAGACCATGACTCTTTTGCAGGTTTGGAAGCTCAGGAAGAACACACTGTGGTCGTGGAGATGTTGGGTCACAAAGAGGAAAATTACGAGGAAGGGAAACGGAGGCAGGGATGAATAGCAGTCCTAGGGGAAACTGAGACTGGGAGCAGGAAGATGTTGTCATCTTGGAAAGGGAAACTCCAAGGGAAACTGAGATGGGTGTTGGTGTGTGGGGCAAGCAGCAGGGCACTCCATAATATTGAGTGTCAACACTGGCAACAACAAAGAATCAGAGAGGAGGAAGATCACTTAATCCAACCCCCTGCCAATGCAGGAAATTTTCTACTACAACATCCCTGACAGGTGACCATCCAGTATCTGCTTAAAAACCTTTCATGAACATAAATCAAACAGGTTTAATAGGCATTCCTCTTTAAGCTGGTATCGAAAACTATCTTTGAAACATGGTTAAAACATTTGGTAGCATTGCATTTATATCACACCAACCCTTTAATTTAGGTATCCCAAGTATGAAGACGAAGGCAATGGGAGAACAGGAGTGATCTAAGAAATTAGAGAAATTGAACATGCATCTATTGGAGGAACAACTTAATCCAAATAGCAGAGTTAGTAATCACTGAGACAGAAGCAAAGCAGAAGGCCTGACAACCTACAAAGTAACTGCTGGCTTCTATTTACCATATATTAATTTGGTTTATATTCAGATGATCTTCCAGACTATCTGGAAGCAGAGAACAGATGCCTCTTTATATTGCTTTATTTAGAGAACATGTATCCCTAGGGGCTCCAGTTGGTCTGAGAACTTCATTTTCACTAATAAAGATTAGTTTTACTTTCAGACAGCCCAAACAAAGTTAGCTTTCTCCACCACAGGGGCACCATTTGATCATTGTCAGGACTGCTTCACACATGCAAAGTACTCATTTGATCCTAATACATTAGAGACTCATCCAGGCTTCCGCTTGTCCTGCTTTCCCCTAGGAAAACCTGATTTTTACCACCTTTCTGCGGATTGACGTTTGCTCCGATTCAGCGGTAAAGGGGTTTTTTCTTGGGGAAAGCAAGCACGGCAGGGCAAAGAGAAAACCTCTTGGATCTGTGCCCAGAAAGTGTGGGACAAGCAGAAAACTGCTCGGATCAAGCTGAAGTTTGGGCAAGACCTATAATGGGTGCATATAACCAACTGAAAGCTTCCTTTTGCTTCACAGCCTCCATGCCGAGTAAGCACAAGAATGGACATTTTGCACCACTCCACATACCGAACACTCCCCTGCGATTAATATCCTGGTTCAGCTAAGTTTTGCAGGAAAACAGATACAGCTACTGAAAGAAGACCCAGGCAAGCACAATGCTGATTCATGCAGCGTGGACACACACACACACACACACACAAACACACACTGCAGAGAAGAGCAGCAGCACAGGAAAAGCCAAAGCAATCTGAGCCCATTTGGGCACAAGAGTTCCAGTGCATTTCCACTCACCCGAAACTGGATAGATTTCCTTCAGAGGGTATATCACCTAAATCAAATAAACCAGACACATACTCCAAATGAGAGTCTCCACCGCAGTCGTACAAAGATGGAAGCAGCCACAATACTCTCTCTGCTAAGAGCTTTCTAATAAACATTAATAGGCCTCTGGCCCCATGTATTGAATTAAGGCAGGCCATTTCCTGGCAATTCAGCTTGCAGCAATTGTAACAGGTATGGTTGGTTGTCTTTTTTAGAATTGCCACTGTTACCAAACTAGTCTGTGGGTGAGCAGAGGACCACCCCCACCCTGGGAATCTGGCACCGAGGTCACTTACCTGTTCCCGCAGGGTCCCATCTGTGAAGAATGGCCGCTGTGGCAGGATAACCACCCCATGGGGGCCAAAGCAAGTCAGCATGTGGACGTCCCCTGCAGAGACCCAGCAGAAGGAATCACAAAGGCATAAGTCTATGAGCCAACACTTCGGTAACAAACTTGAACTTAACACTTGGATTTGATCTAGTCTGCGCAATCATACCCTGGCCTAATAAACCAGAATATAAACCAGCTCTGTGCACCTGCATGAAAGCCCCTTCGCTCTTGCTTTGCTCCTCCCTTCGTGCAAGTGGTGAAGCAACAGGAAAACAGAACCTCCCATTATATGCAAACCAGGAACTATGGTTAATAGCTTTCAAACCAGGGAGGATTTGTAAGCTAACTTTAAACCTTGGCTTCACAGCTTGGTTCGCTTGAAAGCCATTAATTGTAGCTTCCCAGTCTGCCTGTAATACGAACCCATGTCTGGCTCATATTGACACGTGCCTGAAGGAAGGAGCAAAGGAGCTGTGGGCGGGTGCGTGGAGCTCATGCACAACCTGGCTTAATAAGCCACAATTTGAATGTGCCAAGGCCGCTATCTCAATACTTCTTACAACAACCTTGTACAGCAGGCTAGTATAATTCCCCATATTGGGGTGGCAGAGGGGAACAGAGAGATGGGGGCTAAGGGGCAGTGGTTTGCCTAGTTCTGCAGTGCCATGCAATGTCTATGGCAGTGGCTACGAATGAATGAATAAATAAATAAATAATTATTTATACCCCGCCCATCTGGCTGGGTTTCCCCAGCCACTCTGGGCAGCTTCCAACAAAAGATTAAAAATACATTAAAAAATCAGTCATTAAAAACTTCCCTAAACAGGGCTGCCTTCAGATGTCTTCTAAACGTCAAATAGTTGTTTATTTCTTTGACATCTGATGGGAGGGCGTTCCACAGGGCGGGTGCCACTATCAAGAAGGCCCTCTGCCTGGTTCTGTAACTTGGCTTCCCCCAGTGAGGCAACCGCCAGAAGGCCCTTGGCGCTGGACCTCAGTGTCTGGGTTGGACGATGGGGGTGGAGACACTCCTTCAGGTATACTGGGCCGAGGCCACCATTAAGTCTGCACTGGGGAGGGCAATATCACTACGAACTCAAGCACGAAAGAGACTACATCTGGGTTCCTGAACAGTCCAAATCCAGCATTTGCCTCACAAACCTATGGGGAAACCGTGTTCCACCCTCCAATCTGCTGCAAGGGCCCCCTTTCACCAAAGGAATGTTTCAGGGAGGCTGATGAACTCACCCTGCTTGCTCTCCCAGAGGCCACCGAGGACACGCAGCAAAGATGTCTTCCCTGTCCCTGTGTTCCCGGTGATCAGTAGATTGTTCCCTTGCGTGACTCTCAGGTTTAGATCCTTAATGAGCAGCTTCTCAGAGGGAGCAGAGAGAGAGATTTTCTCCAGGAGGAAAGCTGTGTCGCTTGAGACCACCTCCTCTTTGGAAACGCTGATGGCATCAGTGCCCCCACCACAAGAAAGGAAGAAAGGTAAGTAGAAGGAAACATCACAGTTCAGTGGCCAAGGTGTTTGGCTGCCTTTTAGGTTCACCACTCGGTGGTACAAGAAACACCATAGCAAAAACAGGAAAACTGTTGTCCCATGCTTGATGTTAGCTAGAGGTACTCACCTGTTGAATTCCCATTTGCCTGGGGAGTCACAGTCGTTTTGCTTCCTGGAAAGTTTCAACAGCATCTCCAGCAACTCCCCAATTCTACAAAAAAACCCCAAGAAAGTTGCTAATCAAGGAGTAGCAGTGATGCCCCAAAGCAGCAAACTAGCCTGAATGACAAGAGCCAGAAGCCTAATCTCCACAAGGGAAAAGAAAAAGGTTTATTATCATATTACTAAAACCTGGTAAGTAGTGAATATTGTTTGCAGGATAATAATGATCACCTAACGTACATAGTCTGAACACAATGTCACATGGGCAGAAATATCAGCCTGCTAATTGATTTAAGAGGAAAAATTCAGATTCTCTCCGCTGCAGCAGACACAAAGATTATAACAAAATATATTTGACATTCTATGCCTAATGGGGAAAGGAGATTCCTTGTTTGTTTCTTTTGAATGGATGCCTCTGAAGAGAGACCGACTTAGTGCACCCATACTGGGACACAGGAGTCTCCTGCATTGTTTATTACCTTTGATGGATCCATAAGAAGCAGATGCTCTTTTTTTTTTTTTACACACACAGGTCCTCACTATTATGACATAGGAGCCCCTCAAGCAGGCAAGAGGACTTACCTGTGTGTATAGCCAGCTACGTCAGACACGGTGGTGGAGAGGTCAATGAGCTGGCTGAAGCAGCCAATGAGGTAAAGAGAGACAAAGGCATTCTGCAAGACAAATCACACACAAGCCAAGCATTAGCAAGGGCTGGGAAGCAAAAACATACAAGAAGCAGCTTCCACATCTTCATGCCTCAAAATCAGTTGGGGGAGTGGTTTGTCTCCCCAGCTGGTAGCAGAATTGACCATTATCTGATCCCTGAGATGGACTGATCGTTTTGCAAAAGCAATTACGTGGGTCAAAATTTTTGCAAAACCTCAGCAGGCTGATTGCCATTTTTGATAAAGGAAAATAAAACTTGGGGGTGGTGGTGGGGTGGTGGGGGTAATGGCAGGAATCTGTTCAAGCGACCTGCAAAAGCCTCCTGTTGTCTTCTAAGCTTTCAGCAAACACTGACCACAGTTAGGAGGGTAAAGGCAAAAAGAGAAGCACTGAGATTCTCAGGTTTGTTGATTTATTGCAAACAAGTAACACAGAAACACAACTGCCCCAGGGAGCAGGGATTCTGGTATCTGGCCCACTCAACAGCAAGTACGCATGCATGAGCTCAGCTACAAAGGGCTCTCGCTGAGTAAGCCAGCAAGGAAGAAGCAAACGGAGGGCTAGACTGAAGAAAGACACTTGGCCAAGGAGGAATAAGACCCTAGGGTTAGGGAGTCACCAATGAATTTACACACTCCTTCCTCACTTTCCAAGGCTGCAGGGGCAAGATGCCTATTGAGGTTGCCTCAGAAGAGCATCCCTCCTCCAATACACTATTTGGTAACTATAGTAAGGTTACCAGACGTCCCCATTTCCTAGGGACAGTCCCCAGATGTACAAATCAGTCCCCATACAAAATCCATTGAAGTTGAAAAGTGTCCCCGGATTCATTGAAATAAATCCGGTAACCTTAGGCCGCTTGGATTACTGGCACATTATAGGAGGCAAGACACACTTTACACAGGGACTGCTGCCTAACAGAAAGCTACTCCGAAACAGAAGGCTCGTTGGCGTCTGTACTTTAATATATATAGATTATAGACCAAACTGGCTTTGAAATTTTAGTGCAATTAAGAGCTTGAAAGCAATGAGCCCTAACATGGTTAGAGGACCAGGGATTGCAATTGTGTGTGCGTGTGTACACATACACACACACACATAGGTAAAGGGACCCTTGACCGTTAGGTCCAGTCACGGACAACTCTGGGGTTGCGGCGCTCATCTTGCTTTATTGGCCGAGGGAGCCGGCATACAGCTTCCGGGTCATGTGGCCAGCATGACTAAGCCGCTTCTGGCGAACCAGAGCAGCGCATGGAAACGCCGTTTACCTTCCCGCCAGAGTGGTACCTATTTATCTACTTGCACTTTGACATGCTTTCAAACTGCTAGGTTGGCAGGAGCAGGGACCGAGCAATGGGAGCTCACCCTGTCACGGGGATTTGAACCGCCGACCTTCTGATCGGCAAGTCCTAGGCTCTGTGGTTTAAACCACAGCGCCACCCGCGTCCCTCATATATACACTTACACACACACACACACACACATATATATACATATAAACAGCAGCCTACAGCTTTTCCAATCTAGCTTCAGGCTGATCTTGCCAAGGTCCACCTTTGCTCCCAGGAGGCTGCCAGACCTCATCTAAAGAAGCCTCTTGCTGCACAGTGAGGAATGCCAGGCTCAACTATTTTTATCCCTCTGCAAATACTTCCTGACTGTTTGGTTGGGCTAAATGGATTACGTTATGGCAGGCTCGCTCCCAGGACTGAATTAGGCCACATCTTGTTTACGGAGGGAAGGATCTCATGCTATGACAGATGAAGCAATAAATTTGCTGCCTTAACTCTCTGCACGATAGGCTTGCTGCCCTGTACCTGCAAACTCCCAGCAGGAAGGCTATTCACACATTATGCTGTACACAGGTGCAGGCATCTATGCGAATGACTGCATTGTATGGTGAATTTAAAATTCAACATGTGGACTAAGCCCCTTAAAAAAGTGGAGTACAGATTGTGTGTACTTCTGTGTATGCACCTATGTATGGTGGTGTGCAGTGTTTTAGGATGCTGGAGCAACACACACCCTGTGGCAGAGTTGTGTGCTCTTGCTGATCTCCTTCCCAGCTTCTACTTGGGATATAAAGAGACAGCATCCCTAAAAAACAGTGCCATCTCCCCAAAAGAGCAATAAAACCACCACCAGTAGCGCTTGAGGTATCACATTTGTTCTCTCTTTGTGGTGGTTTGGCCCTGTCTTTGGACTGACTTGCTCTTCATTGCTTCCAATTACTACTTATTATTTACTATTTGTTAAATTTCTATGCTGCCATTCATCTGAGGGTCACAGGGCCGTTTACAATATAAAAAACACAACAATGCATAACATACAACGTGCTGCCATCTGCCTTACTGCAGGGCAGATTCAAGGGTAAACCATACGAGGAACGAGTCTGCCCCTGCAGCTTAATGGAGGTAGAAACTGTCTCTGATGCCTTCTTACGCTGCCATTTCTACGGGGATATACGCTCGGTATTTATTACCCCTGCTATGCAAAGATCTCCAAATGAATCTGAACTTCAATGTCTAAAATCCCTGGTAGAGGACAAGGATCCTGAGATCACGTTAAGGGTAGCCAAATTCTGTGCGTTTGCCATAAAACTTAGAGAACAAGCTGTGCTATCATGATGATTTAAGCCTTAAAAGATAATTTTAGGTTATATGTTAGTGTCTAAGTTTTAATTTATATATTTTTTAACTGTTGCTATATCTGTAGTGTCCCTGGTTATACCTAATTGCAAATTCAAATGTATCCCTACCGTGTTTTATGACTTCTTTGATATTATATGTGGGCTGGAACTGGTCTGTGACCGAAATTATAAATTCAATTCAATACATAACATAGCAACAAGCGAAAACAATAATTTTGCCTGGCGCCAAAAGATATGTAACAAAGGCTCCAGGTGAGCTTCCCTGTGGGGAGAGCATTCCACAAGCGGGGAGCCACCATTGCAAAGGCCTGCTCTTGTCTTACCATCCTCCAGACCTCTCACAATGGCGGCACACAAAGAAGGACCTCAGATGATGATTGCAGGGTCTGGGTTGGTTCATACGAGGAGAGGCGGTTCTTGAGGTATTGCGGTCCTGAGCTGTTTAAGGCTATTATGTGGTCAAAAGCCCTATGCCAGGAAAGCATAACAGTTTGCTGAGTTAGGCAGGGCAGCAACAACACAGAGCTGGCTGGAAGACCTGAGCTCCCACATATTACACCTGGGCTGAGGGAACGTCACTGGCTGCCGATCAACTATCAGGCTACACTCAAGCTCTTGTTACTAATGTTTAAAGCTCCGGACAACTCGGGGCCAGGTTAAATGAAGGACCAATTTCTTCCCTGTAGACCAGTAAGATCACCGAGGAAATGTTACTCCTGGCACTACAGCCTACAGGACATCACAGGTCAGTGTGTAGGAATATCGGACCTGGGACCTTCTGCATGCAAAACATTATGTGCTCTAGTGCTGAGCTATGGCACTGCAAAAAGCTTACCTTGCTAACCAAAGAGCTCAGTCCTGCTGGATCCAGATCAGAGTAAACTCCATTGAAAATGGGAATAGCAATCACCACATAACTCAGGATACTGCCCAGATAGTCAAAAGTGTTGATTCCAACTAAGCAGAAAAAAGACAATACAGTGGTAATGCCGGCAGATCAGTTAATCTAGGACCTCCATCTACACAGTTTATATATAGATAGATAGGTAGATACAGGTATTGATATGTATATGTATAAAACTTATTAATTTTTTTGTTGTACAATTTAGAATACTCATTTAAACATCCTTAAAATATCAGTGACTTCCCTTCTCTTTCCATGGTTCATTTTGCATATCATAAATCCCTACATATTTTACATAAACGAAACCATTCAGTATTCCATTATTACATCTACACAGTTTTTTGTGTTATGTTTTAAAAGTTTATCAGGAACATATTCTCTGGAAACAAAGCCAGTTAACAGTGCTACTCAAGAGAATAACTGTCAGTTAGAAGGACAATCTATTTCAGTTCAGCACTCAGTCCCCAGTGACAAAATGTTTAGACAGCTCCTCTGGCAGACAGAGCCTGAGATAGCAAATTCCATGAGGCCCAAGCGCTGCTTGGCCTACTTCCTTGCTGCTACTATTCTTTCCCAGAGTTCAGTCTCAAGGCCTTGTTGTTCGGCCTTTTCAGGCACTCCTGAGAAGGCCCAGAATGACCCCATTTTGGTCTGGATTCCAGTAGTACCCATTTTCTCCCTCATTGGCTCATCAACTTGTTCTCTGTTCCCATTTGAACAGCCACTTCCCAAATGTCTTTTCTGCGCGGCAGAAATCTAGAAGCTCCCTTCCCTGTGTAACGAGTGAAGGAGGGGATGAAGGAAACCAGTTCTGCTTACTGTACAACCACAGCTCCTTGCCTATCAGCTCCCTCTGGGTCAGCAGGAGGGTTTGCAGCCTGCGGTTGGTTCGCATGTGCTCAACTTCCCCAGCTCTGAAAAGCAGGACAGTAGCGCACAGTCAGTCTGGACAGTGATCATTCCCACGGACCTTAACCCTGGGGTAAGATGCATGTATGCGCATATAGAGGATGACAAATGGATGGTGGCGATTGGTTGCTGCGTGAATACAACTTCGTGAAGAGGAGACAACCAACAGATACACCTAATCCACACTTTCTTAACTCTTGTGAGATTTCCAACAACAACAGTGACCTCATGTGGCAAAAAGCAGCCATGACGTGTGTGGTTTTCTTTCTGTTTTTTCCTGCTTGCCTTTCTTTCCCCCACCCTGTTCTGCTAGTGTTATTGCTCCTCTTCTTGCTTTCATAACTGTGGGGTGTCCCGTGAGCCGAGTAACCGACAAACAACAACAATGGGTGAACTGGTGTGTGGGTGGAGAATAGAGAACAGAATGGACAGACATCCTGCTATCTAGCCAAATTATCAAAGTGAACTATGTAATGATGAATTACTAATCTTACACTTAAAGCCAGTGTGGTGTAGTGGTTAAGAGCGGTGGACTCATAATCTGGTGAACTGGGTTCGATTCCCTGCTCCTCCACATGCAGCTGCTGGGTGACCTTGGGCTAGTCACACTTCGCTGAAGTCTCTCAGCCCCACTCACCCCACAGAGTGTTTGTTGTGGGGGAGGAAGGGAAAGGAGATTGTTAGCCACTTTGAGACTCCTTAGGGTAGTGATAAAGCGGGATATCAGATCCAAACTCTTCTTCTTCTTCTTAAAAGAACAAAAAACAAACAAACAAACCTGAACACCACCAAGAAGTTTGTGGGACACACTTCAACACAAACTGTGCAATACTCGCAGGAACCAAAGACGTCACAGGAAAAAAGATACTAAAAAGTGAAATGTCCACTTACTTACCTGTAAAAAGCAGCAGATTCAGCATTCACCCGTAGCTGCATATGCTTAAACCTGTTAAATCCAGAAAACACTTGCTTCAATGGTCATTTTTTGGGATTGAGTAATCAGCGTCTCTGCAAAACCCATTCTTATTTCTGCCTTAGAATGACTCAGGCCACTGGTCCACTAAGCTCAATATTATCACCACTGACTGGTAGCAGCTCTCCAGGGTTTCAGACACAGGATCTATTCTGGCTCTACCTGGAGATGCCAGGGATTGAACCTGGGACCTTCTGCATATAAATCAGATGCTCTACCGCTGAGCCAAGGCCCCTTCCCCAAACCATATACATCACTTAGGCTGGAGAGCAGACACAGAACTCTGCTATAGCAAGAGACAGCAAAGGACTTAACAGTCAGGTTTATGTGTATGAACATCCTCATCTTCAGCAGCAGCAGTCTATCTGGCTTGCAATGTGCATTCCATTTGTGAGCCATCATGAAGTTCATATCCTAAGAAGACTTCTATAAAGGATTCTCTTAACACAAATCACAATCAGCAAACGAGAAAAGAACAGTGGCACACACATCATTTCAGACTATAGCTATTTCCAGGGTCAAACTGATCATGAGACCTGCTGAATAAACTCACCTGAAATCACCTTCCAGCTTCTCCTGCTGCACCAGCTTTGAAACAATGGGGCTCATTAGGATCTTGTTAACAATTGTGCCCATGATAAAATATCCAAAAATACTCACTGGGCCCATCCAGCCAGTGCTAGGCAAGAGAAATGGAGAGAGATTAGCGAAACTGTCAGCGGAAGGCTGCCTTCTAATATATTAGAGGCTCATCTATGCTGTACTCCAGTTGGGACAAAAGTTAGGGCTGCCCCTAAGCATGTGGTCATCCCTCTCCCTAGGTGAAGACCGCCCCTACCTGTAAAAGCACTGATAGGTGTAGTAAGCAAGTGTGAAGGGAGAGATGATGAGCTTACTGGCCATGGAGCTCAGCTGCTTGCAGAACCTCTCCACATCCTGGCTGATTCTTTGATCCCTGCACGATAAAAAGGATATTTAAATTTGCATTGACTGCTATGACAGAATGAGCAAAGCATAAGGAAAGTTAACATGTTAGGAACAGAACAGTTTGTCCACACAGAATCAGAGCTGGGTAGTTATGCAGTTTTAAGGCTGGGGACGTATTTTCTTTTTAAAATTATTAGCTTGCAAATCAATGCTAAACAACAGCTGGCAAAAATACCAGCATGGTTACTGGCAGAGAATCACAGTGTCAGAAGGGATCTCAAAGTCAGTCAGAAGGAGCGTCTCCACCCCCATTGTTCTACCTGGACACTGAGGTCCAGCACCGAGGGCCTTCTGGCAGTTCCCTCACTGCGAGAAGCCAAGTTACAGGGAACCAGCCAGAGGGCCTTCTTGGTAGTGGCGCCCTCCCTGTGGAACGCCCTCCCACCAGATGTCAAAGAGAACAACAACCACCAGACTTTTAGAAGACATCTGAAGGCAGCCCTGTTTAGGGAAGCTTTTAATGTTTGATGTATTACAGTATTTTAATATTTTTTGGGAAGCCGCCCAGGGTGGCTGGGGAAGCCCAGCCAGATGGGCGGGGTATAAATAATAAATCATCATCATCATCATTATTATGCAACCTCCTCCTGCATGCAAGAAATCAGATGTTACAACAGCCTCAATAGGGAGCCTTCCAGCCTTATCTTATAAACCTTCTTGTTGGGACACTCCACCTTCTCCTTCCTCAAATATTAGAGTCCTCCAGCAGAGCACTGATTCCACTGCTCTATACAAGTGCTTGTTTTTTGCATCAGTTTGCTGCAATCACTGCTGAATTGACATTACCCAAGAACTGGAGTAATTCAACCGCTGGTTATTTTCAGGAACCAAAAGCTGCATTTTTAGAATTCCTGTTGCACAACGTCAAGTCAAATAAAGTCATTATTGTGTTTGTAGCTTCCCCTTTGCAACTCCAACCTTAACCGTCTCTTGTGAGTATCTAAACAGCTACAGAACTGCACCTATAGTTGTTCCATACTATGAACAAAGCAAATGCTAATTGTGCTGCAACCCAAGGATCACACCACAATGTCAGATAGCCTGTACTTTAATCAGACGTACTTTAATCCAGTTATCAGTACTCTTCAATTTTCTTCTCACAAGCAGGTCCATTTTGTCTTATAAAACAACAGCCTCCCCTAACCTGGTGCCGTCCAGTTGTTGCAAGGTCACAAATCCCATCATCCATGTTGGCCTGACCTGATGGGAGATGTAGTCCAAAACTTCTCGAAGGCACTAGAATCTCGAGGGATTAGCGTCCTAATGTGATTCTAACATTTCAAAAACTGCAAACTAAAGCAACACAGGGAAACTGTCCTCTAAAGCAGTTTAAATTTCAATAGTTTAAATAACTGGAGCCCTTTCACATCTTGCTATTGTTAGCCTCTTTACACATCTCCAATTAGATATGGACAAAAAACCCCACCCCACATTTGTTTGTTGCAGTTTGCATTTTGGTTTTAAATATAGTGGGTGGAATTCAGCATTGTGCTAGGGGGGTCAATCTGTCAGGCCAAGCCTTTCCACTTGCCAGACTGATTCCTGCCCCCACTCCCACCCTATGTGCTGTTCCGGGGGCTCTCCTGAACCCCCACTCAAGCCAATGGTTGGGACATTCAGTGGGAGGAGCCCTGTAGCACTAGTGGGACACACTGTGCCGACTTCTGCTAACACAACTATTGCTTTGAGTCCTGCCTGGTGGGTTGCAGCCAACTATGCCCTACTCAAGAGTACACCCTTTAAAATTAATGGGCCAATCTTAGTTGCATCCATGAATTTTAGTTGGTCTACTCTGAGCAGGACTAACACTGGCTAAAACCCAGTGCCTGGAGCAGAGAGCATGTATTCAAAATGTAATCGTCATAATAATTATAATAATTTTATTATTTATGCCCCACCCATCTGGCTGGCTATTCAAACTACTTCCCTGTGCGTCTAAAGAAAAGCCCATGGCTCCCTAGAGTAGAGTTTCCCAAACTTTTCATGTTGGTGACACTCTTTTTAGACATGCGTCATTTTGCGACTCAGTAATTCAATTTTCCTAGCAAATGGGAGGTTAAACCAGGTATCCCCAAACTTGGCCCTCCAGATGTTTTTTGGGACTACAACTCCCATCACCCCTAGCTAACAGGACCAGTGGTCAGGGATGATGGGAACTGTAGTCCCAAAACATCTGGAGGGCTGAGTTTGGGGATGCCTGGGTTAAACTAACCCCTTTCCAGCCCTGGGAGGAGCATGGGGAGTATTCGTATGACACACCTACACATTGCAGCCAACACACTAACGTGTCAGGACGCAGTTTGGAAAGCTCTGCCCTAGGGAGATAAAAGCAAAGCAGGTCAACATATATGGGGAGCAACAAAGCCAGCCCTCATCAAGGCAGAGGGGTGTACAAAATATGCTAGAAGGTGCCAGGAGGAGCTCGAATCATGTCCAGCTACCTACGGATTATCGATTTCCTCATGCAGAATATTCAAGGTATAATACACCTGGCCCTGAAAGTAGTAGCCATGGAGGTATTCTGTGAGAGTCTTCCTCCAGCTCACATACATCAGGTTGCGGATGAACTGGTCAAAGCTCTTCAGCTGAGAAGAGAGAGAAGTGAGACTCACAATGGGGAGAGGAGATGAGAATAAGGCAAGAAATGCATTTATGGCTACTCTTGTGGTCCAACAACTGCACTTACGATGTCATATGACATCAAGTGGGTATGTTCCCACCTTCCTGAGCGGAGCCAATCCCAGCAGGCTTGCACCAAATTTAAACAGCGTGAGATATAAGCCCCACCGATAACAAATGGAATGGGCATGCAAAATTAGTGGGGCTAATTTAGCCCAGAGATTCCCCAGCGATGGATTGCATGAACACACTGACCCAAATAAAGTCTTCTAGTCTGAAGGCATCCTCTGCTCAAAGCAACTGATTTAAAGCATTAGATGAATCCCCCCTTGTCCGACCGCTGACATAAAAAGCTCTTCACAACAGCTAACAGTCCAGATGGGTTTACAGTAAACAGCACCTTCCAGAACAGAGTGGCCAGAAAGCAGTGCTGAGAGGCCCAAGTCAGATTAGCTTTTTCCATCACAGCTTAGAAACTGTGAGGGAAGAGTTAGAAAGTTATTCTCTTGTTGTTATTGTTGTTTTATGTCACCCTTTATCACAAGATCTTAGGGCAGTTCGCAAGATGAAGAAACTTTTGAATTGCTATGGCTGAAATCAGTGACTTGACTGTCCTAGCTTAACTGCACCATCCCTGGGGATAGCCACTTTTGTGTGGTAATAAAGTAGCCCAAAATTATCACACGATGGAAACATTACACAAAAAAACAAGTGATTTGTAAAATGAAGACCTTTAACAGTTGAAAAAAGTGACAGCGTTAAGCATGCCTTGAAAAAGTGCGATTAGTTGTTAGCTAACGTGTCGTCTGGCCCTCAGGATACACATATGCAGAGCAAGGCAGTATCACGGGATCATAGAATTTTACAGGTGGGGGGACCTCAAGGGTCATCTAGTTCAACCCTGTACAATGCAGGAATCTCCACTAAAGCATCCATGACAAATTGCATTGCATGTGCTCTCGTCTCCTTGTAGGAAGAAGAGGTTTCACTTACCATAGAGTTCAGTAGAATAAGAATCAGTGCAACTGCTGTCACTTGCTGGAATCCATGGAAGTCTTTGTTCCCCAGAACTCCATAATACTGGCTGGGAATCAATCCCACCTGGTAAATGACCAGCTGCTCTAGGGGAGGTAAAGGGTGGGGAAGAGAAAAAGGATGAATTCCAAGGGTGCTCCCATATACATCGACAAGAGTCCTGGCACATCACAAAAGGACTTGCTTGATATCATCCTTCTTAGCCATCGACTCACTTACCCAACAGAGCAACCATGAGCAAGGTTAGGAACATCAGTACATTCTTGGAGCAGCATGCAGGAAATAAAATTTCTTGGATCTTCAGAAAACGCTGGAGAAACTGCCGGTCCAGCTGGGGCCGAGGCCTGGAAGGAACAGATTTGAGAACAGCCAGGTTATCGAGCTAGCACACAAGCCACACACAAAGGTCTGCTCAGTTCAGACTGGCTGTAACCAAATGAAAGTCTGGAATCGCCCTCTGAAAACAGGAATGGGAGAGATTTCACCCCGATACTCCAATAGTAACCTACCCTACGGTAATAATGAAGAATCCTCTCTGTTAGTATGGATCTTTTCTTTGAAGGCCAGAGATGTATCCTCAGTTGGAAATGTACTAAAGTGCTCTAGAAAAGATATCCAGAGCTCATTGTGTGGATCCTGATTCCATAACAGGAAGGAATCTAAGGGTAGATTCAGACAAGGAAGAGCCATGGGGAATTTTAACCATCTAATGTGTATGCTATCCTTCCTTCAGGAGCTTAGTGCATAGTATGTTGGGAAGAGACAGTGTGGTGTAGTGGTTAGAGTGTTGGACTAGGACTTGGGAGAGCAGGGTTCGAATCCCCTCTCAGCCATGAAGCTCTGACTGGGTGACCTTGGGCCAGTCACTACCTCTCACAGTGTTGTTGTGGGGAACAAATGAGAAGGAAAGCCGTGTATGCCACCTGGAGCCCCATGAATAAAAAGGTGGGATAGAAATGCAATAAATAAATGAAAAGTAAAATATGTGAAAAAACTATAATTCTTCACAGTAACAAAGAGAGCCCCACACAGCCGTCTTCCTAAGCAAATGCAGGGATCAATGGGGGAATTATTTGTTTCTCCTTGGGAAAATATAACCTGTTGTGTGACTTGATCTTTCAGCTAATTTGCTGAAGCTTAAACTTCTTTGCCGCAACTCCCTCCCTGCATCACACACTTTTCCTACTTCCGACTCCAAGAAACCAGCAGCACCAGCATCTAAGGAAATGTTCCAAACAGATTTGCCATCCTTACTAATTTTATTCTACTTACACTATTGAAATGAGAAGAACTTCAGCTTTCTTTCAAGTAGCTGAAATAAATAGATAAGCCAAACTGTGCTCGAGCTGTAAGTTAAAATGCCATTGTTACTTTCTGATAGTTCACTAGGAGGGTTTTGCTGAGAGATGAAAACTCTTCATGGGAGAAATCAAAGGATGAATGCCTAAGCTTTATTCCTTTGCTTTTTAAATATTATTTTCAGCTCCTCTTTCCTAAGCACATGGGAGTGACTGTCCTGTGAATACCACCATTGTGTCCCGAGTTCTTGTTTCTGTTTTGTTATTTTCAGTGGTTGCCCTATGGCCTTACTGACGGATCTCATTCTCTACCTGCATTAGCCTGATGTTCCATTGGGCATCTCACCTACAAGTCTTCTAAACCTAAACATGATTAGGTTTCATAGCAGTCATACGATAACCCCAGAACTCCCATTACCTCCCTCTCAACTCCAAAGCTTATCTCTTTCCTAATTTCCTTTCCATCTTTTCTTCCTAACTCTTGTCTCCTCTTCCTGCTTTTTCACTATACAGCTTTCAGCAAACGCTCTTTGCCTTGGTCTTTGACATCTGAGATTTGTATTTTCAGGTTCCACCCTATTTTAGCTGTTTAATTCTGAATTTTAAATTGCTGTAACCCACGCTGGGACCTGCTGGTAAAGAGCAGGTACTGAATTTGAATGAGGCCAATGATATCCTTGGAGTCTGTGGGTACAATTCAACATTGCACTATTGCAATCATTCTGTCTGGGAAAACATTTCAGCTTGTCAGGTAGAACCATGTTTCCTTTTCCTGCCTGCTGTTATTCTGGGGGTTCTTCTGGCCTTGCAGAGCCAATCTGGCCGGGGCGGGAGGGAGAAGGGGGAAGTCCGATTGAACTAATGGGCCTTGTTGTGCTGGCTCCTGCTGGTGCAACTATTTAATTAAATCAGGCCCTATATTTTTATCTGGGATGATTACAGTACCACCATCAATCACAGTTAAGTGCTCACAAACAGAATATCTATTTCACCTGTAAGAAAGACTCCAGTGAAAGCTACTGCTTACTACATTTATACATAATTATGAGCACACCTGAGTGGTTATAAAGCATGCTTAATGGGCAAATAATCCACATTAAGCTATCTCGGGTACCATGTGCATTCTTAGCATTGACCATTATACTATTTGAAACTCCTGGATGCCCTTCATCCCAGAGGTGCCCCATAATTCCTCACCTAGATTTGAAAACACTTAACGCACCCCTTAACACCCTCAAGCCACCCTTTGGTAATCTCAAACATGTTGGTACCATATCACATTCTTCAATGAATACTGACAGGTGTAGTGCAATGTAGTGAGGCAGCTAACAGACTGAGCTATGAACCAGGAAGTCTCAGTCGACATCGGTCACAAATTTACTAGGCAATAGATTCTTAGCCTCTACAGCTCCATATGCAACACTGAGATAATAGCACCGACCTACCTTACAGGGCTGTTTTAAACATTACAAAGAAAGAACGTACCTGAAGCACATTGAGCACCTTAAGTGTACTTACTACCTATTTACTGCCACAGGAGTGTGGTGATGACCACCCACTCAGATGGCTTTAAGGGGGAATTTGGCAAACTCAGGGATAGTTCCGACATGTACTTCCAGATGGGCATTTATTGAGCATTCATCCTGATTTGTTTGCAGGGAGATTAAGCAATGTTTAATGAGCATTCACTCTGATCTGTTTGCAGGGGGCTGATATGACGTTGCATTAGAGCAAGTTATCTCAAACATCCTAGTCCATTTTCCTCATTTACTGTCCTTATCACAAAAGTCTGATCTTCTGAGGAAGCGGATTTGGTCCGCAAGAACTCCCAATCAGTTACAATTGTGCAACCTGAATTTACTGGTACGCGACTCAATCCTACCCCAAACGGGGGACAGCCTGCAACTGCCCTTTGTATTCTTTCAGACACCAGATAGAAACCCACACCTTTTTTGCTGGCTTTTTACTTAAAAATGGGTTATGTCACCTTTAGGGTGTTTTTAATTATCCTGTTTACATAACTTGGCATGGATTATTTTAATGATTTTGTTTATTGAGCACTATATTTCTTTGCGTCAAAAAATGTATACACTGCTCAACTGCAAAAGAAAAAAAGAACTCTCAAAGCAGTTTACGAAAACAAGAATTTAAAACTTTCAAAACTAAATTAAAATGAACTAAAAACAGATTAAAACACACATCCAACGCCCTACATATATTGGGTAGGCCTGCCTATGCAAAAATGTTTTAAGGAGACCCCCAAAATAGCAGTGAAAGCACCTGCCTGATGTCAATAGGCAGGGAGTTCCGAAGGGTAGCTGCTGCCACGCCAAAAAAATACAAACACGTGCGCACACACCTATATGCATATGCATATATATATATAATATTTTGGTGGTACTGTACAGAAATCTCTAAACAAAAAACAAAAACAAAGCCAGAGTGAGGACGTGAGGACCCTACAGTTTATGGGGAGTTTTTCGCCCCTCTGCAGCCTGATTCCTAATAAATGGGGGTCACGTTCCCCTCACACCTCCGCCCAGAACCCGAAACCCTCCGCCCGGCGCCCCCACCGCGCCCCGGCAACCCGAAGCCGCGCTCACCGGGCGCTTCCCGGCGCTGCTGCCCGGGGAGCCATGAGCGAGCTGCGCCCGGACCAGGAGTGTCTCCCCGGGGCAAAGTCCCGGCCAGCCACGTCCGAGCACCCACCCACCCGCGCGCTCCGCTATGCTCTGGCCCGCCGGGGCTCGAGGAGCTGATGAATATTCATTACCCTTCTTGACTATTCATGACTGCGCGCGCGCGACCCGCCGACAGCAGGGACAAAGGCCGCTCCAACGAAGAGGGAGCATCGGTCACCCTCGGTGAGACAGAGGTGGGGCCAGGGCGGCTAGAGCGGCTCGGAAAACGGAAAGGCGGAGCTCAAAATACGGCTCCTCCTCAACCAAAGAAAGCGAGAAAAAGCAAACAGGTCCGTGTGTGTAGGCGCGCATGCTTTCCCCCCTATCTCTACGGCAAACCCTGTTCACCGTGGTCTCTGCTGGTGGTTCCATTAGAAACGAAACTGGTAGCGGAGGCTAGAGGGAGACCTCGCTGCAGATTTTAAGCTATACGTCCGGTTCCCGGTTGCACGTTTTAGGATTCTCCATGTGCGGGGCAGAAGTGGTGGAAGTACATAGAACAGCCTTATGATGTGGATTAGGAAGAGACAGGATTGCCGAGTTTCCAAAACGAACTTTCGCTGCTTAAAAACTTTCACTGGATTCTTCCTTTAAATCTGTCTATCCTCTCTTTTTCTGCACTCACCGACTGCTAAAATAACTTTTAAAAACTGCAAGAGCAAGCAACCCCAGTGGGTCCCCCCACATCCCAGACCCTCAAGCCAATGACGGAATATCTTCCGGCAGCAACAGAATTCCCTTTTTTTATTTTTTAGAAAAGCGTGTTTATTTCAAAGCACTGCAACGGAAAGAAGTCTCTAACACTGTTTTTATTATCCAAGTATGCACGTATAAATATGTAGACGGAGAGCTAGTGCTGTTTTATAAGAACTTTATTTACACTGATTGCAATGTGCTCTCGCCGCTCTTGCCCCGCACATGGAAGATTCCACGAACTGACTTTGGGAACAGGAAAAGGGAGCCCCGTGTGGCTTTCTTGATTGGCTGCCTGTTGGGAGAGAGAAAAAGTAGAGCGCCTCCCACCGTCCTAAATGTACATGGACAGCATAACATTCAAAATCTAGGATACAAGCCCGGAATAAAATGTGTGTTGTTTTCCCCTTTTTTTATCGAAATGGAAGGGTTCTTTTCAAACGCCAGGACTTGTTATCAGCATGCGTCCTTTGGGCACAAAGAGCGTTCTTACTTGTAGTTAAATTGTATGGGGATAAACCAGCATTTTATTGCAACTCTCCTACAGCAGAAGAGAGTGCCAATCGGTGTCAACAATACTGAACTAAACGGCTCAGTAGTATCTTGGTACTGTATGAGATTTGTTTTCTGTGTTCTACTGTGTTGCCCTGTTTTAAGTTTCAGGGCAGGTGAAATAAAGTCCTTTGGGCATAATTAAACTCTGGAACTCTACAGGAGGCAGTGATGGCCACAAACTTAAAATGGCCTGAAAGAGGAATGAAAAAATTGGAAAAGGCTATCAATGGCTACTGGCCATGATGGCTGTGCCCTAACAGTCAGAGGCAGTGGTGTCTGAATACCACTTGCTGGAAACCACAGGAGGGCAGAGGGCACTTGTTCCTGGGTCCTGCTTGCAGGTTTCCCACAGGCGTCTATTTGGCCACTGTAAGAACAAGATACTGCACTAGACTGATCTAGCAGGCTGTTCCTATGTTCTTAATATGCTAAGTTAGCTTTTTATCGCAACCCCAATCTCTTTCATAGCATTTCTTGATCCCATTAGTCACTGATGCAAAGCAGTTTGCTAGTGTGAATCCCTATGAACTCTGTTTCTCTAAAACACTGATGGACATATAAAAGTGCTGCTTCGTTATACTTATTTCATTTTGTCGTTACAGCTTCCAGTTATTGTCACCCACAAGGGGGAAGGCCTCCTGCCCTGATGAACCCTAATCCATGGGTTCCACCTCCCTTTTATTACAAATAAATGAATAAACAGCAAATATCTAGCCCTTGTAGAACCCAGATGATGAGGCGAACATATGCAGGTACTATTCTGTTCATTTGGTGTTTTTTTAAAAAACTAGCCTGCTTCACTTCAGGTTTTTTTAGCCAATGAATGAAGTTATAGCAATGATTGACATTTAGGAAAGGAGATGAGAAGTTAGACAAAGAGGAGTTGGAGTGACACACCCATTGTCTGGATAAAGAACTTAGGGGTTCATTTGTATTTCAGTTTGCTTTTCCCTAGCAGAGAAATAATTGCTGCCCCAGAGAAAACAATCAGATATCCCAGATTTTAGTGCAGCTGTGATTAGGCATTCATGTGCCTACCCAAAAACAAAAGGTAAAAACAAAGACAGGAGTATGATATTTCTAACTCTGGTTAACCCCCCTTACTTATTTATTTGGAGTGCTTACTCCCTCCCGCCACCCTGTAAAAATTCCTGTGGATGCCCTTGCTTGTAATTCCTCAGAAATGCCAGTTATTTTATTGGTTTTGGCATTTCTGCCAAATTGACAAACATTTAGTCAATTGACAAATGCATATTCAATTTCTCAAGGCTGCTTGGAAAGTGTACCATCTGACCTGAAAGCCCTTTTTCCTAATTCTAGATCTGTGATGAGAGGATAATTCACTTTGAACATGCGCAGAGGCCTCTGCCTATTTACAGCTGACCTCTAAAATCTAAAAGAGGTAATGGAGTTTTTCCGTAGGGGCTTTGGCTGAAATTAAGCCCTGAAGGCACTTTAGTAAAAGCTTTAATTAGATGGAGTACACTTCTAGCTGTGTACTGCAGCATCCAAAACCCACAGCAAAATCCAGTTGTGGGTTTTAGAAGCTGCACAGGGGAGACTTTGTTCCTATCACTTTGAAGCGGGAGTGAGATTTGTGCTTGATAACAGCAGCCTAAGGTATTTCACACTTGAACCCATTGGATAAGGCACATTTCACAAGGAGAAAAATGCTGCCTTTGAAGCAAAAATGTTTGCTGTTGTTCCCCAACAGTTTACTCAGTATGTGGCAAGTGGAACATTTAAAGAGAGCAAAAATACTGCAGAGCAAGTTACAACTCAGCATACTGTTCTACTCTTGCCACACATTTCTAGTATCTAGAAATAAATTATCCAAGCTGAGCCAGGCTTCCATCTAACAGCACTATATATTTGTTAAATTTTGTCATATGCATGTGGACTCTGAAAAGCAGCTTTGTCGCATTACCTGGGAATGGTGTTTTTCTTTTGCAGTAATATTTTAGGCCCTCGTTACACTGGGAAGCACCAAAGGTGATTTACAGACATGCCATAAAACAGCTAAAAATAGTTTTAAGAACGGTACAAAAAACAATGGATGAAACCAATGGGGGTTTGGTTGATCATAAGATCCCAGCAACAAACAGCGAGTTGCCTTTCTTTCCCAGCTGAGTCACTGCTGCAACTACATACCCCCCCCCCCGCTTCTTTTTGCACAGATAAGTTAGTGGAAACTTCAGGAGAAAGGTGGGCCCACCCTCACAGTCTTGTTCTGTTGTGATTTCATTTCCCAATCAATGGCTGTGTGCACATTGCCATCTACTCTGGCTCCAGGGCGGTCCCACTGATGGCCTTTCAATCCGTGTACACAGAACGTTACACACTATGCAGAACTCTATTGTGGTTTGTTGAGACTCATCTACACTTGCGTTTGCCCCGTGATTTCCAGGCAAAGGTCTGAGAGGTTTTTCATTTGTCCTGCTGCTATCCCTGGGAAAACCCGTTGAAAAATCTCTTGAACCTGTGCCTGGAAATCATGGGACAAGCAGAAGTGTGGGGGAGCCTTTAATCCACATTCCCCTTGCAGCTAAACTGAGGCGTGTACATTTGAGGCAGCCATTGTGCAGATGACCGCTTCATGAAAATGAATTGGAGAGTGGTGGTTTGGAGGGGCAAGGAAACTGAACTGATAATGTGCATTGGGTGAAAACATCCCCACCATGTCTCTGGTGTGTACAGCCATGTGCAAATGTGACTTGAAACACAGCAGAGGAAAACAACCTTGCTGCATTTTGATATAGACATAGGACATACAGCGGCAAATAAAACGTTTTAAATGTGTTGTAAAGTGCAATATACAAATTTGGCACTAGATGGCGACAGTGAGCTATGCAAAATTCAATGTATTTTTCAAAATTTTCTTAAGCATTTCCACTTTTTTATATATGTGTATAAAATCACAGAATCGTAGAGCTGGCAGGGTTCATGATGGTCATCTAGTCCAGGAGAACACTGAGATGAGTATCCACATTTTACTCTGGTGTAGATAAGCCCAAATAAGATACAGGAATAATGGCTACTAGACTACGCTACTGGATTTAGGGACCTAGTTTCCTCTTTATAACTTGTCTTTGCTTTCCCCACTTTCAGCCTGTGCCAAAAGCTAGCCTTTTTTTCTCACACACGAAACAATTTTACTTCTGCAACAATTCTCTTTTCTGACCTTGCTCCTTTCAGTTTTTGCTGCCTCTGATGTTGTTGCTCTATGTCTCATCATTAAAACAAAACAAAAAAAGAAACAGATTAACAAAATGCCTACAGTCACTTGGCTTCTTTCCAATAGCTCAGAGTTAAGTCTTATAAATAAATGCTGAGGCAAATATTTCTGATATCTAAAATAAGAATATGGGAGGGGTTTATAGCTGTGCCTGTTCATGTGTGGTTTGGCTTTCACAGGTTTCTCTTGCTGGAGACTCAGATGTGTGTTCACACACACACACACACACTTTATATCTTGCTATCATTACTATCTCCTGCATTGTTTTCGAATGTTCTCAATTCTTTCTCCTCAGACATTTCTCTATTAAGAGTTTTATTGCAATTATAATTCACTCTTGCTCAAAATCTCCCAAGGAGCATCTGTGTGAACTTTGAAAGCGCTTTTGTAAACGATCAAGTGGTATATAAATTTTATCAAATAAAATAAATAAATAAATAGTCCTTTCAATGATTATGCAGATAGATAAATTATAGATGAGAACAGATAAATAGGGTTGTATTAGGTTTATGAGATTGAACTGTGAACCAGGGACACATTCTCTCAGCCTCAATCCCCCATCTGAAAGAGGTGATAATAACACATCTATAAGCATTTAGTATGGTCCAGTTATTGGGTGGAACAGAATTATGGATTTTATGTGAAACATGAGCCCAGGACTACCCCAAAATGTTGGGGAGACTGACAAAAATATAATTGGTCTTCAACCACCAACCCAATATGGCTCCACTTCAGGAACCAACAGGGTTCGGTGAGGATTAAATAACCACATAACAAACGTGTGAAAGTGGCAATCAGTTGGTGAGTAGGTGGAGTTAACTGGTCTGCATAAATTGGGAGGAAAAGTCTTCACACATGTCTCTACCTTGTATTACTAAATGTATATTGTACAATAATGGCTCTGGGATAACTCAGTGCGTGATTTTCTGTGACCATTTGAAAGCATATTTTGAGTTGCGGCCTGCCTTGTCCTTATTACCTCCTGCAAATGTAGCACCTCCCATCTGAGCTGCCATTCTGACCCAGCTCTTTTGTACTCCCTCATCCCTTTCGGGAGATCAGGCCCCTTTGATATGCACAGCCTGGTTGTGAAAAAACTGGACCACTATGGATGAGGCACCAGCTCCATGGAAGCTGAGGGATTTGACACACTCAGGACATGCTGAGCTGCAATTGTCCATTCCAAACACTTCCCCACCCGTCCTTTTGTCCTCTTCATGCCAGATGAAGCACCTGCTGTGAGCTCCATTTAGTGTCTAAGTTCCAAAAATTTCCATGGCCCCTCCTGACACATCGAAATCCAAGAACAAAGGACAAGCGCATTTTCTGAGCCTCTCTTTCAGCTTCCTCCTCCTCCCCCAAGAACTGGTGTCCTAGACCCTTGGAGCCGGGCACAGAACTGAAACGTTTACATATTTTACAACACAACACCCTTCCCCCTGCTTGCCCATCTCTGTCACCAAAGGACACACCATAAGGCAGGGCTAAAGCATCCGATCTTCTTCTCGCATTGAGAGCACCACTGGAACCTTTATCTCTTTCAATTTGTCTACTGGTCAGACCAGCAAAACGTTCACATAAACCAACTTACGTTTCATTACATTTCAAAAAAACGGAACGGTCTTAGAATGTACAATAGGAATTATTTTTAAATTTATTGTTTTATACATTAAATATGTTACAAGGGATGCCTGAGTTCTGATTAGTGTCAGAGGCGGATTCAGCTACTTGGATAATAATTTTTTTAAAATATATTGGTGAGCTTTGGGGCAGAAAAGTGGCCTATATATATATGTACTAATGTATATGTAAATGAACTGCAGGGGTTTACATATTCAAAGGGAGAATGGCCATTGCTTCTTTTGATCCAGTATGTTTTTGTGCAACCTGAGATTTTTTTTCACTGGGCACAAGCTACATTGCTTCCTGAATCACCAACAGGAGCATAACATTTTGCAGCTGGGACCTCTAAAAGGCCATTCAAAAGCAGTATATATTTTTCCATTCCCCCCACCCTTTTCTGTTTTAGGATCATGTCTGAGGAAGAGTAGTCATGAAGCTCTAAAAGCAGTGTTTCCCAAACTTGGGTCTCCCACTGTTTTTGGACTACAGTTCCCATCATCCCTGACCACTGGTCTTGCTAGCTAGGGATGATGGGAGTTGTAGTCCAAAAACAGCTGGAGACCCATGTTTGGGAACTACTACTCTAAATCAGGGGTAAGGAACCTGCAGCCATAGAACTGTAGAGCTGGAAGGCATCCCAAGGGTCATCTTGTCCAACTCCCTTCAGTGGAGGAATCCTGCCCACAGCCATCCCTGGGTGGTGTCGTCGAACCACCAACCTTCTGGTTAACAGCCAGATATACTAACCCATCCAGCTGTTGTTGGGCTCCAGCTTCCATCAGCTCCAAGCAGCGTAGCCAATGGTTTAGGTTTAGGTTGATGGGAGTTGTAACCCCAAAATATCTGGACTTGCCCCTAATAAAGATATATGATACTGCTCCTCGGGTGGATTCCACTTATGCTGCAACAAGCTCACAGGTGGTATGCATGGGGGTTTTATATTAAATAAATGACCGAGCATAAGGTAGGTATAATGGGGGGAGGTCTGCCTGGCGTTTCTGCAGAAGTTAACAGGGTGTGGGGGCATACTCGTTTTTATCTGTAAGCTGCCTTGAGTTTCATCAGGGGGAAAGTATGAATACCGGTAAATACATAATAGTAAAATAAATAATAATAATAAATCTTAAAATTGTTTTTATTGAAATATATCAGTGGATAACAAAGGTATATATAACGTCTCTGTTTTCAGTTCATAGATTCCTATCTGTAGGTAAGTTACATTTGGTGTGAGACATTGCTATCAGAGGTATTGCGAAGTTGGGTGGGGGTGGGGGGAGAGGTGGGAAAAGAGAGGTAGGAGAAAGAAGGGAGTAGTGGTCTTTCCTTTTTTTCATAGTGTATGTGGCGGAGTTTTGTGTCAGCGTCACGTGGCTAGGTTCTTCATCTATTAGTTTTCATCGGCAATGAGAGAGATTGGGGAGCCCAAGCATGGTTGGTTGAATTCAGTTGGTTTTGTTTGTGTGTGCGAGGGGGTTGTTGAGTCAAATTAACCATATCAATTTGAATAATAATTTTGATCCACTGGGTGATTTGAAACAGATCAGCAAGGATTTCTAACTTTATAATTGCTGAGCAACAACAAAATGGCTCCCCTCCCTTGCACGGTGGGGGGTGAGGAGGTGAGAGCGGATATACATCTGGAATGATAGTTCAGTTCTTGCACTCAAAAGAACATTCTGGGTTCAGAATTCTTTACATTTAAATACATGTCTTCTGCACCTGGGTCGCAGGGTGAGTATCAGGGTTTCAGGGGGAAAGAAACCATAAAGTAGATCTTGCAAGTCTGAAGCCTTGCCAGTCCCTGAATTTTATCCCAAAAGAGCTCAATGAAGCTGGCATTTGGGAAACCCAAGTCTCCCCAGTCTGGGACTCATCACCCTGGTTATCCTTCATATGTTGTTGGACTCCAATGCCCATCAACCCCAGCCAGGATGACCAGTGGTCAGGTATGATGGAGGGTGTCAGTTCGAGGAAGAGTCTGCTACATCCCAATGTCTTCTGATGAAAAGTCTGCTACATCACAACGGCTCGCATTGTGTTTGCAGGGCTGTTACCTTCCCACAGAGGGACAGAACTTAACCAAGTCTGAGGCAGTTGACTCCATTCCAAGAGTGTTCCCTATGTAGACAGGACAACTGTTTTCTGCACAGGAAGTTGATATGAGTTGGGTTTCTTGTTGGGTTTTGTCATGTTGAATTAGCCTTGTGAATACTAGATTCTGATTTGCCTCCATCCAGTGGCGTAGCGTGGGGGGTGCAGGGGGGGCTGGCCGCACCGGGCGCAACATCTGGGGGTTAGGCTTAGGGGGTGCAAATCCATGGGTTAGGGGACACAAATTACTTGCCTTGCCCCGGGTGCTGACAACCCACGCTACGCCACTGCCTCCATCTGCCAAAAATTGGTAACTTTGTCGAGAGGTAATCTTGGATAACGTACTGGAGCATTCAGAAGACTAGCTCAATATGCTATATATATATATATATATATATGACAAAAGGAACATTTCCATAACTACACAGTATCAGAACATGGCTGCATAAGCTCACGGTTTGGATGATATCGTATGTCTCTTTCACACAGCATAGTTGCTATTTTTCTTCTCTATGTGGCGCTGCCACCATGTAGAAAAGTACATTATAGCACACTGAGGAAAACGCAAGCACTAAAATTGCTGAAAATATATAGATTTTCAAATTGAGTGACAAAAAGAATGGATGTGTGTAGGAGTACGGTGGGTAGGAGTTATGTGGCTGTCTATATGTAGACAATAACACAAAGGATGCCTCTTAGACAATAGCTAACGAAACTAGCAGTCATGCTGTACAGAGAAATTGCGGCAGCAATGGATACACTACCTGTGGAGAAAAACCTCATTTTTCCACCGACAAAACACTAGCTTGAGTACTTAAATAATGCAATATCGCTGCAGAGGAAGCACATTTCAGAAGGCATTTTAATTGCTTGCAAGTTAAATGGATAAGAACTGTGTGTTTATTGCACTGAAACGAATTGTCTAGAACTAAATGCTGAAAAATGCATTTATTGTTCTTCACCTATTCAGTGTCCTTGCTCATTTATACCCCACCTTTTTCTCAAAGGAGCTCAAAGCAATGTATATGCTCATTTTATCATCACAACAACGTGGGAGGTAGGTTAGGTTGAGAGAGTGCCAAGCGCAAAGTCAACCACCAACAAGCTTAATGGATGAGTGGTGATTTCAGCTTAAGTCTTCCCAGTCCTCGTCAAGCATTCCCATCTCAATATACCACTCTGGATCTCCAGTTAGTGCTGCACATCTTGTTGAGCAAGGGGTCTGTGTGTTTGGCTGTTAACCAGAAGATTGGTGGGTTCCTGCATTGCAGGGGGTTGGACTAGATGCCCCTCAGAGTCCCTTGAATTCTACAGTTCTATGATTCTATGAAGAGATTTCAGAAGTGGGATAGGGCGGATGCATTATGCTTTGGTTCATTTGTCCCTAGAAAACACAAAAGTACCACTGTCTTTCAACTAGTGGACTTGTTTCTCAAGATTTCTCTGTCTTCCGAGTAGATTGTTTTGTATGCAGTGATATACACAGGGACCACGAGGATCTAACTTCCTGTAATGCAGGAAGGGGCTTGATGTGGGGCTTGAACCCACAACAATGAGATTAAGAGTCTCATGCTCTACCACCTAAACTATCCCTACGGCATAGGTTTTTCTAGGGGAGCTCATTTCATCAGCTTCGTCCAGTAAAATATTCTATTAGTCCATGTTCTAAGAAAAAAACTGCTCTTTTCCCCTTATGGGGTACCCAAGAGCCCATATAGAGTAGTCTTTTTAGGTTCTCTATCGGTAGGAGAAAATAACAGAGGCCAACCAGATAATATTGAGAAGCAAGGCAGCTAGGTCACACCCTGTTCATATCTTGAATGTGCCCTTAAGACAGGATTTGTGAGGAAAGAGACAATGGGGAGGTTTCCCACTTTGACATTAAAATTCTTATAACAGTCCAGCAAACAGAACAATCTGTTATCATTTTGGAACCCATCTGAAAAATTCGTGCCCTGCCCTTTGAACAGTGGGAGATGTGAAGGGAGTGCGTTCCCAGGTTTCCACAGCATTTTTGGATGGAGCTGCTGATAGCACAGGAAAGGCAAAGTGGGGAAAGAAGTGCCCAACCCCATGAGGAGCTGTGATCCTGCTGAGTCCTCTCAGCTTTTATGGGCATATAGGAGGGCAAAACAGCTGGAGCAATTCAGAGGGGAAACACTTTGATCTTGACTTTGAATCTCTGACAATTCCCAGCAATGGTTCTTGCCTCTCACATGCCACAAGGATTTTGCCAATGCTTAGTCAAAGAAAAAATTAAGATTCCACTTGAGCATGGAAGTGTTGCTGTTGCCATCTTGTTTGGTTGCTGATTCTGCATCATTCATCTGCTCCCATTTATGGTTTCTGTTTACATTCTGCTAGTTTTTATTTTGCCTTGCATGGTAGGGTGGGTTAACATATTTTAAATAAAACAAATAAATATTTTACTTACTTTTAAATTTATATTCCACTTTTCTTCCAAAACAGGAACCCCAAACAATGTCATGCAAGAGTTCCGGTAATGTACATTATTCCTGCATTGGCATTAGTGGTGCAGTGGTGAAATTTGAAGTGCAGGAGCTCATTGTTCCTGCACTGCAGGGGTTGAACTAGATGACCCTTGGAGTCCCATCCAACTCTACAATAGCATGAAAATCGCCATGACAGTCCAAAACTGAAGGCAGCTGTGTTGATCAATTATACAATATTGTGATGAACTGTTACCACTTTTAAAATGTGGTAAGAATCTCATCACAGAAAAGGGAAAACGTTTCTTTCTTTGATTAGCTTTCTCATTCTCAGACTGCAGTGTGTCCAGACTATAGCTATTTTGGGGTGGGATTCAATCACATACCAACAATTTCAGGGGGCACAATTATAGCTGATTGGCAGCTCTTGTGCAACAAACCTGCTTCCCCAAAAGATTAGACGTATTGCGAAAAATGAGTGCTCAGTAAATAGCTAATGTCATCTTATCTCCCTGCAAACAAATCAGGATGAATAAACAGGTTGTCTGGAAGCACCTTTCCTCTCTGTCCAACCTTTTTGAGCCCAGGAGCACATCTGGAAAGTTATTGTGGGCACTACAAGATACCCATTTCACAGTAGAAAAAACTGATGTTCAGAACTTTCACACCCTGAAACCAGGCAAGGCACTTACACTCCCAATAAAAAATTGCTTTCCCCATGGGAAGAGCACCTTATTTTTTTAAAACATAAGTAATGCTAAATATGTGCTTTTTATTATTTTTACATTGTTAATTGTGCAAGAGTGTGCAAAATCTGAAGGGAGGAAGGAAAAATGTTTTAAAAGATGACTTTGTTTAATATTATCAAAGTGATGCACAAATTGAACAAGGAATAGGCTCTAGAATCTGTTTGATGTTTATGTTGGTGTGTGCACAATCAGATTTTAAAAAAAACAATTTCAGAAAATATAAGAACCCATTCTAAAAGTGGAGCAGGAGGAAGGGGTGGGGGTGGGGGTGGGGAGAGGAGGACTTGTGAAATGTTTACTAGTGTTTGGTACCTGTGCTGTGGGGAACGAAACCTGGGGATTAGAGCTAATATCAGTAAGATGTTATCAGATGCAAATGTAAATATACTAGAGGCTTTCATAGAATAAAATATTATTGAAAATCAGCATTTCACTTTCAAACAGTTCTCTGCAGTGCGAGGACTAGTACCGTAATTTACCCCACTTTAAAAATAAGCAATTGGATCCTTAAAAAGTGCTTTGAAGGCTGTAAAATCAATCCTTTTTTTACTGTAAAAATGAGTTTTTGCTCCTTTGTTCCGCCTTGCTGTTTTCCTTGGGATATCTGATTTCCCAACTCACGCTGTCTTTATTCTAAAATTCAGTCACTGGTTATTGTTGCTTTTTGTTTCTTTGTTAAACTCCATGAACTGTATGTTGCTCACTCGTAATAAATTCTCCTAGCCGCTTTAAAGATTTACGCCTTCCAGAAATTCTCTTTTCCTTCCCTTTCACTCATCATTTAGACACAGATAGGCTGAATAAACTAATTCAATCTTTTGCTATAAATCACTCACATCAGCATTTCAGCAGCTTTGTCCAGACTTTGAACCCTCTGATTTGTCAATATCTGCTCAGGTAACAAAGGGCTGGAAGTAAACAAAATAGCTGTTCAGAGAGGCTCCTTCGCCTTTCTTGAATCTGGTGTCATAATGTCCTATTATAGTTTTGTGTCGTGACATTGTGCAAATTAGTATGCTGCAAAAGTCACTATTCAATCAATTCCTCCCCTCCCGTCTCTCTAACACCCACACCATACAATTAAAGCACATGGCTCCCCCAAAAGACTATTGGGAACTGTTTACCCCTCACCGAGCTACAGTTCCAAGCAACTTTAACAAATTGGCATTCCCAGGATTATTGGGGGGGGGGAAGGCATGACCTTTAAAAGTCCTTTAAATGTATGTTGTGGACGTGAACTATCCTTTTTATTCCACTTAAATGCTCAGTTCTGCAAGATGCTGATGCCCCACCTCTTACAGGATTAGGGGGCACATTTAAAGCACATTAAAGCATGCAGGATTCGCACTCCCCTCCTGAGAACTGTTGCTTACCCCTCAAAGAGCTACAATTCCCAGCAATCTTAAACTATACATCCTATGATTCTTTGGGAGGGAAAATGCACTTTAAATGTATGGTGTGTACTTACGGTAGCCTAGATCAAGCTGAATATAAAAGCTTATATGACTCCTTATGAAACACACATTATTTTTGTCCTATAATCACAGTTGGGTTTCCCCCCTTTCTTTTAACGTAATAATCTAGTGCCTCATTGGTTCCAGAGTTCTGCACATTATTACATGTGCATTACCAGCTCGTAATGCGATGGCATAAAAACATCAAACCACACGGACAACACTTTTTTTAAAAAAAACAAAAACCCTGTTGTTATTAAAAGATTTTCATGGATAACAAAGGTACATATAACGTCTCTGTTTTCAGTTCATAGAGTCCTTTCTATGTGTCAGTAACATTTGATGTGAGACATTGCTGTCCTATGCATGGTGGTGAGGTTGGGGGGAGAGAGAAGTGGGGGGAGAGAGGAGAGAGAAAGAAAATGTGGGGTGGGGGATAGTAGCCCTACATAGGCAACTCCTTTGTTAATGGTGTTGTCTTAAATGATTGCTCTGTACATCAGATCTACTATTGCCCTTCTAATCAAAATATTATTGGGAAATTTTGAAGAACATACGTTGCTTTCTCATTTTGAATTTGCAATGACTAAATCTTTATTGGGATACATTTTAACACATAAACAACAATGAAAACATACTGACCACACAACTGCAAGGTCGAAAAGGACAACACACTGTTACAATTTCACGGACTGCAAAAGATAGACTATGAAAAAAAATCCATCCAAGAAGAACTACTGGAGGGACTTTGTTCATGCCCAGGGGTTGACTCATCAAATGAAGGAATTCCCTCAATGAATTCTGGGCACTCTAGTTTATCTTTTACAGGGTTAAAATTCCTAGCAAATCTTAACAGACCACAGTTCCCAGAATTATTTGAGGGAAAGCATGTGATTCAAACGTGCCTTCAAGATATAGCGTGAATACAGCCGAGATGAGATTCCTGCATTGCAAGGGGTTGGACTAGATGACCCTCGGGATCCCTTCCAACTGTTCTACAATTTTATGACAAGTGACTCTGAGGGAAGGGTGAGTGCGTTGGTCTAACTGCAGAAAATTGCTAAGCATGTTCTCTTGAGTCATCTCGAGGATATTTGCTTTGCAAACAGCTCTCTGCAGCATAAATGAGCCCCACATTGCAGGCTGGGTGTGTGTGGGGGGGTTTGGATCTTTATGGGACTGACAGAAAAATAATCTGCCTCACGTCAGATGCAGTTTACTATTTCATGCCAGATAACTGATTCTGTGAACACTTAATTTTCACTCCATACTGTATTGTGTCACTTCCCACATCAGAAAAATCTTTACCGGCTAAGACAGAAATGGGTTGAATGTCCTTTAGCACTGAATATGTACAGTTTATCTTATCATCCCATCTGTACTGCTGTGTTCTAGTAATGTTTTCTAGAGTGTGGTTTAAATAGGTCAGGTATTTATCTATTTTTTAAATCTTGCCTTTCCTGAAGATGGCTCGGTGCTACATACAATCAGGGGTGCCCAAACTTTTTTCAAAGAGGGCCATATTTGATGAAGTGAACATGCTTTTTTTAGGATTGGAGTTTTGTGCTTTTAGGATTTTACCCCAGGACATATATTGCCACAGGGGCTGGATTAAATCGACTGACAGGCTGGATTAGGCCCCCAAAATGGACTTTGGACATGCCTGTATGGTGCTCCCTTTCACAACAAATTTAAGGTGAAAAACAGTGGCCAGCCTAAGTAAGTTTCACAGCTGAGTAGGGATTTGAATTTAGGCCTCACTGATCTTAGTCATACACTATAAAATCCTGTATCCCACTGAATCTACTAGGTCTTTCTAATGTATGCGTAGGCAACCTAAGGCCTGGGGCTGGACCTGGCCCAATTGCCTTATAAATCCGGCGCGCAGATGGTCCAGGAATCAGCATGTTTTTACATGAGTAGAATGTGCCCTTTTATTTAAAATGCATCTCTGGGTTATTTGTGGGACATAGGAATTTGTTCATTATTATTATTTTTCAAAATATAGTCTGGCCCTCCACAAGGTCTGAGGGACAGTGTACCGGCCCCTTGCTGAAAAAGTTTGCTGACCCCTGTTCTAATGCCTCCATTGAGTTATTGCCCCAAATCACACTAATACAGCAACTTACATACACATGACTGTATACAATAATTCCTGTCTGCTCTGTTGTGGACTAAATAGTTGGTGCTGAATGGGCAGGAGGTGGGGAGAAGGCAGAACAGGTTTAAAAAGTTTGAGAAAGATGGCTTCACAATACTGTATTGAACTCCCTGCATATAGTTCTTCCAAGAAGCAGGCAGAAGCAGAAAGAGATTAAACCAAAGCCTTCTGAAATCATTTTCACACCCTTCTCTCCATATATGCAGAGTTGTGGGAATTGTCACACACGACAATCTATACATAGGTTGAATGTCAATCTATACATAGGTTGAATGACAATCTATACATAGGTTGAATTTCTTACATGGATGTGCCTGAAACTTTGTCATGAGAAGCAGCAAGTCTATCAGTGATTCACAGGGACCCTTTGGCTTTCTATACTTTATCTAGCTGCAACCTTCCGCCTTTGCTAGAAAGACAGGGCAATTTTTCAGCACACAATCGATGAGTTTCCTTTCCAAACAGGTTTTTGATCTCTGTGCTGCACTGAACAATCATGCTGAAGTAAATAAATGACTGATACAATTATCTAGTCAGGGGGAAGGTATGCTGATTAAACCAAAAGCATTAATTTGATCTACAACCTCATGCTGTTTGAGAAACACTGCAATCCTAAACAGACAAAAGTCCCATTTCACTCAAAAGAGCTTACTCTCCCCAAGAACTGTATTTAGAACTGCAGGTTTATCCACATATAAGCATGTATAGACTGCAACCTTATGCTGCAGTGCTATTGCCCAATTACTGAGGAGTAAGTCCCATTGACCCTGCCAACCTAGCAGTTCGAAAGCACGAAGTGTAAGTAGAAAATAGGTACCACTCTGGTGGGAAGGTAAATGGCGTTTCCGTGCACTGCTCTGGTTCGCCAGAAGCGGCTTAGTCATGCTGGCCCCATGACCAGGAAGCTGTACGCTGGCTCCCTTGGCCAGTAAAGTGAGATGAGCACTGCAGCCCCAGAGTCGTCCGCGACAGGACCTAACAGTCAGGGGTCCCTTTACCTTTAAGCCCCATTGAATTCAGTAGGATTTGCTTCTGAGTAGACATGTGTTATCAGTGCCAAATCCACAACACTGGAGATGTTTACAGCTACCCATAATAAGCTGAGGTAATAACAGTGTTAAACTTTATTGGGTTATAACTTAAGTTTCTATTATCACTACCAAACCTTTATCTGAAGTTTATATTATAGTAAACTGTGTCCATGTTTAAAAAAAAACTGTTTTTACATAATGCAGGTGCAACCATGTCATTGGTTTTGGAGAGTCATTGGGCTTATATATACTTCTCTAATACTCAGGATAGGCTCCAATGGGAAGAAATAATAATTATTTTAAAATAACTCCCTTTTTTATTTTATTAAATAGCTCAACACAGCAGATGCTTCAAGTGGTTCCCCCAAATTCAGCTTATACTGGCTTCTCCAGTCAGTGGCAGAGGAACTGTCTCCGGCATCTGGGGTGGGACAATGTGGGGTGGGGAGAAGGGCAGGCGGTGCATGTGCGGCAGCTGTACGGTCGCCTTGCGAGCAGCAGCCCGTATGGACGCCTGTATGAATGGCACACGTGGGGGGCAGCCTGTACAGACACCGCCTGAGCGGCATCCATGCTGACTGCGCGCACCCCCTAGGCCGCTCTAGAGCTGGGGGGGGCAGCGTGCCATCTTGTCACCCCCCCAGAGTGGTACTAGGGGTGACCCGCCCCCTTCATACGCCCCTGTCTCCAGTCTATTACAGTTATACCTCAGGTTACAGACGCTTCAGGTTGCGCGTTTTCGGGTTGTGCACCACGCCGAATCTGGAAGTACCGGAACAGGTCACTTCTGGGTTTTGGCGCTTGCGCTGAAGCGCTAAATCGCGCTTTGCGCATGCGCAGAAGCGCTGAATCTCAACCTGCGCGTACGAAGATGCGGTGCTGCGGGTTGCGAACGTGCCTCCTGCATGGATCATGTTCACAACCCGAGCATCCACTGTATTCAACCCCCTGAATAGAATCCCTCACAACAGCACGAAAACAGGTGTTTTCTCAAGCACACCTGATGCAACTAATCAATATTTTTTGAGGGGAGGTGAAGGGACCTCAGCCCTTAGGAGTTGGCTCCCATACATGGAAAATCTGACCCAAGGAAATGCAGCTGTCAGGATGAAAAATGACCCCCCACGATTTATGGCATGCCTTTCTCTGGTGTCATTACAGATAAGGAGTGAGCTGTACATACTAACAAGCAAAGGGGAAATGGCTGCTGAGCTGAGTTGTGAGGCCTGAGGAGGTGATGATGATGGTGCCTCTCCAGCTGCTGTGATTGGCTGTGGATGCCCTGTGATGTCACAAAAGCACATGGCAACTCAGTAGATACACAGAAGTAGCCCAAGGGGAAAGCCAAGGCGAAAGCTTGAAGAGGACACAGTGGACAACAGCTGTGTTATTCAGTACTTGGTGGTCTCCTTCCACATGGAGGCAAAGTGGCAAATGGAAGGAGGCCATCATCCGTTAATGAGATGCTGTGGAGCAACGAGAAGGCAAGTGTACCTGCTGAGCAGGACCGTGGCTTGAAAGCGGCACATATCCATGGTTGGAAGCTGGCGATGGACCTGGCAGAAGCTGGTAGGTGTTGGTGGGTGGAAGCTGTGATTAGCATGTGGATGCCCGGGATGCCGCAGGGCTGAAGGAGGCTGAAGTTTGTGTATGTAAGCTGGTTGAAATTCACCTTCAGAAGGCTGTTGACAAAAGCTGTGTGGATATTTGTGGATTGATGCTGGTGTAAGTATGAATGGAGAGTGGACATAGGTCACCCACCAGATGCAGTATGCTTAGGAATTGCATGTTCAGATAGGCTGCCCTCCAGACTCTGGGTGAATGAACCATTGGATATTCATGGGTGGAAGCCAGCGGAGATGATACTGTTGAATGAGGGCCATTCCCCTCACCGTATCTGTGTTTGCCTTTCATGGATGTCAGAAGCCGATGAGGCTTTCCCCGAAAGCAGCAATGAAGGGGACAGCAGAGCTTAAGCAAGCCATCTTCTACTTCTAAATCAATGTATTTCTAAATACATCTAAGTAATGTTCATTACATTCCCCTTTCCAGTACCAGGATGGGAGGCTGTGCCGATGCATCCCCAGCAGTTGCCACTGGCTACAAACTTCCTGTGATGTCACAAATGGACAGGGTGGCTGAGGGGGAAAAAGGCAGTTACTAGTGGGAGGTGGTTGGAAGAAGGGAGAAACCCCAGTAGAAGGTTCAGGGGAAGTTGGGGTAGGCAGGCAGGGCCAGCTGGATATGCAGAAGTTGAATATGGGCTGACTCCCTTCCATCTAATTGCATTGCCAACGTTTTGTTCTCTCAGGCTCATGTACCTGTCTCGCCTAGACTGCTTGGCAGAGCCCCAGCCCTTTAACGGTTCCTGCATTTCTGCAGAGAGCCAAAAACTGTGGGAAATAATAATAAAAGCAACCCTGCCTAGCATCCCCGCGCCCACTGGACCAAATAAGTCCCATTTGTTGAATATGATAAGGAAAGATGAGGAAGTTAAAGGCATAGTAGTTGGAACTAAACAATATAAGTTAAAAGCCTTTGATGATGATTTGGTATTGACTTAACAGGAGACCAGTGCAACCAAAGCACTGAAGATAATTCAAGAGTTCGGACAAGTTGCAGGTGTCAAATTGAATAAGAATAAAACCAAAGTTTTAGAAAAAAAATTAACGATACCTGAAAAACTTAATTTAGAGGAAACCACAGGGCTGAAGTTTGTGAAAAAGGTGAAATATCTGGGTGTAAATATGACTGCAAAAAAATTGAATTAGTACAAAGATAACTATGAAAAATTATGGAAAGATATCAAGAGAGATTTGGATATCTGGACAAGGTTGAAACTATCTTTGTTGGGCCGAATTTCTGATATAAAGATGAATGTATTGCCTAAGTTGTTATTTTTGTTCCAAGTACTTCCTATCATTGATAAGTTGAATTGTTTTAAGGAATGGCAAAAGGTATTATCTAAATTTATCCGGCAGGAGAAAAAACCCAGAATTAAGTTTAAATTATTAGCAGATGTGAAAGAGAGAGGGTGTTTCTCCCTGCCAGATTTAAGGATCTGTTTTGAAGCTGCAGCCTTTTGCTGGTTGAAAGAATGGTTTTTATTGGAAGATACAGATGTTCTAGATTTGGAAGGGTTTGATAATGTATTTGGTTGGCATGCATATTTATGGTATGACAAGATAAAAGCTCACAAACAATTTAAAAATCATATAATTAGAAAATCTTTGTACAATGTTTGGATAAGATACAGGGATTTGTTAGAAAGGAAAACACCCAGGTGGATATCACCATTGGAAGCTAAGACCTATAAAAGGTTGAATATGAAAGATACGTGGTTGAAGTATAATGATATTTTGATGGAAGTAGGGGACCAATTTAGATTAAAACCTTATGATCAGTTGAAAGATAAATTAGATGATTGATTCTAGTACATCCAGATAAACGAGGTGTTTAAAATGGATAAGAAAATCGGTTTTCAAACAGAGAAATCTAAACTGGAAACGGAATTACCAGATACAAAAACAAAAACCTATCTAAGATGTATAATTTATTGCTGGAATGGCATATGAAAGACGAACAAGTGAAATCTGTAATGATTGAATGGGCCAGGGATGTGGGGCACAAGATCATGATGGTGGATTGGGAGAAATTGTGGAAAAAGGGAATCAAATTTACAGCTTGTAATGTATTAAGAGAAAATTTGATGAAAATTATGTACAGATGGTATTTAACACCAGTGAAGTTAGCAAAAATGTATCATACTCATGATAATAAATGCTGGAAATGTAGAGAAAAAGAAGGAACCTTTTACCACATGTGGTGGACGTGCCCCAAGGTAAAAGACTTCTGGGAAAGGATTTATAATGAATTGAAAAAAGTGTTGAAAAACACATTTATTAAAAAACCAGAAGCCTTTTTACTTGGTATAGTGGGGGTGAAATCCCCAAAAAGGATGTTACTTTGTTCTGTATGCCACAACAGCTAAGGGAACGGCTAAGGGACCTGGGCATGTTTAGCCTGGAGAAGAGGAGGTTAAGGGGTGATATGATAGCCATGTTCAAATATATAAAAGGATGTCACATAGAGGAGGGAGAAAGGTTGTTTTCTGCTGCTCCAGAGAAGCGGACACGGAGCAATGGATCCAAACTACAAGAAAGAAGATTCCACCTAAACATTAGGAAGAACTTCCTGACAGTAAGAGCTGTTCGACAGTGGAATTTGCTGCCAAGGAGTGTGGTGGAGTCTCCTTCTTTGGAGGTCTTTAAGCAGAGTCTTGACAACCATATGTCAGGAGTGCTCTGATGGTGTTTCCTGCTTGGCAGGGGTTGGACTCGATGGCCCTTGTGGTCTCTTCCAACTCTATGATTCTATGATTCTATTCTATGATTCTAACAGCTGTGAGAATATTGTTAGCAAAGAATTGGAAGAAACAAGATTTACCAACTATCGAAGAATGGCAGATGAAGATGATGGATTATATGGAACTTGCCGAACTGACCGGGAGACTCCGAGACCAGAGAGAAGAGACAGTGGAAGAAGATTGGAAGAAGTTTAAGGAATATTTGAAAAAATATGTTAATATTTAAACCTTAGAATAGCTTTGGAAGTGGATATACGCTGTAGGGTTAGAAGAAGAAGATAAGGTATTTTAAAATAGTATTACAGTGGTGCCTCGCAAGACGAAATTAATTCGTTTCGCGAGTTTTGTCGTCTTGCGATTTTTTTCGTCTTGCGAAGCACGGTGTCGGGAAAGTTTTGGAAAAGCTTCAAAAATCACCAAAGTCTTTAAAAACCTCAAAAAAGGCTACCACACCGCATTCTATGAGTTGCTCCTCGAAGTCAAGTCGCAACTGTATTAATGGTGTTAAGAAAAAGGAAACAAACTTGCAAGACGTTTCCGTCTTGCGAAGCAAGCCCATAGGGAAAATCGTCTTGCGAAGCAGCTCAAAAAACAAAAAACCCTTTCGTCTAGCGAGTTTTTTGTCTTGCGAGGCATTCATCTTGCGAGGTATTTATAAGTGATAAAATGTGAAGTTATTTTAAGTGTGATTAAAAAAAGAAAGAAAGATGGTTAGAAATTATGTTATATGTAAACTGCTAAAGATGAAGTAAAATGAAAATCAGATAGGTGGGACTTGGGGAAGCCCACTTAACAATGTTTAGAAAAATAAGGATATGACAAGAATTTTTCGTATTGTTTGTCTTTACTGTCTGTGTTTTTTATTTGTGTTATAAAATGAATAAAAAAATTTGAAGGGGGAAAAAGTCCCATTTGACCTCCTCAGATATTGTGTCCCACTGATGGATTTGCTGCAAACTGGCTGCAGTATTTGTATGTAATGTAACGTTTGCAATGGAGAGTTTATTTCTCTGGCCATCCGATTCCCTTAATTATTTCCCAAAATTTCCTGCACTATCCTCAGCATGTTCAAATTTAAAATGATTTAAATCAGGACTGATTAATTATATTTATTCTATTCTGTCAAACAAACAACCAGGAGCAATGACTGACATCAACATTGAGCATGCTCTAGTCCAGGCTTCCTCAACCTTGGCCCTCCAGATGTTTTGAGACTACAATTCCCATCATCCCTGACCACTGGTCCTGCTAGCTAGGGAGTTGTAGGCCAAAAACATCTGGAGGGCCAAGGTTAAAGAAGCCTGCTCTGGTCTATGACTCTTGCAATTTTTCTCCAGGTTGCTACTGGCAAATACTTAGCTATATATTTATATAATTGTTTATACAGTGGTACCTCGGGTTACGTACGCTTCAGGTTACATACGCTTCAGGTTACAGACTCCGCTAACCCAGAAATAGTGCTTCAGGTTAAGAACTTTGCTTCAGGATGAGAACAGAAATCGTGCTCCGGCGGCGCGGCAGCAGCAGGAGGCCCCATTAGCTAAAGTGGTACCTCAGGTTAAGAACAGTTTCAGGTTAAGAACGGACCTCCAGAACGAATTAAGTACTTAACCCTAGGTACCACTGTATATATATTGCATTTCTAGTTTGTAAATTGATTTCCAGTCTTGTTTTCGTGTGTGAGTGAGGTGGGTGGGTGTTTTGGATCAGGTTAGCCATATTAATTTGTATGCTGTTGGTGGATTATTGTCATTGTCCTGTTGGGCTGTGTATGTGATAAAGGGGAGCCATACCGGGGTGAAGGCGTCTTCTTCTGTTTGTCCCCGTGTCAGTTTCAGTTTATTAGTTAATTTTTCTAGTAGGGCTGTTTCCCATACTATTTGGTACCATTGGTCCATGCTTACTCCTGACAGGTCTCTCCAGTGTCTGGTTATGGTGTTTCTGGCTGCTGAGAGCAGGTGGGTTATGAGTTCTTTGTGGTGTAAATGGGCATTGTTGTCTTGGAAGATGTTTAGTAGGGCCAATTCTGGGGTGATGTCTATTACTTGCTTAGTTATTTTACATATTTCTTGTATGGCTGTTGTCCAGAATAGTTGGATTTTGGGACACTCCCACCACATGTGGAGGTATGTGCCTGTGGAGGTGCACCCTCTCCAGCATTTTGGTGAGGTTCCTGGGTGTATTAGCACTAGTTTCCTTGGTGTTAGGTATCACCTGTAGGTGAGTTTCAGTGTGAGTTCTTTTCTTTTCGTTGATATGGACTTAAAGGGGGGTTTAGACCACATTCTGGTCCATTGAGTACCAACCCTAATCTTCTACAGTAGGGAGGGGAGGGAGAGAGAAACAGGAGGAAGGAAGGATAGAAACAAGATGAAGGGAAAACTTTCCTCATCTTTCTGATTCCTTCCCAACTCATCCATCCACCTCTTACTAGTTATGGAAAAGTAGCATGGGCGGGGGGGGGGGGACTTGAAACCACCCAGAGCTCTACCTGAGGTCAAAGCAGAGTTTCCAGTGTCAACATTGGAGCCTAAGTGTTGATGCCCTGTATTGGTCGGCTCTGTCCTCATTTTTGTTATCTGTTGTGTGTAACTCCTAGTGGGATTCTGCACATGTGCAGAGAAAGCAGACAAGTTATTATTGCGGTAGAATTTCTGAAAAACTCAGCTCTCTTATCCCTTTTAAAGCAAGGTTCTAAGCCCTTAAAACGGTAAAGATAAACCTAGAGATTTGGAGGCACTCTACAAAATCTCTGATGTCAGGGCTGAGGCTTCAGTGCCCTGCTAAGGATCCTTGCTACTACCAAAGCAGAACAAATTAGTCAATTTGTGTAACTACATATTTTGTAGTATGTTTAGTATGTGTTCGTGACATGTAAGGAATTGGTAAGTATGCGTTTATGTTGTAGAAAGCAATATTCTGTTCTTAAGCGAAGGTTTGAGCTAGATCCAGAACAGGAAATCAAGTCAAGCTGAGGGATTGTGCACCAAAATTTGTTGGAAGAGCGATGTGCTTTCTCAAGAAAAACATACTGTACCACAAATGCATACAAAACATCAAGTTGGTTGATAAGCAGACTATGTTTCGTCACCATGCAACCCCCAAACCTCAAAATCAAGAGACAGAATATGCTTATCTCAAATCTAATGAATGAAAGACCAGTGACAAAAAATGCTACTTGTTTATTCATTGAGTTCCTCATGTATCTAGCAATCCGCATAACAGAATGACTCAGAGAGTCTCTTTTGTGTCTTTTCCAGCACCTATGTTAATTACCAACCTAGCTGACTCAGCGCTATCCTTGCCTCTGAACACTTAGTAATCTCTGTGTGTGAACTGCATAGCAGATTGAGTCCTTGTGTAGGCACTGCTGCAATAAACATTTTTATTATTAATAATTATGATAATGAAAAGTGTTCTCTATCAATAATGTTTCACTGACCAAACTGTTCAAATCCTACAAGGTTCTGTCTACTGATTTTAAAGCACTGCACTTCTGATTTCAAATGGATTTGCTTTATTTTCCATTTCAAAGAGTTTTACAATCCTTATTTTGTCCACCTGCACAGCAGAGTTGGGCATTAATATTTTACATTCCTAGATCTTATACAGATTTGTTCAAAGTGACCTTGTAAGACCAAGTCTGTGCAAGGATCTGAACACAAGCCAATACTATATTTTGTTTTCTATACTACATGGGATCTCAGTAATAATTTAGGTAAGACCCTCATCATCCAATCTGTTATGTGATAACCAAGTGATGTTCTTCCTCACAAATTTCTTCCAGCACTCTTAAGCTTTTCCATACCAATAACATTTTCAGAATAATGATTATATGCTACGATTGAAATGACCCCCCCCCCCCCGGTAGTCCAATTTTAGCATTTGTTCTATGCCTCAAAATGCTTACAGGTAGCTCTGTGACAGGCAGATTCTTATGTCTCAGCAATCAAATCTCTAGTTATTCCCAAGAAAAGTTAAGGAACTAGCTGCAGTATAAGGGTTCAGGGCCAGGAGCCCAGTAAGGGTGCATATATTATTATTTTCATAACTAGAACCAGAAAGGCCTAACTACAAATCCCTCCATAGCTGTGAAAACTCAGGATGGATTTAAGCTATTTGATAGGATGTTGCAGGGAAGTCTTAAACTGGGTCAGACCTTTTCAAAACAGACCTTGCAAAAAGAAAAAGAAAAACCCAGAGTTAGGGTTAGAATAGACACTGGTTCTGTTGCATTGCTGAATTACCACTTTAACTGAAGCTAGAGCAACTACAGCTATTTTGAAATGATTCCAGGTTTGCAGTTTATAAAGAAATATGATGAATCAGAGCAAAAATACGATTTAGGTGGACTCCTTATGCATTTCCTGGAAATGCAAGGCTGTTGCCAATTTGTTTTCACTTCTTCAACCAGAAAGCAATCAGTTTTGTTATCCTGTGCATGTGTGTTTTGAGTCAGGTACACAATAAAGTTATGATTCTTTGCTTCTCTCTTTCCTATATATTTGCAGAAACAATACAGTATGAGCAAGTACCAATATTGTGTCCAAACCAATTTCTCTTTACATGGTTTCTACCTATGAGCATAATTTCTCCCTTTGCATTTTGGCTTCCCTCCCACCCACCACTGGTTTTTTTTGCTCAGGTTCTGAAAACAATTGTGATATTTTAACAGTGGAAGTGCTTGTCTCTTTAAGTGTCTTCGATAATCGCAAGGATCACTTTAACTTTGGAAGTGACCCCTTGCATCTGCACTCCTTTCATCTTATAGACAAGAACACTTGGGGATGGACTATTTCCTGGTGGGGAGGGGTGGAGCCGAGATCCTTTCACACAAGTCGATCACTCCAATTGGTTCACTCCAGATTTGAAACCAGTTCTAGTCTGAATGTGGGACACAGGCTCACAGCTGAGAAAGGGGAGCTCGCTACGCTTCCTGCTCCAGGATTTAAATGTCCAGGAAACAGCTTTGCAGAGAGAGGAGGAAGGAGCAGGAGCTGCTTAGGACGGGTTGGGGTCAACACCAGGGCTTTGCCCAACAAGCAAAGGTGAGTTGGAGGGAACTTCCGAAGTCTGCAAACCGGTTTCTGGAGAGAACGCTAAACCCCTCCAAAAGACTCCGCTGAATTCCAGTAAAGTAGGCCAGTGCAAACTCAAACTCAAGGAAGGCTTGAGCACCAGCCAGGTTATACAATGAGGGCTGCAAACCTAGGGAAATATCCTGCAACCTTAGGAAGCAGGTCCCAGGAACTCGGCAAGGCTGAGTAAACATGCACAGAGTTGCGCTGCGCGTTATTACCTCCCCTTTCTATATGCAGCTGCTTAATTCAGAGTCTCCTCCATTTGCTCCACGTCTTTGGTTTGCTGATCCAAATATCCACCCCCGCGCACTCCCTCTTTCAACTTCTCTCTCCAAGGATAGTCTTTTGTTAACGGAGGATCTCCTGAGGCAACTTTTGGCTGCCCTCTGCTAGGTCCCGCCCCACAAACCTCCCATTATCTCTTCAGCAGACCAGGGAATCCGTCTTGGGGTTAACCCCTGGGCAATTTTCTTTAGGTTTTTGTTTTTTTAGAAAACCCTGTTCTTGTTTGAAGGATCATGTTTTTCCTTCCCTTCCCCCACCCCCTTTTTATTGCTGCCCTTATGTATCTTGAACTGGGTAACCCGCTCATCAAGCTCATTCCCAAGTTTATTCCTGTGCGTCCACCATCTTTGGAAAGATGGCTTCTCCGCGGTACTTTAGGACGAGCGAGACCGGCCGGCAGAGGGGGCACAGCGCTTAGTTCTTTGGCTGGGCTTCACTCATGACCTCCTTTAAGATTGTCCTTGGACTGGAAGGAAACATGGAGTTTTCCAAGGCCCTGGCTGGCCGCGATCTGACTTCTCTGCTGTTGATGAAGATCTGGTGGGATCCAGCAAGAATAACTCTTAACACCTGCGCTATACTTTTTTGGGTTCCAACTTAGAATGCTTGCGTGCATTCAGAGAAACGTTGGGACTCGAAATGTTTTCTCTTTTTCTCTTAATTCATTATACTGTTTTGTACTGTCTCTTCACCTCTCATGCCAGATCAGCAGATGAGCTGCCATACCCCCCCCCCAATTTTTTTAATGCTACAAGCTTAACCATGGCTACTCAAAACTTAGTCCTATTGACTTAAGTAGGGCTTACTCCCAGGTAAATGGGGTTAGGATTGCTGTCTTAGTCCCACAGAATTGGATGGGACTCCTGAGCAAGCACATCCTGATGTGGCTGTATGGGATAAAGTAATTTTGGGGAAAATATAAAGAGGGGTTGTTGTGGCAGTAGGTTCCATTGGCACAGTTCTGTTTTGTCTTTTATGTGAGTTAGCAAAAGTGAGTTATATAAACTGGTGGGTTGAAGAAAAGTAAGGGGTAAACTAAATCAACTTTCTCAGTTCACACTTCTAATGAATAAAACATAGTCCTCGAAGATGCTGCAGGCATTGCCTTTTTGCTGTGAAAGATTTAGCATGGCTATTCTGCAATACCATGACCAGGTCAAAAAGTAATGTCAGCAATAGTGCTCAAGTATTCCGAAATGTACTTATTTTTAGCTTTGGATGCTACCCCGTAACATGAAGTTTTCTTGGCAGCTGACAATAAAAAAGTAAAAAGTAAAGTGAACACGGGATAAAGCATAAAGCCGAAACTAAAAATCTCAAAATTGTGATATCTCCTCTCCAAAAAATAAAATAAAAAATATACATTAAAAAACTAAAAGGCCCAGACAATGGAAATTATTTTAAAGGCCTGAAATATTATATATTATATATTATAATATATAAATATTATAATATAATATGAAAGTAGGAAGGTGTTCACCTGTATTAGCTGGAAATGGTACCATTTCCATAGAAGGGAGGAAGGAAAGAATGTGAAATTGAGACTAATACTATAGTTTCAGGTTTCATTCTTGGATATGTTCAACATTAAACCAAAAAAAGCACTTTTAAGTATATTCATTGTGTTTTCTATATCTTCTATATTTAAGAAAGTGTCGAGTATCTGACAACAAATTAAAATATTTGGTTAGTTCACTGGTCAAGTATCAGCATGAAAACTGCTGTTAAGTAGTTATATAAATAAATAAATAAATAAATAAAGCCTTAATGTTAGGTGAGGTGTTTATATATGTGGGATGATTGACAAAACAGCTCTTCTCTTTCACTTTTATCCTAGGACATCAGTGTAGGCTTTCAATTACAAAACTATTTTTTAAAGGCCAGCTAGCAGCCACTATTCAAAACCAAATGTTTTTTTAAAAGGCATTTTTGCAAAGTAGGCCGCAGACCAATCCTCCAGGCATCATGAGCTGCAGTCAAATAATGATGTTCAGCTGATAATATTTGACCAGTTTGATTGGCAGGCCAGCCCTACCTCATGACAACTACAGCAATATTATTAGCATGGGTGAAATGGTAATTTGGGGTGTTTTTTAGGCAAAGGGATTTATACTTTTAGCACATATACCTACTGCAGAGGCTGTTATAAATGGCTAGATTGTTCAGTGCATAAAAGAACTAGTCAGCTGACTTGATATAGGCATGCTTTTGAGAAATAATGAAGGGTAGTTGGAAATACAAAAGGGTAGAGAAGGATATACAGCCATCCGAAATAGCACCCCTGGCTAGATCCCTGGGGTTAAAACACTGCAATATATTTGAGTGCCATCTTTTCCTAAGAGAGAGAGATGTTTGATTCACTGCTATTGGCACTTGAAATGCCTTTTAGGGAGGAGGGGGGCCTGATAAATGAATAAGACATCCACCACAAACAGAATTGGATGTTGCAGTGTGAGCAGCTACCTATAGAAGTGTGTGTGCCTTGTGCTGCCAGTCGTGCTTGCTGCTTAATGTCTGAAGGGTCGATTGTATATTACACACTTGACAGGGGAGTCGAGCATTGTTGCATCCTGCTTCTTGGGCTGCTGCATTCACCACTCTTACCAAGTTACTGTAATAATGAACTTTTAAAAGAACCTTAGGATTTGTATAGCCTTCTGTGACTATGCTTCAATTCAGACTTCGTCCACCTCGGCCCTCCAGATGATTTGAGACTACTGTTCCCATCATCCCTGACCACTGGTCCTGCTAGCTAGGGATCATGGGAGTTGTAGGCCAAAAACATCTGGAGGGCTGAGGTGGAGGAAGCCTGCTTTAATTAATGCCCCCAAGAGATTGAGGAAGAATAGAGAAGCTTTAAATTACCCTCAAAGTGGGCCTGCGTGGAAACAGAGTAATGTCTCTCTGTACTGGGAAGAACTGGGTAAAATTTACAGATATCCAGGATTTTGGATAATATGGGAGGCTATACTGTCAACTATGAGTTTGAACTGATGTGACCCTAAAAAACATGGCAGTATTGTGACATGAAGCTGTAAATAGGTCCTAGAGCTAGGGCAGGCAAACATAAGGCCCAGGGGCCAGATCCGGCCCAATCGCCTTCTAAATCCGGCCTGTGGACTGTTTGGGAATCAATGTGTTTTACATGAGTAGAATGTGTGCTTTTATTTAAAATGCATCTCTGGGTTATTTGTGGGGCATAGGAATTTGTTCATCCCCCCCCCCATATAGTCCGGCCCCCCACAAGGTCTGAGGGACAGTGGACCTGTCCCCTGCTGAAAAAGTTTGCTGACCCCTGTTCTAGGGTTCCCTGTGTCTTTTGTCCTGGAGCTATGATGACAAACCTGTCGCCCTCCGGAGGTTACCGTTCCTTAACATTGGCCATACTGTCTGAGAACATCTGGGGGGCTACAGGTTCCCCATTACTGTCCTAGAAGCTTGCTGTATGTTGCATGTGACAAGACTTTTGTCCCCAAACCAGCCTCTGTGAATATATATTTTCCAGGACACCTTTGAGACCATATTCTGTTGCCGTCTGAATGCAGATTTTAGTGCTTCTCCTGGTAAATATAAATAAAGGTTGTTACTGCCTAGCACTAGGTCCTGTTTCTCTTCATTATTTTCAGCAGAAGGAAAAAGGATCTGCTATGCAAATATTTTGATCTTCTATGCTGGGTGCTAGGGCCTAAGAATATCTGAGACGGAGGAGACTGGGAGTGTGAAATATAGCGCCATATGAAAATAGGCTTCTGCAGCTTGTAAAAAGTCAGGAATATAGTAGTACAGTCTGAGGTTGTCTCTTGAAAGAAGGCTTGCTGTTCTAAACAGATTAGCAGTTAAAAGGTGCAGTGAGTAATTAAGTAACTAAAACACAAACTCAGATTTGAAGGCAGCCCTGTAGGCACGGTGGAACAAATGGGTGCACAGACCCCAGAGCTGTGCTCTCCCCCCCTCAAAAAAAATGTTTTTGGAAAGTTTTCTTTTTAATTTGTGACGTGACACACGATGAAAGCCTTAATAACCACAATGCACCACAGGAGCAATTAAAGAATAGGACCCTCTAAAAAAAATAAGGGAATAAGGCAGGCGAGTTTGCAACAAAAACTTCATATGGAGGCTCCTGAATAGCCTACTAACTAAAGACTTCCCCTGACTGTGGGTGGATTTTTCATGATCACAGTCATCCTATAATCACTTAAGTGAAACTGAAAAAACAGCCTATATGGTAATTGTGGGCTACATATAGACTCCACCCATTGTATTTTTCTTTGCTCTGCTTTCCAGTATGGGTTGTGTTCTCTACCCAGCCAGGCATTTTTTGTTTGCCTGCAGTATGAATTAAGAGTGTGTTTATTATGCAGTTCAGGTGAAATAAAGAGAAAACTTAAAAGTGATCTGAAAAAAATATCCCATGAGTTGCCCTTCACTCTTTTAAAGCATTCATTATACTCACAGGCATGGTAGCAACCTTTTATTCTTTTTATTGAGTACTTGGTGGCAAAGGATGATGATTATTTAATAAATTTGTATAAAGGATGAAAACAGCCCTAGAGGAATAGAAACACTACTGTGCACACTACAATAAGCTGGCTGGCTGGCTCAGGCATAATTTCTGATTTTCCCAGTGTGTGCAGCTTAGCAAGAGGCCTTTTCAGGGTTTCTAGGCAGGGAAAATCAAGCCAGTAAGCAGTTTTAAAAAACCATTTGCTTTCCATAATTCCTGGACCAGTTAAAAAGTTTCCCCTTGATTGCCCGACAGTAAGGAAAATCTAAAGGTCAGGAACAAAACTAGAGGAGGGACTCTCAGGGAAACGTTGGCTTTAGATCACTGGGGGCCAGATTTTGGGACAAGACCTGATTTCATAGAAGCATAGGATACAGAATTGTGGAGTGTAAGGGACCTTGAGGGTCATCTAGTCCAACCCCCTGCAATGCAGGAATCCTGCCACAGCCATCCTTGGGTGGGCTCGAACCACCAACCTCTTGGTTAACAGCCAGGTTCACTGACCCATTTATTTTTAACTAGAATACATAAGTCTCGGTAACCGAGGCCAAATGTCAAAGAAATTGCATGGGGAAATGCTGAATGTGTGACAGTGTCATTGTCTGAACTCTTCTGTGGTTTTCAGGATGATCCAGCGACACCAGCTGGTGCAGTCCGTGCTTCAGGAACTGCAAGAGGCGGCCGAATGCTTTGGGCTGGAGGGACTCACCAGTGCAACCCTAGAAGCCGAGAGGACTTTGTCCTCGTTCTCCTTACCTGGCTACCGTGAGAGGCCGTTCCAGGAAGAGCTGGAAGTTGACCGGGTTGCCAAAAGCCTCTACCCAGAAGATGCTCCCTGCAATATGCTGCCTTTGGTTTGCAAAGGCGAAGGGAATCACCTGTTTGAGGCTGCCAGCGTGCTGCTGTGGGGGAACACCAGCCTAAGCCTGGAGCTGCAGGTGCGCACAGCGGTGGAGATGTTGCTGCACAAACAGTATTACCTGCACGGCATGATCGATTCCAAAGTGATGTTGCAGGCAGCTCGCTACTCCCTTTGCACGGAGGAATCCCCTGAGATGACTAACTTGCCCTTGGCCATCCTAGAGGCCATTTTTGATGCGGACATCAAAGCCACCTGCTTCCCTGGCACTTTTGCCAACATGTGGCACATGTATGCCCTGGCGTCGGTGCTTCAGTGCAACATCTATTCCATATACCCAATGAGCAACCTAAAAATCCGGCCGTACTTCAACCGACTGATCCGACCCAGAGGGTGCAGCTTGCAAGTTTCCACACTGCATATCATGTGGTCAGGGCAGCAGCTCTCGTCCCAGCTATTCAGAGCTCAGTACTTTGTGCCTGTGGTTGGCCTTGAGGAGCTGGAAGCCACAAGCCCAGCTCCAGAGCCTCCCGTGCAACCGGTGAATACCTTGGAGCTGCTGCCTCAGGATCCCCAGGTGACTCATTCGAACCTATGCATCACCAAAAGTACTTTCTATCGATGGAAGCGCCAGTCTCAAGAGCATAGGAAGAAGGTGGCTGCCAGATTTGCGGCCAAACAGTTCCTGCAGTCCTGCTTCCGAGAGGGCAAGGTGGTCCCTCTTCAGCACTTCCGACAAATGTTCCCAGAAATCTCTCGTTCCACTTACTATGCCTGGAAGCACGAGATGCAAAACGCGACAAATGGCAGGGCCTCTTCCCCTGCGGAAGTTGTGCTGCCAAAGGATCCTCAGGTGCACAAACCGGAGAATCTCCCTGCAGGCAAATACGGTGTAACAAAGTCTGAAGGAGGCCTAGGGCCCAAAAGTCCGCTCTTGAATTCCAACCAAAATGGGACTTCCATGCAAGGAGCCAAGTCTTACCTGGAGAGGTGCATTTCCATGAATACTGTTCTGCCCTACAGGAGCTTCAAGTGCTGCTTTCCTGGCATCTCCAGGTCCACCTACTACAACTGGAGAAGAAAGGCCATCAACGAGAACCCCAGCTTCATGCCTTCTCAGCCTGTTTCCCTCAACCAGAACCCCCTTATGAACAAGAAGCCGTTCCTGCCATTCAAGCCAGGGAGCCTCCCTAGTGAGAAGATGCTCAATGGACACCATCCAGGGCCCCGTATTACCATGCGCATCAACCCATCTCTACACATCTGGCAAAAGCACCTTCGCCACTTGGCCAAGAAACGCGTCTGTCAGTGGAAAATTCCCTTCTGCAAGTTCCGCCTGCGCTACCCAAGCCTTTCTTCCACAGCCTATTGGTTTTGGAGGAGAAGCGGCAGCCAAGAAACCAAGAAGCGTGGCCTTACCCTAAATGGGCTTTCCGAAAACTTTGAAAAGAAAACCGCTGAGACTAGTGGGAAGGCAGAACTTGAACTGCGCCCACTGCAGCAAAAGGAGAGTGCTCTAGTGCTCGTAGACAAGCAGCCTCCCAAGCCCTACAGCGCCGTGATACCAGGCTACCAAATGGCAGAGAACAACAGCATGTTTGTGATGGATGTGATTGCCACGGCTCAGTTCAAAGCCCAGGCCAAGCTGTTTCTCCAGCAGCGCTTTGAGTCAAAGACCTTCCCAACGTACAAAGAGTTCAGAGCTCATTTCCCCTTGACGGCACGTTCCACTTACTACATGTGGAAACGTGCCTTGCACGATGGACTGACGCTGGTGGATGCCTGAGGCTAGTCACGACCCTTGCCAGTCTGCTATTGGAAGTTGCTGTCATCTCATCAGTGGGAAATGCAACCTCTCTCAAGTAGTTACTTTTGTCTTTTTTATTTTCTTGGTTTCCAGAGTTGGAGACCAACTTTGCAAAGTCTCAGCCGCTGGAGGAGTGGAAAAAGGCAGGGAGGATGATGGGGATGAGGTGCTGTTTTTTTTGTTGGGCTCCTGAGTTGCCCTTAATGAAATATATGCTTTTCTTCTTCTTAGTGAATAGGACAGATAAACTTGGTGGTGGTAGAGAAGGGGAGTCTCTGGGATCTCTAATGCTGCTGTAGGTGGACTGTGAAATGTGCCTTATTTCTTTAATGTGATTGTGAGCCACAATCTTAAGGGCAGTGAATTACGCCCAGGTCCAGATGTGCACCCTGTTTTGTTCTTTATTTAAAAAAAAAAATCAGGAAAGGAATACAAAGGAAACAAAAACCCTAGCATCACCCTCCAGAGTCCTCAAAAAAGGTGGCAGTGACTGGCTCAAGGATAGTAATATTGTACAGGCATCAGATGGCAAATAAAACAAATGCATATCATGTGCTGACAGTGACATATACCAGGAAAACTGAGAAGAAGTACAAGGAGGAGTCTTCAGCAAGGCAGTGAAAACAGATCAACAAACGATAGACGAATGTCTTGAAAGGTGTGCACTCTGTTAGTGAGCTGGATTCAGCCGCTCCACTCCTAGGCATAATGCATGTTCTATGTTGTGCAGCATAAAGCTGCAAAATCTCCTGTCTGTTAATGTGTGATACAAGTGGAAGAAATTCATTAAAACCTCAAAAATGGAAATAAAAACTGTTGCAGTGTATTATGATAGAGGAATTCTAAACTCCCCAAACCAGATTTAGAGATACGGTAATTTAGAGAGCAGGGCCCAATTTGGAGACATGTGGGAAGGTCTTCTGGGCGGCCGTGCTGGCATGATGTAGATTAACCAGACCCAGGTTACGGGAATCTTCCTCTTTGCCTGCTTTCTGAGCCACGTTGAAACTGGCAGAGGCAATAGGAGCAGCCAAGGCAAGCACAATTTGGGAGGAAGGAAGGGCACAGATGCTTATCTTTCCTGGCACATCCCAGCCCACATAGAAGAAGGTGGCCAGCCATGATGTGGCACTGATGTGTGAAATTTGTAGCTCTCAAACTTTGACTATTTCCCACAGTAAAAATGTGTGCTTTTGTTTCAGTTACTCTGGGAAATAATAATGCACAATCCAGAAATGGGTGGTCCTTCTTTTTTAAACCCTTCTGTGCCATGTGCACCCCTTGCTGGTGCCCTGAGTCACCCACAAAGCTCCTGTCAGTTTGGAAACATTCACACATGTGGTTTCTGAACAATATGACATTGAGAACTGAATACATATTCTGCTTTTCTTCTTCCTGGGAGGGAAGTGTGCTACATATTTCTCCTTTTAAAATGCTCCCTGTGTGCATGAGCACCCCCCATTGTTCTAGAACAGAAGTGGATGACATTTTTCTGCTGCTGTTTCTTTTGAGCAACCTTCCATGCCAGTAGTGGGTGAGTACAAAGGCAAAAGTGGGCAAAGGAACAAACGTGGATTTTACCTTTCTACAGCAGCTTAGTTTTCTACACACACACACACACTCACACTCACACTCACACTCACACTGACTCCTTTTTGTTCTCCATCCAGAGCAAGCAAAAAGCATAGTTTGGAGTTCAAAGATGCCTTCCAGCCAGGCAAAAACATTCCATGATGCTGCAAAGGATGAACCAGTGAGAGATGTGGCCTGGGAAGGAGGAGTGTGCCTTGGCAGGGGAGTGTGGTCTGGGCAGAGGCCTGAAGGTCAGCTAGAGAGGCCTGGAGGACTGCACTTGGCTCCTGCCTGAGTTTCTCCATCCCTGTCCTACAACTATCAATAATCTTCTATGCTAAATGCTCGAGCAGGTCAGGGGACGTGACTGACAAGCCTAAAGACAACAAGGTTTAGATGTTCATGAAGCATAGAATGTTTCCATATAACTTCCGACTAATTAGTACCCATTTGCAAAAGGGTGAGCTGGGTTGAGTTGTCCTTCACAGTGAGTTCCTATACATTTGTACCTTGGAAGTTGAGTGGAAGTCCGTTCTACTTCTAAAACCAAATCGTGGCTTCAGAAGCCGCGGAAGTCCCATTGGGCGTTCAGGTTCCAGAGAAAGTTCACAAACTGGAACAATCACTTCTGGGTTTGTGGCGTTTGGGAGCCAAAACGTCCAAGTTCCCAGGGCGTTTGGGAGCCGAGGTACGACTACAAGGTAGCCAACGTGTGGCCCTCTAATGTTGGATTACAGGCCTGGGGTGGATGGGGTGTTAGGAGAGGGGTAGTACCTCTGGTGCAAGACGACATCACACTCCTTCTGGGGTAGTTTGTCCATCTTTGGTCCCCACCCTTCACTCAGCTCTCCACTAGAAGATGTCAGCATGTGATGGCGGCCACACCCCAGAAATGGCTTCAACTGGCCAGCTAAACCAGGTTAGGCTAGCCAATGAGTCTCAATCCTTCGGTGAGTTAGGACTTGCCCTGCATGCAAATGCAAGTTCCGGCAGATTGAGTGGATGAGACCAAAAGCAGGTCCAATGGCCAAGAAGGCGGTTTCTGCACGTGCTGTAGAGGGAAGTGAGGGGGCTCGTCAGCTTGGGAAGGTAGCCAATCTAGGAGAAGGGAAACTGATCCTAAGCTTCCTTTGCCTTGTGGGACTTTTTCAGGAGACAAAAAGGCTAAGTAGTAAACCCTACACACATCTGGAGTGGAGTCCCTAAGATAGTTGGATGGCATCTTGCATGCCTCCTTCCTGCAATGCCTGCAGCCAGACTGGTGCCAAACATATTGCTCTACTTTCCTTTGGAGCCCTAGAGAGGGGTCGTCATCTGGGCAGCCCAGGACCTCCATAAGCACTGCCCAGACTTGTGCCCCAGAGAGGTCACGTCAGTTTGTCTTTGCCCCTGAAGGCACACACTATTGTCTCCTGAGGCAGACAGACGCCAGCAACTGCCCTCACCCTTCATCATTGAGCGGGATGGGATTGATGGGATTTTGGAGTCCAACAGTATCTGAAGTGCCACAGGGTAGCTACTCTTGCTCTAAAATCTTACATAGTTCTTCATTGTCAAATTCCTATACAGTGGTACCTCAGGTTAAGTACTTAATTCGGTCCGGAGGTCCATACTTAACCTGAAGCTGTTCTTAACCTGAAGCACCACTTTAGCTAATGGGGCCTCCTGCTGCTGCCGCGTCGCTGGAGCCCGATTTCTGTTCTCCTCCTGAAGCAAAGTTCTTAACCTGAAGAACTATTTCTGGGTTAGTGGAGTCTGTAACCTGAAGCGTATGTAACCTGAGGTACCACTGTAATTGTTTTCGTCGTTGATACCAAATGTTATATTTTTTTCACAAGTAGAATCTGATCGGACCCAGCAGGTGGCACTCTTGTAGTGCGGGATTGATAAATGCTTGCTGCTGGTTTTTTAAATGCCCAGTTCTCTTACTTCCATTTCCTCTCCTGCTCCTGGATAAATTTTTTTTGTATATATAAGAAAAGAGAGCTACGTATGTCTGCCTGTTAACAGCTATTGGGACTGGAAATAGTGTTTTCAGCGCAGCATTTGTACAGCTCAGCCCAGTCCAAGGAACAACATGCTGTGCTGCTTCCTCCTACATTTATGTGCCCAATAGGGAGCGGAGCTATATTGTGTAGTTGACAATACACTTGGCTGGCTTCCTTTAGTAAGTGGATTTGTCCTTTTGGGAAAATGGTACATTTTCCATAGGCTCTTAACAGGCTATTAACATGGTTGCAGTCCTTAACAGTGTCGGAGCCAGCCATTACAAATGGCGCAGTTTAGCATAAAATAAAGACACAGAGAGCCAGCAATATTTTCAGGATGGTATGAGCAGCTCCTTTCGAACTTCTCTCTCCTCCCGTAGCTTTTTTATTATCCTTTGTCTCTCTCCAGCCGCATGGCCGTTTGCCAATGTCTCACGTTACCTCATCAGGTCAAGGCTTTTATTACACCCATCACCATATAGGGTCATCACTGCCCAGAGGAAACACAACTCCATTTAAGGTCAATACATTCCAATACATTGTAAAGCTCAGAGTGCTGGTCAGCCGAGGTCAGGGGGCACCCTGCAATATTACAAGCCTTTGCCGTGGCTTTATGACTCCCACATAACAGCATTGGACCAGTTTACCTACGAGATTGCCTTACGCCGCATGTGCCATCGAATCGTTTAGTGTGGCAGCACCTGCACTTTGGAACTCCCCGCTTATTGAAATCAAGCAGGTGCCTTCACTGTACTCTTTTTGTCCCCTGCTTAAAACATTCTTGTTTAGACAAGTCTATCCAGCTGCTTAGAAAGTTGAGGTAATTTTAATCAGTTTTAGTATTTTCACTTTTAGTTGTGTTGTAATTTTTAAAAATCTTTTTGTAAACTGCTCTGAGGTGGTGGTGGTTGTTTTTACAATTCAGCTGTGTATAATTTTTATGAAATCAATAAATAAATTTCAGATCTCGGAAGTATGGGAAGCTGTTGCCTGTATGCAGGGGCGTGGTTTGGTACTTAAAAGAGATTTGAAGCCCAAATTTCCATAAACGGGGAGTGCCTCTGAGGAAATTAGAGTTGGTGGTTGTCTGTAGTCTCACTGCCCTGTAAACAAAGTTGTTTTTAAAGGGAGGGGGTGAAGGAGGGAGAACTGGGCTGCCCCAGCTCTGCTTCTGCCTACCTGTGTCCCAAAGAGAAGAACTGCAAAAGGCCTCTAGGTATGGACTTGCTTGAACTTTGGTCTGTTTCCCCTGGTGCTCTTCTCACAGTCTTGTTGTATTTCATGCCACAGAGAACCAGATGGACACAAAGTCTGCAGGGCAAAGACTAGCTCTGCAAGGGGTGCCGAAAGTGACCTCCCAAGGTCCTCGATTGAAGTCTGGTGAATGTGGGGCTAATCAGCTCAGCCTATTCCTTTCTGCTGTGGTTTTTTACTTTGCCCAAAATTCAGCACCAAGGAAAAAAAAGATGTGGGCCCGATGTCCTTTACTCAGAAATAAGTCTTACTGTGTTGTGTTCGTTGAGCTTCGCTCACAGGTGAGTGTGCATAAAATTGCAGCCTAATCCCACGCAACCTTCCACAATGATGCAGTTTAAACAAATCTGCATGCTTTTGTGTTGTATTACATGGTTCACCCTCCCGGCTGCAAAAAATCTGGCTTCTGAGAGTTTCTTAGGCTCAACCATTCTTCAGCATATGGATACTTTAGCTGAGATTCCTGCATTGCAGGGGGTTGGACTAGATGACCCTTGGGGTCCCTTCTGTTATGTATTGAAGTTCTCACCCTGGCCACCAGGGGTATTGTGTACAGTGGTACCTCGGGTTACATACGCTTCAGGTTACATATGCTTCAGGTTACACACTCTGCTAACCCAGAAATAGTGCTTCAGGTTAAGAACTTTGCTTCAGGATAAGAACAGAAATTGTGCTCTGGTGGTGCGGCGGCAGCAGGAGGCCCCATTAGCTAAAGTGGTGCTTCAGGTTAAGAACAGTTTCAGGTTAAGAACAGACCTCCAGAACGAATTAAGTACTTAACCTGAGGTACCACTGTATATAGTTGTCACTGAAGTCCACGTAAGTTAATTTAGGCGGGAAACCCAGGGTGGTTGTTGTTGCAATGTTGACAGCCGGCTGCCTACAAAAGCAGGCCAGCTGAGCTGTTTGCAGTTCAGTTCAGTTCCAGCTTACTTATAAAGAATTACTTAGAGAAATCTCTGTGTCGTCTGCTATGTCCACCCACTACTTAATACTTTC